ACTGTACGCGCCCACGCCGCCAGACGTGTAAGCGAGGTACTTCTTAGCGCGCGCAATGGCGTCGGGGGGAAACATGCGCCCCGCGTCCGGGTGATCCATGAGGAAGGGCGCTTGGAGCAGCGCCATCACCTGGGGGACGGCGGATAAGGGGAGTTGGGGGAGCGGAAAAAGGGAGGGTCAGAGATGTTAATATCCGCCCCACATCGGGGTGCGACATGAGTAAGGGCGCTTGCAGCAGCGCCGTCACCTGGGGGAAGGGGGATGGGGGTTGATTGGGAGGGGGAGCGAGATGGGGATGGGGGAGTGGGAGAGGGAGTGAGAAAACACATAGATTCTTATCAGCGCGGGCAAAGGCGTCTACGCGAAAGTGGAAAAAGAAGGCGCGGGAAAACAGGAGGGCGGGGAATGCGGCGGGGAATGGGAAACAGGGACAAGAATTCTAGCGAATTACTGTCGTACATACCTGTCGCTGATACGACTGTCGCACGTATCCTGTCGCAGAAATGACTGTTGCACATACCTGTCGCAGATAGGACTGTCGCACATACCTGTCGCAGATAGGACTGTCGTACATACCTGTCGCAGATAGGACTGTAGTACATACCTGTCGCAGATAGGACTGTCAAACATACCTGTCGCGGGAACGTGAGCGGCAGCTGCCCGAGAGCATGGGGATTGCCGACATTCGTGAATACGATCTGACCGGGAGGGGCAAAGGGAGGAAACGATGGGCGGAGGGGTTGGGGGGAGTGGGAGGTGGTAGCGGAGGGGAGGTGGGAATAAGAAAAAGGAAGAACATGAGGAGAAAGAGTGATGAGACGGCCTGTAGGGCGTAAAGTTGGTTTAGGGATTGTTGATCATGCTTTAGTTTACGCGCAAATCCCTCTCGATGGCAAGAGCTCCGACAGAAAATGATAGCCTTTCTTCAGCATCCTCATTAACGCCTGTAGCAGAGACTCTGACAGAGAATGCCGTTAACCTTAGCGCCTGAGACGCCGGAATGGACAGCGTGAGACAGGATCCTTGCGACGACAACTGTCAGATCCGTGCGTTTCTCGTGCAGGAACCTGTCGCACGTATCTCTGTAGCAATTGTCGCGAGGATCTGTAATCTAACCTGGCAGCTTGAGCCCGGCAGCTTTCTCGGTCGATTCATTGTCGCGAACTACCGCTCTCCATTCCGACCTACATCTTAGCAAGCCAAGCTGCTAAACGGGATTTAGTGGTTGCGGATAACGCTGACGCCCGTCTGACTGCGTCTTTTCCATATTATTGAAATTGATTCGAATCACTAGCGATGATCGCACTGCATCAAATGTGATTATAGCGAGTCAACTCAGAGCCTCACCTCTTTACCCTCCGCCTGTAGTTGAGCCGCCCTCAGATAAAGCTCTCCTCGCACCGCGTAGACCGTTTTCTCCACATTCGCATTGATAGTCCCCGGCTGTAACACACGGGTATCGGCCATGATTGCACTGTAGCGAATGTGACAGAAATGCGAGGTGCTGATGCGGGATCGCTACAAACAACAGCAGCTCGACCCGAGAATCACGGCTTCTGACACGACAAACGTGGTCACTCCTGCAAACTCTTCACGAAAAAGCCTCTACAACCAGATTCTGAGTGCGAGCGTGAAGTTCGTCTTCTCTCTTGGCAAAAAACGCGACGCAGCGGAAAAGCAAGAGTAAAGAACTCAGAGAGCGGATGTGGAGGAACAAAAGCTGTGTGCTACACGTCAACACATAAGATGCATGAATCAAAAGTCAAAGTTGTCAGCAACCAGAAAGGTATGGCCTAGCATTAAAGAAACTAGAGTGGGTGTGAGTTCATGGCCGATGGTTATAGTACATTACCCGCTCAGAACCATACTAACCCGTTGTTTATCTTCAAAGAGCCGTTCTATTATACGAGAATGTCACCCAACCAGATTCAAGCAAACACATCACTCAGCCCAACTTCAAAGGAATTTTCCTCACGGAGAGTAGAGCTTAAAGGTCTTGGACGTTTGAGTACGATATATTACGGTGAAGCGAGGTGGATAGCATTGGCTTGGCGTGCCACAGACACGGTCTCCGCACTGTTTGGGTTGGATTCCTGAATCCACTGCATCTCCCATTGAAGCCCATCCATCTGTCTGCACCTGCACGGCAATCTGGTTTCTGTGGCTGTGTGAACTTCGGCACGTCGTTTCACGCATTGAAACCATCCGCGGCCCGACGTCTGATCTGAAATGAGGTGCTAGTTTGTGCTGACGTGGATGTAGTTCTGACAATACCCGTCCAAGTGCAGGTTTGATTGCCCAGCGCCTACTTTGGTCTGCCAAAGATTGTCCACGTATGCCATTCTCCGGAGTTGGCAATCTCACCGTTTCCAACCACCCACTTTTAACTCAATGCTTTGCTGCATCTAGTTATGAATTATATTGACTATTTAGACCTAATTGATGCTGACCTGCAACATCCCTATTAAGGTAATATAAAAACTCATGAATATTTTAAACATTGTTTTTTTAATAAACTCAAAGTTTTTTTTCATACACCATTTCAGCATGCATTGCAAGTATGTCTCAGCTGGTAGTAGGTAATACTTGGAATCACTATAAGGATTAACAATCAAGTGCTGGTCTTATACACCATGGCCTACACTGCGCTCTCTTTCATCCCCGACCGGTTGGGGCGCGGCACCGGCACAGTAACGGCTGCGCTGCCCCGTACCGCGTGCCGCTGGTGGGGCACCAAGCGCCTCTTGCTTCGGACTCCCACGAACCACGCCTCCGCCGCTTTTAGCCTAACAACCTCGGTCGGCGAGTGGGGTTTATTGTGTGAAACCGAGTAACACATTCTCGTGCAGCTCGAACTTCAGCCGTACAGCGCTCACCCTGCAATCGCTATCGTCGGCTATTTCAGGAAAAAACAATCGTCAATCGCGAAAATTGATGTAACTCTTGCAAGCGAGAAAGCATGGCCTTGATGTGGACGCACATGCCTTCCAAGTCGAGTTTCCTTGATGTTTGCGCCCATCACAGTGCTCTTGACTTGACAGCATCTGGGCGACGCTGATTGGGCGAGAAAGCACAAAATGCAGGCACCCCCCTGCGCTGCGGTTCTGGTTGGCGCGCCTCGATCTCCCAAAAAATTGCCCGCGGCGCGGCCCCAAACTGTCCTGCGGCAATCCAACGAATTTCCTTCAGCCCCTTGCGGCGCGACGCGATTTGCAAACAAGGGCTGCGCCTGTAAACCAGCTGCTGCTTTTCCCGTGGCTCATGGTCCAGCCCCTCTTCCTCCCACCTTTCCTGTCCCCTCCCTGCCTCCAAACCAACCCGCCTTCTCCCCGTATCCCTCTCCTCGCTTGATGCTTCAATCTGATCGCTCTGGTAACCCGTCACCTGTTGCTGTCGTGTCTAGTTCAGCTTCGGGTTTGCCGACTTGCTCTTGTCACATTTTCCTCGCAATCCTTTTGTATAGATGGTTGTGCAAGTTACGGATTGGCCTTTTCTTCCACAGATATTTGCAATCCATGGTCTCTTCCCCAGTGCTGCCGAGATGAAACGGGCGCCGCTCGGATGTGTAGTCCGCCCTCGGTCAATGACAGCTTACTCCCATAGCAATTACTCCATCTACTCTGTCAGCCATAGTCATATACTCTCAACAGAGCCCCAGTACTGAGACCTGATTATTCTTCAACGATTATCCGCGATTCCCGCAACTGGGATAAGAGGCCGTGCTCGCGTCTTTCCGAGTAAATTGAGTAGGTGGAGCTATGACAGCAGTTACTCCCATGGGTTGGGACCGTCGTCACTCCCAATCAGCAGCCGCCTCGTCTTCAGGTCCCTCTCCTAAAGCTCCCCGAGGCACGAACGGAGTTGCAGCTGGAGCGCCTGCAGCTTCGCCGAAAGCTCCGAGGACGTCTCCGTCGAACGGCATTCTGTCGGGTACCACTCGGCCGTTAGGCGCCTCGCCTCTGCCTCCTCGCCTCGCTTCTCCGAAAGTTCCGCGTCCGAGTGTCGCGGCGCCTCCGGCACCAAAATCGTCGCCGAACACTCCGCGCAATGCTTCGATTCCGCCGCCGCCGGTGTTTTCTCCTCTACCCAACATGTGGTTAAACGACAAACTCTCCAGCCCCAAGGCGCACGGGAGCCTTCTTCTCTACAACCGCGGACAACCCGGGTCAGCGAGCGAAGGCGATAATCGCGAGTTTTGCGAAGTTCGCGAAGGAGCTTCTCCAAAAGTGTCGCTGGTTCGACACGATGGCGCAGGAGGGGAAGTGCTCGTGCGAGCTTATTCGTTCCAGGGCGTACCCGGTGGCGGTGCTTCTGTTGTGGAGGGTCATCACGCGGAGAACGCGCAAACCGCGGGAAGCGCACAGCACGCGCAAACCGCGGCGGACGAGCACTGCGGAGAGGATGGCGGAGCGCTTGTTATCGCGAACACTCTGCGTCGCAACTACCAGCTCGGAAACCGGTCCGACTCGGCGACACGTTATCGGAACGGATATCTAGCTGACGTGGCAGTGACGGGGGAAGATCTGGCGGAGCGGATTGGCCTCCCTTCCCGCGCTCCTGCTTTTGCCGCTTACGTCGAAGCTTCGCGGAAGCTTCAGCTTCTTACACTGGATGAGCTGACACGTCAGCTTCAGGAGAGCGCAATCTGGCCGTCCAAGTTCGAGTCACTCAAGCAACGGTTGCAATCGAGGGGCATCGCGTCAGGCGGCCATGAAGCATCCAAAAAGCTTCCGCGGTTGCCGGCAGAGGGTAGCGGAAACTCTGGAAGTCAAACATCCGTCCTGGACAGGTCCTGCCATAAACTCACCCGTTTACAGCCGCACCTTATCCAGTTTTACCGCTTTTGCCGGCAGATGCTGCTGGATCTCCTCTTGTTGACCGCGTTAGAAGCTAACGACACAACGGATACGCGTTATACAAGCTCTCAGGGCTTGCCGTTTAACGGATTTGCACTTCCATGGGCTTCTGAGTTCGTTCCTACAAGCAGCAGCCTCGGAGCTATGGTCACAATCGATCGAGCATCGGGCGTGAGTAAAGCGAGTGGTGACTATAACGGGGGAGCCGCGTTGAGGAGGCAGCAGCTCGCTGCCAGGTGGTTGGAGCTCTGCGCGGTCGCCGCTGGCGTGGGGAAGGATTTTGCGCCCAATGACCGCGCGCAAGCGCAGGCGCAAGCTAAGCGGGAAGCGGCCGCTGGTTTGAAGGGAGCGTGGGACGCGGAAAAGAACGATGCGCTTTTTGAGGTCCTGTCGCGGATGCTGTTGGCGCTACGGATGGACGAAATTCTGGCGAATGTGGTAACCGGAACTGTTGACGAGGAGGAAGAAGCAGCGGCGAGCGCTGGGGCAAGCGGAAAGCGAGCGGAAGACGAATTGGTAAAGCGGTGGCGCAGGCGCGCGAGTGACGGGACGGGAACGCGCGGAGCGCTGGTGCTGGCGGTGAAGCTGAGCGGAACAGACGCGAGCCGCTGGGTTCTGCGGATGGCGGGCGGCGCGGATGCGCACGTGCGACGCGTGGCTGCTGGAGTCATTGATAGAATTCTGTGGGATGTTGAAACTGGCCGAGTGCAGAACGAACTCGAGAAAGAATGCGCCCGACTGGATTCGAACCCGCGACCTGGTGGAATCAGCGGGCCTCGAAGCCTCGCTGAACTTTCTGCGATTCTATCGACACCCGATCCGCTTTCCAGCTCGTTGCCGAGATCCCCGCTCAGCTTGTCGTCTAGCGAAAGCGACAGCAGCGGAAGCGACGGGGAGGGTGAAGAGAAAGGCGGAAGGGCGGGCAAGAAAAAGCCAAGTTCCATCCCCGTTAGTAGCTCGGACGTGCTTATATCGAGAGTCGCTGGTGCTTTGGTTGCGTCTCTTGGTGCTGCTGCTGCCCTTCCTGCAGCCGCGAATGCTACAACCGGCGCTGGGGGCGGAAGCAAAGCCCCTGCGGGCGGAAACATCTCAAGCGGAAATATCTTAGGCGGAGTACTCTCCCCCGAATTGCGGAGCTTATCGCTGCCGACTGGAATCGACCCACGGCAACCGCTTCCTACGTCATCGTCCACGTCATCGCCGCGGCCTTCCACGTCAGGCGGGTCCGCTGCTTCTTCCGGCAGTAATGCCGCCCCGGCGCAAGGGGGGACCACTGTGGAAGGGGAGGACGAGGGGAGGAGCGCGAGCAACAGCAGCCGCGCGAGCAGCACCGAGAGCACCGCCGCGAGCAAAACCAAAGATGGCGCAGGATCCGCGCGGAAGAGCGGAGAGGGGGGGTTCGGGGTGGGGAGCACTGTGCTCGGACTGACGTCACCGCGTGCACCAGCGGAGAAATCTGCAATCCCGCAGCAACTGCTGCAGCAACAGAAAACAGCTGGGGACGCGAACAGAATGGTTCCAGCTTCTTCTCGGCTTTACAGTTCGGTTCCTTGCTCGCCCGCCCACCACGCAGGGGGAGGTTCGGGGGGAGCGGTGGGGGGAGCGGCGCGGGGAGCGCGGTCAGGCAGAGGAGTTCTTGACGCCGAAGCAGCAGCGGCTCGGCTGCAAGCGATCGCTGCTGCAGCTGCCGAAGCTGGCTCCGAGTCACGTTCGGAAAGAGGGAGGTCAGGTGCGCCTGAAAGTCCGCGATTTGGTGCGAGCCGGTTCCCTGCTGCGCCAGGTTCGGTTGTTTCTGTTTCCTCCGCGTACAGTGCATTTACTGTACCTCCTACCGCTATGTCATTAAATGAGGATCTGGAAAGGACGCTCGGCAGCAGCAGCGGGTTGCTGAATTTGGGCAGGCGAGGATCGAGTGCAAGTGTTACAGGGGTTCCTATCGCTAATGCTGGTTACCACAATTACAACAACGGTTACACTCCCAGTGGTGCTGCGTATGGATACAGTGGGAGCGGGAGGTTCGGAGGAGAGGGAGGGGGAGGTCGGGGCACCTCCGCGGCTGCTGCGGCAGCGGTTGCGGCATCGCGGATGATGTCAAATTCGGTTCCGAGTTCCCCCCTCCATCCCCCCAACTCCCCCGTTCATTACGCGTCCACCCCCGTTCACTACAGTAACATCGCTTATTCGCATAATGGTATGCACAGTACTGCATATTCTACAGTGCATCAAGTTACAGCTCCTCATTTGGCTCAATTTCCATCTTCTCCCAATAGATGCACATCCAGCCCACGATATGTGATAAATCCCTCCACCCCTCGTTCTAGTGCCACTGGCCTGTACAGCTCCAGCCCCAGGCACCCAGGAGCCCCCTCCTCTGCTTCTCTCTATAGTCCCAGCCCCTCCCACCGTTACTGCCCCAGTCCTTCCCCCCATTACAGTCACAGTCCAGTTCACCACGCGCCTTCTTATACTGCTGCTAGTCCGTCCCACCCAGCTACACTAAATCCTCCATACTATACCCCCAGCCCATCTCACTACAGTGGTGGTGGAGGCTATCAATCCCCAAGCCCCTCTTATCACTCCTATCCGTCGCCTGCCCCACAAACCTTACCTCCCGTTGTCGAGCCAGCTGCGCTAGGTTCGGCAACAGCTTCGGCTGGGGACAGGGCAAGGAGGGAGACTGCCACGAGGGCAGGTAAGGCAGGAGGGGAGAAGGGAGCGAAGAGGGGTGGAGTTAAGAGCACGATGCGGCAAAAGGCATTCTTTGGAGCTGGAGTGGTGTGGAGTGTGGAGGAGGGAGGACTGGAGGAGGCAGGTGGGGAGCGGGAGAGTGGTGAGAGTGATGAGAGTGGTTCTCGAGAGGGTGACTATGACGAGGGGTCGAGCTCAGAAGAGGACAAGGACGACAACACGCTGGGCTTCTCAAGAAAATACAATGCATCTGCCTCTGTTTCTGCCTCCGCCTCTGCCTCTGCCTGTGCCTCTCCTTACACTCCTACCTATCCTAGTGCCACCGGCGCCACCCCTCTAAACCAAAGACCCTACGCCCCTTCCCCGGCTCACTCAGCCCTCTCTCGTCCCTCCCCTTCCCGCTCCACCTTCTCCTCCTCCCCAGCCCATGCCTCCTCCGCCAATTCACCTGCCCGGGCGGCCTTTTCTTCTTCGCCTGCCCGGGGTGCCTTCTCTTCCACTTCTATTGCCAGAAGCGCCTCTTCAGGCACTGCGTCGCCTGCTGCTTGTGCTGCAGCGGCCCTCAGGAGTGTGATGAAGGGATCGAGCACGAACCCTCACAGCAGAGGGGCGGTGCTGCGCAGGAGTGCCAGCGAGAGTGGAAGCAGTAGAGGTGATGGTGTTGGTGACAGTGGGGAGATGGCTATCGGGAGCAAGAGTGGGGGAGGAGGGGGTGGTGGGGCGATGATTCGAGCCAGCAGCAGCAGCAGCAGCAGCAGCAATGCCAGCACAGGCAGCAGTGGTGGCGACGGTGTGAGGGGGGGGCGGCGCAGATCGTCTAAAGTGACCTTTGCCAAGTGTGGAGAGATAGAGGAGGAAGAGGAAGCAGTGAAGGAAGCTGAGGTGGAGGGTGTGAAGATGGAAGGCTCAGCGCCTGTTGCTGTTGATGCTGCTACTGCTGCCGCTCCTGCTGTGGATGCTGCTGTTGACAGTGATGTTTCTGCTGCTGCCGATTCTGATGCTGCTTCTTCTGTACCTTCTGCATCTCCTCCTTCCTCTGTTTCTCCTCCTGCTTCTCTTTCTCCTCCTGCTTCTGTTTCTCCTCCGGCTGCTGCCTCCATTTCTTCAGATGACCAGACAGAAAATCCAGGTGTGTTTTCCTTGTACCCAGACTACAATATGCATGCAATGATGCTATCTTGGGTAAACGCCTTTCCAGTTTCACATGCCTTTCCAGTTTCACGTGCCTTTCCAGTTCGACTGCCTTTCAAAAGTGCTAACCCACCAATATGCTTTGTTTTGTTTTGTCTACTTTATTTCCGCGCCCCTCCTTGCAACAGGTTCTGGTTCATCCACCACACTACCCTCGGTGAGCCCGCCATCGCCCTTGTCAGTCGCAGGCTCCTTCACGTCTTTTCTGCATGCGCGCAACAACCGTCCCGCCACACCGACAGACTGCGCTAGCGAGAAATCCTGTGCAAAGCAGGCCTGTGCAAAGCAGGCCCCTCCGCTGGTTGTGAAGGCTCGGGAAACCCAAGCTATGGGAGGAGTAAAGCTTGAGGGTTTGGAAGGGAAATCTGGTGCTGGGGAGAAGAAGAGGGCGTTTTGGAGGTGGAGGCCCTGGAAATCTTCAAAGTGAGAGTGTATTATGTGATAGTGTTTCTATCAATAGCAGTTTTTTTAGTAGATGTCATATTGCTCATTCCTCATGAAGATTAAAAAGAAAATCGCATTTCGTTTCTTAAAGGCAGTCTGGTAGTCTGTCATTCAGCATTGTCTATTGTAACATAATATAGGAGTGATAAATTTGTTTTCAAATATACAAATCAGGGTCATCCAAACTAACATGTTGTTTTGCGATAGGGCTGACATTATGCACAGCTACAAAGTCCAGGATATCATGCGTCCAGCTTATACCGCAGACAACTAAGCCCTTGGGATTACAAAACCTGAACCTCTCGTGCAAGGTAGCAACCAAGGGCTTCGCGACCTTTTTTCCCGCACACACTAGTTGCTATCGTCTAGACTGAGTTTCGCGTATTCCCGCATTTCCAGCGGGGCGTTAGCGTGGGCCGCGTTCCTTCGCGCACTCTCCCCTTTGCCGGATTTTTTTAGGCGAGCAACGTGTGCAGTGCTCGTGTTTCGCTTTGCAGAGTAACCCGTTCGCCAGGTGACCCAAAGCTCGGCTTTGGCGCAGCTTCGGCTTAGAATCGTTGGTCATTAATCTGCTTTCAGGCCGAGCCGCCGTTAGAATGGCGCGGAAATCGAAGAGTCCCGGAAGCGGAAAGAAGCGGGGGGGAGGCGGAGGCGGAAGGGGAGGGGGAGGGAGATTGGCCAAGGGGGGAGGAGGAGGGGGGAGGCGCGGAGATCCGAACATGGGGTTGACTCGCGAAGACTTCGAAGACGAGATTGACGACTGTACGACTCTTAACTCACTGACCTATTTGGTGTCCTTAATTAGTGTCCTGACCTCAGCTAATTTACTGTCATACATTATATCCAGAACTCTGTTACCAGGCAGTTTGTTTCATTCCTTTGGAACGGATCGCGTTAGTAGGGCTTTTTGCGGCGCGTAAACCAGACAGCAGTTCTCACGTAACTAAAACCTCGTTTATTTAATTATACCCTATCGAAATTATTTCCACGGATGTTCCTCGCAGAACCCCGAACCCTGGACCTCGTCTTATCGATGCTCCCAAAACCCTCATGGAGCTCTTTCGTTGCTTCTCCACTCGTTCGCTTGTCTGGTTCTCCTCTTGTGCCCAAACCCGCCCGTCTCGTTAACCGCAGTTCACAAGCAGCGGGACATTATTCCTCTTAACGCGGATGATGGTAAGTCGCCTCGTTAACATTTTTTCTCCACCTTCCAAGAGTCACTTCTCTGCGTTATTCCTTTATGCGCTTTCCCTCTCTTCACATGCATGTGTTTTGCCGTTGCCATGCTACCCTGGTAGTACCGTGTTGCTTTGTTTTTATTCCCACTGGGGCGACGGAACCACGTCTACATGGCCCGTTCTTTTTTCGTCAGGCTAAATTGTTCGTTTTTTCCTTGGTGCAGAATTCGAGGAGGATGATGATAATATCGATGCGGATCTTAACGCGGCTGTCATGGACATCAAGGCGAGTCTTGTTTTGTCACAATAACGTGTGCTTTTGTGTTTGCTGTCGTTCCCAATGCTGCGTTCTCTACTCCTTGCTGTCGTTTTCTGCCGTCATTTGTGCTGTTTCTTCTGCCTTTTGCGGCCGTTTCTTTCTTGTATCTTGTGGCCTTTGAGGCAGCTTGTAATGCTGCGCCTCCTCTTTCCGATGGCTGCTTGGTCAAACCCTCCCTCCCCATCACCCCTTCCCCCTTTATTCTCGATGGCTTTTTAGTCAACCCCTCCTTCCCTCATCTCACCCCTTGCCCCCTCTCCCGCCCCTTTCCCCTCTTCCCCGTCTCTCCACCTTTTCCCGCCATCCCATGTCCGCCTCTCTCCCCCACACTTCCCCTCTCTCTCCTTTTCCCCGCATCCCAAGTCTGTCTACCCTTCTCTTCCTCATGGCATTTCAATCAGTCCCTCCCGCTCTCTTCCTCTCCCCCTCCTCTTTCCCCTTTTTCCTGCTCTTCGTCTGCCCCCCCCACTCCTTGTACCCTTCTCTCCCTCACTGATACACTCTTTCTTCACTATAGGGCGCCGATGATAGCGAGGAGGAGGATGATGACGACGATGATATTGACGAGGACGTGGAGGCGGATATGCAGCTTTCGGGCCTTGCTGCTAAGAGTGAGTCACCCTGCTAGCCCCGTTACAATGTTGCACGGATAATTAATCAAGAGGATGAGGATGATATTGACGAGGACGTGGAGGCGGATATGCAGCTTTCGGGCCTTGCTGCTAAGAGTGAGTCACCCTGCCATCCCCTTTATTGAGTAGTTTCACATGTGAGACTCTGGACGTCCATCTATTGTGGAAAAGCGAATGACGTTCATGAGGGAGAAGACTTTTCGAATTCAGTATATGCATACATATACGTATGCAGGTACATACATTTTCAAACATGCATGTATATACAAATTGTACATACATACATGTTCATGTACCCGTTATTTTTGTTTGTATACTGTGTAGAAGCAAGGCAATCACATGAGGATGAAGCTTGGGGGAGTGAGGCTTATTAATAATAGATGTATGTGTGCTTAATTTCTTTGTGTTTGTTTGTCTACAGTGGAGAAACAGGCCAAGTACATGAGGATGAAGCTTGGAGGAGTGAAGGAGGATGAGGAGGACGAGGACGAGGAGGATGAGGATGAGGAGGATGGAGAGGGGGCGCTTTGGGGGCAGAAGAAGCGGGAGTACTACAGTGCGGATAATGTGGATTATGAGGTAAGGGGCTTTTAACGGGTCTGCTTCAAGTGGGTATGGTGTTGGGTTTCTGAAGTAGCGGTAGTACTGAAGTGTAGTGTGTGCGGATCATGTGTGAAGTATGTTCTGAGGTAGGCAGCTTGCTTATAACGGATCTGTGATTAATGGGATTGTGACTTCATAATTCGGAAGTGTTTCAGCTGCTCAAATCGTTTGCTACATTCTTCCCTCCCCCTTCTTTCCACTTCTCACTCCATTTCTCCGCCCTTCTTCCCCTTCGTTCCCCCTGTCACACAGTTGCATATGGATGGGGAGACAGGGGCGCAGGAGGAGGAGGAGGAGGCGCTTAGGCTGCAGCAGCAGATCGCAGCTGGGTTGAGGGTGGAGGATTATGAGGAGGAGGGAGAAGAGGAGGGAGAGGAGGGAGAGGAGGGGGGGGAGGAGGAGGGAGAGGAGGAGGAAGGGGAGGGAGAGGAAACGATGTTAGAAAAGGTGGAGAAGGAGGGGCGGAAGAAGGGTGATAAGGGGAGTGATAAGGGCAATAAGGGGAGTGATAAGGCGCTGGAGAGGAAGGGGAGGGGAGTGGCTGTGGTAGAACGGGTGGTGAAGGATGCGAGTCTGCTGACCAAGGAGGAGCAGATGGCGGCGCTGATGAGGTGAGATGCGGTAGAATGCGGTGAGATTCGGTGCACTGCGGTCAGATGGGGTAAGATGCGGTGAGGTGCAGTGCTTGTCAGCAAGGATGAGTTTGTGTTGCGGTGTGAGGGCAGCACTCAGGGACGGGTGGTGAAGGATGCGAGTCTGCTGATCAAGGAGGAGCAGATGGCTGCGCTGATGAGGTGAGGTGCGGAAGTGCTGTGCGGTTCGGTGCGATGTGGTCAGATGGGGTAAGACGGGGTTAGACGAGGTGAGATGGGGTGACAGCATTGCTCTCTCGGACCTTAAACGACCCTCCTCTTGCTGCTTACCAAGCGACCATGCACCTTGCTTCCTCGCCCTCTTTCTTGCCTTCGCCTGCAGTGACGCCCCAGAGCTGGTGGGTCTGCTTTCGGATCTCAAAACGACCCTCAAGAAGCTCAACACAAAAGTGTTGCTTCTCATTCACTCCCTTCACCCCATCGCACCTCCCCCTCGCCCCCCGCCTTTTTAATCTCCTTACATGCAGTGACGCCCCAGAGCTGGTGGGTCTGCTTTCGGACCTCAAGACGACCCTCAAGGAGCGCAACACAAAGCAGCTGGCGCCGGTATATTCCCATTCACTCCCTTTTGCTCCCTCTCCCGTGCCCCACTCCCCTTCCGCTCGCAGCGATGCCCCGGAGCTGGTGGGCCTGCTGTCAGACCTCAAGACAACTCTCAAGGAGCTCAACACCAAAGTGCTTCTACTTCTCATCTCACTTCCCTCACTTCCTCACTCACCCCCTTGCTATCACCTCACGGTTTCCCCTGTCTGATTCTCGACTTGCAGTGATGCCCCAGAGCTGGTGGGCCTGCTGTCAGACCTCAAGACGACCCTCAAGGAGCTCAACACCAAGTGCTGCTACTTCTCATCTCACTTCCCTCGCTTTCTCACTCACCCCCTTGCTTTCACCTCACGGTTTCCCCTGTCTGATTCTCGACTTGCAGCGATGCCCCAGAGCTGGTGGGTCTGCTGTCAGACCTCAAGACAACCCTCAGGGAGCTCAACACTAAAGTGCTGCCACTGCCCCGCACGTCCTCCCTTACTCTCGTCCATCCGTCCCCTATGCCTACCTTACAACCCCTACCCACTCCCCTTGCGCCTGCAGCGATGCCCCAGAGCTGGTGGGTCTGCTGTCAGACCTCAAGACAACTCTCAAGGAGCTCAACACCAAAGTGCTGCCGCTGCTGCAACAGGTGAGATGAGTGAGGGTTAGCTGGAAGCATGCTCACACTCGCTCACAGCACGCGTGTCTGCGTGTGTGTGTGCGGCAACGCTCTATCCATATCGCCTTTTCGCAAGACGACCCTCAAGGAGCTGAACACCAAAGTACTGCCGCTGCTGCAGCAGGTGAGCACGCTTACTCACAGCACGGGCTGCTGCTGCACTACTGCTGTTGCCTGCGTTGACCTTTGAGTCGACTCAAAAGTCAACTCTGCTCCAGCAGGTGAGCACGCTTACTCACAGCACGGGCTGCTGCTGCACTACCGCTGCTTCCTGCTCTTCTCCCTGCTGCTTCTAGCGCCGTCTTTTGACCCCGCTACCGCTGCTACCTCCTCTTTTGAACCCCTTCCCAGCCCCTTGGAGGCAAAGCATGGGTTGCTGCTGCACTACTGCTGCTGCCCGCCCTTCGTCATGATGCTTCTGAGGCTGTCTTCTGACTCCCTTATTCCCCCCTTTTGACTCTCTCTAATCGACCAGGTGCGGGAGGTGGAGTGCGAAACAGGAGAACGGGGGGGAGATTCATGTCGGGAGTAGCAGCAAAACGGGGTGTCTTACCTGGAGGCTACGCACGGTCTGCTGCTGCACTACTGCTGCTGTCTGCCCTCATGATGCTTCTGAGGCTGTCTTCGGACTCCCTTATTCCCCCCTTTTGACCCTCTCTAATCGACCAGGTGCGGGAGGGGGAGTATGCAACCGAGAATGGAGTGTCCTACCTGGAGGCAATGCACGGGCTGCTGCTGCACTACTGCTGCTGTCTGCTCTTCTTCCTGCTGCTTTACTCACACTAAGCCCTTGTCTCTCACACATCTCCCTGCCCTCCCATTCTGCCAGGTGCGGGAGGGAGAGTATGCAACCGAGAAAGGAGTGTCCAACCTGGAAGCAAAGCACGGGCTGCTTCTGCACTACTGCTGCTGCCTGCTCGCTTCCTGCTGCTCATTACCTCAACCAAAGCCCTTTACTCTCACTCCTCTCCCTGCCCTTGATTCTATCAGGTGCGGGAGGGAGAGTATGCAACCGAGAAAGGAGTGTCCAACCTGGAAGCAAAGCACGGGCTGCTGCACTACTGCTGCTGTCTGCTCTTCTTCCTCACTCCTTTGACTCCCCTCTTCTCCCTGCTGCTAAAACCTAGTGTTTTGACCTCTTGTCCCTCAAACTTGACCAGGTGCGGGAGGGAGAGTACGCTACAGAGAATGGAGTATCCTACCTGGAGGCAAAGCACGGGCTGCTGCTGCACTACTGCTGCTGTCTGCTCTTCTCCCTGCTGTTTACTCACCCTAGGCCCTTGACTCTCACTCCTCCCCCTCCCCCTTCGACTTGACCAGGTGCGGGAGGGAGAGTACGCTACAGAGAATGGAGTATCCTACCTGGAGGCGAAGCACGGTCTGCTGCTGCACTACTGCTGCTGTCTGCTCTTCTCTCTGCTGTTTACTTACCCTAGGCCCTTGACTCTCACTCCCCCCCCTCCCCCTTTGACTTGACCAGGTGCGGGAGGGAGAGTATCCAACCGAGAAAGGAGTGTCCAACCTGGAAGCAAAGCACGGGCTGCTGCTGCACTACTGCTGCTGCCTGCTCGCTTCCTGCTGCTCATTACCTCAACCAAAGCCCTTTACTCTCACTCCTTTCCCTGCCCTTGGTTCTATCAGGTGCGGGAGGGAGAGTATGCAACCGAGAAAGGAGTGTCCAACCTGGAAGCAAAGCACAGGTTGCTGCTGCACTACTGCTGCTGTCTGCTCTTCTTCCTCACTCCTTTGACCCCCCTCTTCTCCCTGCTGCTAAATCCTAGTGTTTTGACCTCTTGTCCCTCAAACTTGACCAGGTGTGGGAGGGAGAGTATGCCACAGAGAACGGGGTATCCTACCTGGAGGCAAAGCACGGTCTGCTGCTGCACTACTGCTGCTGTCTGCTCTTCTCCCTGCTGTTTACTCACCCTAGGCCCTTGACTCTCACTCCTCCCCCTCCCCCTTTGACTTGACCAGGTGCGGGAGGGAGAGTACGCTACAGAGAATGGAGTATCCTACCTGGAGGCAAAGCACGGGCTGCTGCTGCACTACTGCTGCTGTCTGCTCTTCTTCCTGCTGCTCAGGGCGGAAGGCAAGCCAGTCAGGGACCACCCCGTGGTCTCCCGACTTGTGGAGCTCAGGCTGTTCCTGGAGAAGGTGGGCTGAATGTGTGGGGCTCGTGGTCTAGGGTTTTGGGGTTTGTACTGCTGCTGTCTGCTCTTCTTCCTGCTGCTCAGGGCGGAGAGCAAGCCCGTGAGGGACCACCCCGTGGTGTCTCGACTCGTGGAGCTCAGACTGTTCCTGGAAAAGGTGGGTTGGTTTTATTTGGGCTATTGCTGTTGCATGGTTTGCTGCTCTGCACCCTGCCTCCCACCCACTCACCCTCTCTCCCACCCACTCACCCTCCCTCCCACCCACCCCCACCCTCCCACCCACTCATCCGTTTTCAGTCCCAACCCTCTCTCCCCTCCCCCTCCCCTCCCCCTACACCCCCCCTCCCCACTCCCCCACTTCCCTCCCCCCTCCGCACACCCAACCCTCTCTCCCTCTCAAATCAGATCCGCCCTATTGACAAGAAGCTGCAGTACCAAATCGAAAAACTTCTCAAGCTGGCCTCGTCGGCCAATCGTGGCGCGACACCTGGCAAGCAGTCCGCAGCAGCAGCAGAGGCTGGGGTGGGAGGGTCACTAGACGACCTGAAACACCGTCCCAACCCGAACCTCCTAGTGTCGAAGCTCGGGGGAAGTGGCGGCGATGGGGGAGAGGATGGGGGTGTTTCTGCTGGTGGTGGTGGTGGTGCAGGTGGGATTTACAAGCCGCCTAAGATTGCCCCGATGGCTATGGATGGGGAGAAGGAGGGGGGGAAGAAGGGCGGGGAGGTGGGGGCGCGGCGGGAGGAGAGGGAGATGCGGGAGGCGAGGAGGCGGGCGGCCAGAAGCGCGTTTGTGAAGGAGCTTGCTGAGGACGTGGAGGGACGGCCGCGTGAGGTGAGTTTATGTGCTTGGCACTTCGTGAGGTGAGTTTATATGCTTGGCACAGGTGCGAGTGGAGGGTGCCTCAATGATGATGGTGGAGGGTAAGGAGATGGAGAGGGAGGTGGAGCGGGTGAGGGAGAGGGAGAGAGGGTGCGCAAGTGATGCTCGAACTCACGCCCCCTTTGACCCACACTTGCATGCTCTCTTTCCCTTCCCCCTCCCCCCACACACAGATGCGAGTGGAGTGGAGGGAGCATCTACGATGATGGTGGAGGGCAAGGAGATGGCGAGGGCGGTGGAGCGGCTGAGAGTGGAAATTGAAGCTATTGTTTTAGATAGGCTTTAGTGTAGACTCACACCCACTTGCTGGCCTCCCCGTCGCCCACTCCCAACCCCCCCAATGCACAGATGCGAGTGGAGGGAGCGTCTACGATGATGGTGGAGGGTAAGGAGATGGAGAGGGAGGTGGAACGGCTGAGGGAGCGGGCTGCAGCGGAGGAGAAGATGTTTTCCCGCGTGCCCCTCAACCGCGGGGAGAAGCAGCGCCTCAAGGCTCTCAAGCAGAGCCAGAACATGTGAGTTGAGGTGTGGGTAGGGACACACTTTGTGAGCAGAAAGGTTGAGGGTAGGCTTACATCGGGCTGAGATAGAGGAGGTGGGGTGGCTGAGAGAGAGGGCTGCAGCAGAAGAGAGGATTTTCTCTCGCGTGCCTCTCAACCGCGGGGAGAAACAGCGACCTAAAGCCCTTAAGAGGGGCCAGAACATGTGAGTTCAGTTGTTGGTGGGAGAAGGGGGGAAGGAGGTAGGCTTACATAGCACTCGATGGGGAGGAGTGAGGGCGGTCGAAGAGGAGCCAGAAGATGTGAGTCCAGTTGTGGGTGGGGAGAGAGGGAGAGGGGAGAGGGAAGCGGGAGTGAGAAGGGATAGGCTCGGGGGAGGAGGAGGAGGCAAGCAGCAGAGCATGCCGTGCTGGTCTGATGCCAATGGCTTGCTTCCTCTCATGCCACCCCTTTCCCTCTCCACCAGGCTGGCCGGCATGCTGGATGACTTTGACGATGATATTGCTGCCATCATGGCAGCAGGGGAGGAGGGGAGGGGGCACTTGTTGACACCTCACATTCTTACTCTACTGCCTGCCTGTGCCTCGCCTCTGTCTCTCTTGCTTGCCGTGCCCCTCACTAACAGGCTTGCCGGCATGCTGGATGACTTTTGACGATGATATCGCTGGCATCATGGCAGCAGGGGAGGAGGGGGGCGCACAGGCCGGCCTCACAGCAGCAGCAGCTGCTGCTGCAGCAGCAACAGACATTTCACTCCCCACCTGCCTCTCATCTCCCCACCTGCCTCTCATCTCCCCACCTGCCCTTCACCACCAGGCTTGCCGACATGCTGGATGATTTTGACAACGATATCGCTGGCATCATGGCGGCAGGGGAGGAGGGGAGAGGGGAACTTGAGAGCACCTTGCATTCTCATGCTCCTCGCCTTCACCCTGTCTTGTCTCTTCCATCCACCAGGCTTGCCGGCATGCTGGATGATTTCGATGATGATATCGCTGGCATCATGGCAGCAGGGGAGGAGGGGGCCGCACAGGCTGGCCTCACAGCAGCAGCAGGAGCAGCAGGAGGAGCAGCAGGAGGGATAGGAGGGTTGACGAGTGCTGGGATGCTGGAGTCGCTGCTTCGGCCGCGCAAGCTGTCAGAGGCGATTCACGAGGCGGGCAAGATCACCTCCCTCAGGGGGGCACAGGGCAAGGTATGCTGTTTCTAGTGGCGAATTAACCCCATGTGTGGATGCAATCTTAATTTGCTAAGTTCACTGATTCTTAATCCCTTTACACCATGCTCTCTCTTCCAGGTGATATCAGTAGACACTGATCTTTCCTTGAAGCCGGACCTTTAATGAGAGTCAGGGAGTCAAGTAGAGAGGTTCCCTAATTCTTCATCCCTTAACACCATGCTCTCTCTCTCTCAGGTGATATCCGGAGACGCTGATCTCCCGTTAAAGCCGGACCTGGGTGAGCGCCGCCGAGCCTACGAGGCAGGCGTGGTGGCGAAGCAGGTTCGGAAGCGAGGCTCCGAGGACCTAGGGTTCGACCAGGGAGATGAGGACGGAGGGGAGGGAGAGGGAGGGGAAGGAGGTGAGGAGGACGAGTTTTACGCTGAGGCTCGGAAGATGCAGGAAGCTCGGCGGTCTGCCAAGGCTGCCAAATACTCTTCGTGAGTTCCTCTGCCCTCTCTTCACTGTTTTATGGTCCTTCAAAAATTGAAGACCTTTTAGATTTTGAGACGTCTCTCAAGGCAAGGCGGTTTGCCAAGGCTGCCAAATACTCCTCCTGACCCTTTCTGTGCCGTATTGATGTTTCTCGTGCTCGTTCCATTTCCCTCCTATTCCTAGTTCCTTTTTTTTTCCTCCTCAATGTTGTTTTGTCTCCTGTTGGTTATTTTAAAATTTTCATTTTCCTGCCCATTATGTCTCAATGACTCTCCTTGTGAGCCGTCTGCTGCTCTCACGTCATAGTTTCTCCTGTTTTTGCTGTTTCAAGTCCGGCTTGAACAGCAGCGAGAGACTAAAATCAGCTATTTGTTTCTCGCTTGAACTTCCACTTCAACTTCTACTCTCTACTCTTCTCTTCCCATCCCCCTTCTGTCCGCCTCAGCTTTGGTCTCATTTTTTAAGCGGAGCCCTCATTGACTATCGAGTCAACTCAAAAGTCACTCGACGCCCTTTTACCGACTTCCCTAAGCACCCTCCCTTTTGAGGCGCCTCAAAAGTCATTGGCTGTCGAGTCAACTCAAAAGTCACTCAACGCCCTTTACCTACTTCCCTAATCACCCCCCCGCTCTCCCACTTTTTCCACCCACCCCCCTTCCCCTCCTTGGCAGCTCTGGCCTTGTTCCTGAAGCTGAGCCTTCTGTGGACCAGGATGGGCGCCGGCAAATCACCCCCCAGAAACTCACGTCCCTGTGCTCTCATGCATCCCTGTGTCGCGCCATCCCAGCTTCCTCTTCCCCTCAGCTCTGGCCTCATTCCTGAAGACGAGCCGGTCTCTCAGTGGCCGTTGAGTCGACCCGACCAAAACTCACCTACCCTTTCCCTTCCCTCTCCTCCATCCCATTTTCACCCATCCACCTGCGTATCCTTGTCAGCTCTGGCCTTATTCCTGAAGCCGAGCCATCGGTGGACGAGGATGGTCGCCGGCAAATCAGCAACCAGGTACTTCCTTCGCACCCGTTCTTGTATTCACATCCTTCCGCTCTCATCCATTCTTGTGTTCACATCCTTCCGTGTGCATCGAGGTGACTTTTGAGGCACTTAAAATTGGCAAATCACCAACCAGGTACATCCGTCGCATCCGTTCTTTTATCACAACCTTCCGCTCTAATCCATCCTTGTGTTGTGTCAGTGTCACCCCTTGCTTTTGAGGCGCCTCAGAAGGTACATCCGTCAGATCCGCTCTTTTATCCAACCTTCCGCTCTAATCCATTCGTGTGTTGTGTCAGTGTCACCCCATACTTTTGAGGCGCCTCAGAAGTTACATCCGTCGCATCCGTTCTTTTATCACAACCTTCCGCTCTAATCCATTCGTGTGTCACGCCATGCTCCCTCCATCACCCTCGCCCGCCCTGTCTCTTCCTGTGATTTCTGGCTCGATTCAAATCTCAGCCCATGCACCCACCGTTCTCCACCCTTGTCTATCCCTTGCTGTGATGTCTGACCTGAACCATTGTCACCCCATGCATGCACCATTCCCCTCCCTCGTCCGTCCCTTGCTGTGACTTACGAGTTCGAATGATGGTCACCCCATGCAACCAACATCCGTTACCCGCATCCATCCCTTCGTTTGTGTCAGATTGAGAGGAATCGCGGCCTGACAGCGCACCGCAACAAGGCGGTCAAGAACCCTCGCAAGAAGTACAAGGTATGCAAATGCTAGTGCAGGTCGCACTATTTTTTAGCAGGCCCCCTCCCACTCCAACCCCTCCAACACCGCAACAAGGCGGTCAAGAACCCTCGCAAGAAGTACAAGGTATGCAAATGCTAGTGCAGGTATCACACATTTTGAGCAGGCCCCCTCCCACTCCAACCCCTCTAACACCGCAACAAGGCGGTCAAGAATCCTCGCAAGAAGTAGAAGGTATGCAATTGTTAGTGCAGTATCACACATTTTGAGCAGCCTCCCACGCACTTCAACCCCTCCCAGCGCCCTCCTGCTCCCCTCCCTCTCCCCACCAGATCCTTGTTGCAAATGCCAATACATTCTCCCCTCCCTTTTCCGCACTTCACTTCCTCCCACGCTTTGTCCTCAACTCCTTCGAACAAACTATTTTACCCTTATGGTGTTTCTCAATAATTCGTGGTTACAGCTCAAGCATGCGGATGCTGTGGTTCGTCGCAAGGGCCAGGTGCGAGACGTCAAGCGTGAAACTGCTCCTTACGGTGGTGAATCAACCGGTATCAAGTCCAGCATCAGTCGCAGTGTTAGGATCGGCTGAAATTTGTGAATGTATTGTCATCCGGAAGGTGCTTGCTGTGATGATAAGGGAGTTTACGTCAAGCATACAGCTTGTAGGAATGGTTGCTTGGTTAGTGGAGCCTGCATGACAGCATTTTTGCATTTCACTAAGCTTTGACATTTGTGTAGAGATGAGTTGTTCAGAATAGCAATCTTACTCAAATATATCGTTTTATTGCGTGAGTGGTGAAGGCAGTGTAGGCAGTATATCGTTTTATTGCGTGAGCGGTGCTTGATGCGTGAGCGGTGTAGGCAGGAATAGTTCCGTCAGCATATGGTGAAGGTCTACACTACACACACCAAGGAATTGAATTTGCTGTTCTTCACTCGGTGGCGTCGTCTTGCTAGTCAGGGAAGTATCAGCGTTGGTAGTCAGGGAAGTTTTGCTGTGACCATGGTTACGACCAAAAAATACAAATCTTTCTCGACAGCTCAGCTTTCCAGGTTCGACTGATTGGCTGGCGAAGAATGCTAGACAGGAAATGTGTGGAAGCCGTCGGCCCTGAGCCACTAGATTGCGGGGAAAGGGCAATCACACGTGCCTCCACCGCCGTGATCTTCCTCGATATTTGCACAAAGCCAGCTCTTGCTGAAATTTAGGAAATGTTTTTGTGTTTGTGATCCCAAGCGGGGCAAAGATCAAATAGGGGCCGAAAAATAGCACGGGTTGTCCAAATTAGGGCCGGGTACCGAGCCTCGTCTTTTGGAGTTAATTTTCGAATTTTCCAATATCACGTAACTAATTTCACTTGTCAGAGGTCCTGACGCGTCGTGACTGATTGAGAGGAAACTTTATGTCGCTAGCGCCACCGAGCACTAGACGACGCCACCGGGAACTGTTAGGGCAGGGGAAACAAAACTAAATCCCTTCTCGAACCTGGACGAATTTTTTTGGAGGGATCAACCCTAAAACGGGAACCCGCCTGTCGTTTAGGGTTGTTGCATCCCCGAGTCGCATCCATTTCCGAGTGGGTTTTAATTTTCAGGTCAGGTGGAGGGATGTGTCGCAATAGTTTATACACGATGAAACATACCCCCAGAGGAAGACGACGCGAGCCTCGTATGAGAAAAGCATTGAATCAACAACGTCGCTTTTATAGTAATCTCCTCAAAATTTCGGTTCGGGTTATTGGCCCAGCCACATGGGCAGCTCCGTAGATGTATCGAACGGTTGGGATTTACCCGGCCCTAATTTGGACACCCCCGTGCTATTTTCCGGCCCCTATTTGATCTTTGCCCTCCCAAGCGCAGCCCATCAGGTCTGGTGGATCCATACTTCTGCTCACCAGCTCCGCTAGGCTCGGTCGCCGGAATTGCTGGACCACCAGGGGCCAGACATTTCTGCTTGGATCACCGGCCTAGAGATTCCTACTAGTCGAATGGACGGCTGCGATCGGGTGTTGTGGACCTGTGCGATCTGGTCGCTCTGTAACAGCATCCCTTTTCTCATTCAGTACGTATTTGCAGTCAAACGAGCCCCTTGGTTTCGGTTTCAACAACACCATGGCTGCTCTGGCAGTTGTTTTCTGAGGAGCTTGTGCAATCAGGGGCTAACAAGCACATCAATAAACGAGGGAAACCGAGGAGCGATCGTCATTTGGTTTCTTTATCGGCTTCAAAGCGCACACTTTTCAGTTGAGTCTCTCCTACTGGCTTCTCGTTGAAGATCTATCGGTGTCTGGAAGGACCGATCTTGGTGACTGAGCAGTCTCGTCGTAACCGTGCTCTGGCTTTGTTCATCGACTGAAGTTATGGACTTGGTAGGAACTCTTTCCCGGCCGATCGCTCCGCAACCTCAACCAGTTATCGGAAGAGGACGGATCTGCTCTCAACGAGATAAAAAGGGCTCCTTGTCTGTCGCTGTAGCTATCACTGGCAATTCCTCTCCCATTGTCCCGTCTCTGGAGAAGAGCAACACATCCTCGAAAAAAACCAGTACGTCCGCGACTAGTGTCAAAGCGCCGCTACTACAGTCGGAGAATGGCGCGATAGCTGGCCGACCCTCCTCACCGATCCAAGAGCATGCGTCTTCATTCAATGTACCTGGCGTTGACGAAGGGTTGATCTGGACGGAGGGAGGTTCCGAGCAGCTCGGTGCGCTTCTCGAAGGAGGGAGCGTTTACCGAGAGAGATTCGTCATCAGGTGTTACGAAGTGGGCGTTCATAAGACCGCGTCGATAGAAACTATCGCCAATTTATTGCAGGTAAGAGGATTCAGTCCGAAAATGTATGAGTTCATGAATCTTACATTCAGGGGCCATGATCTTATATAAGTGATCCATTTGCTGGATTTCCAGGAGGTGGGGACCAATCATGCTCACAGCGTTGGGTTCTCTAAGGACGGCCTGGCAACCACGCCAGGCATGCTGAGACATAACTTAATATGGGCAACAACTCGGATCCACATCGAGATGTACAAGTATCCGACCTGGTAACTCTTCGAATGACGTGCTCAGAGCCTCTTTTTAACCAATCATTCGAGTCACATTTTGTGCCTCTTGATGCATCCTGACTTTATTGTAGAATTCACCTTTACGTTCTTTTCTGATAACAGGGGAGATGTCGTTGAAATTGACACGTGGTGTCAGTTGGAGTCAAACATATTGACACGGCGAGACTGGATCATTCGGTTGTCAAAATCTGGTGACGTCATTGGTCGAGGCACCAGGTAAGAATATTCTGGTACTTTATATGCATAACTCTTGCTCTTCTCGTAGACAGCTAATCGGTTTATACCTATGTTGTGCAGTTCCTGGGTGATGATGAATTCCAACACACGTCGTTTGGCTCGAATTCCGTCTGACGTGTGGGAGGAGATTATTGTTCACTGCCCTAATCCTTCCCTGTAAGTTTCTCCCGGGGGGATTTTATTAGCAACACAACTTTACGCCATGAAAGTACAGAAGTTTTGAAGTAAACGTGAAGTATTTGTTGAACCCTCTCTGAACAGGTATGCTCTTCCCCCGGACGCGGTGGACAAGTTGCCGAAGCTCACAGAGCCGGCTGACCATTCAAAATCAAGTCTCTGTGTGAGTGCTGTTGCTGTGGTTGCTATCGTTGTTAATAGTGCTGTTCCGTAATATGCTGTTTGCATCAACGCTATTCATAAGTTCACAATGCCATAATAGCGGTTATGCTGTCTATTGTCTGAACGGTCCCATCAATTCAGTCCTCCTACGCTGCTCTTACTGAAAATGCCACATTGCTGCTGCCGCCACTTCTTGCAGGCCAGAAGAAGTGACCTGGACATGAATCAGCATGTCAACAATGTGACTTACATTGCATGGATGCTCGAAGTAAGTGGTTGCTACCTCAGGGGGTAACCAACTTGTACGCTCGTACGTTCTTTGCGGTCGTACGTCCTTCGCAGTCTAACTGGTTGTGTCAAGGTTCAAAACGGCAAAGCACAAAAACCGTTTCACACCATATGGAACCGCTCTGAGCCACCAAGAGAGACCTGTAAACGTACAAACTGGACTCTCCCTCACTAAGCCTTCTCATTTCAACATGCTCAATGACAAAGGACATCTTATACATGTTTTTCTTTCTAGACCCTTTCACTTTCCAGTTTTGCCCTCCTTCACTTTCCAGCCTTTTCGCTCACCTCTCCCAATATATCTGCCTTTCCCTCACCCTTCTCGCGCTCTCCGTTTCGCACCCTTTCACTTTCCAGTTTTGCCCTCCTTCACTTTCCAGCCTTTTCGCTCACCTCTCCCAATATATCTGCCTTTCCCTCACCCTTCTCGCGCTCTCCGTTTCGCTTTCAAACCTCATCATTCCCCTTCAGAGTTTGCCCCAGGATCTTGTCGACAGCTCAGAGCTGGCTCAAATAAGCATCGAGTACCGGCGAGAATGCAGTCAGAATGACATGGTGGAGACACTGGCCAGTCACACAGTGCCAGCTGCCAAACCAGAGGCCATCAAACAGTGCACCACCACAGACGGGGTCCTTTTGTCAAAGGAGTCTGAGGAGGCGAAAGGCGTCTGTTTGTTAACATTGGTGGAGAGAGAGAGTCCTGAAGAGCTTCAGCACTTCTCCCACATCCTGCGGCTTCAGGACAGCAAGAAAGAGATCAACAAGGGTCACACAGTCTGGCGCAAAAGGAGATAATTAATTGTTGTCTTGATGCAGGTTGGCTTGCACTTCCAGTGCCTATTGGCAGTGTCTACATCTGACTCTTAAATTGTTTCATAGATCTGATTTGTATCAACTGCCAAGTTGGCAGTTCTCAATACTTATGATATGTATTGGCTATGCCCATCAAAAGCAAGGTGACCTGGTTCTCTTGAAATCTTCCTGGACCGTATGTCCAAATGTTTCCAGTGAAGTTGCTCACACATGAAAACAATATTGAACGGACTTCACTTTCTGAAATGGAAGTTTACAACCGAAGGCTGCATGAACGTCTGCTGCACTGATATGGCGAAGGGAAGAAACGGATGGAAGATATATGTTGCCACTCTTTTTATCCGCGCATCTGGGTTTGCAGACTCGTAACCTGCATCATGTCAAACAAATCACAATATGGTTTAGCATGTTCCCGACTGAGGCAGGACTCAAACACAAAATGTAGACCAGAGACCTGGTGCAGCGTAACAGAGGCTACATGAAAACCCAGTGTTCCATCAGAAACACAGAGCCATGAGTTGGCATACCTGGGTTGATTTTGAACTTGAGGACATTTGGCCGGCGCCGAAGGATGAACTTGATTGGGTGCTCCACACAGGGCTTGTGCCGATCCGATGCAGATATGAGCTGGAGTTGGGCGGTGGGGGAGAGGAGGCAAGATGGGGATGATTACTTCTAAGTCAACTCAAAAGTCGCAGGCTAAACTTGATTGGGTGCTCCACACAGGGCTTGTGCCGATCCGACGCAGATATGAGCTGGGATGGTGGGAGGAGAGGAGGTATGGTGGTGATGATTACTTTTGAGTCAACTAAAATTTGCAGCAACTTAATTGGGTGCTCCGCACAGGGCTTGTGCCGGTCTGACGCGGATGTGAGCTGGGACGGTGGAAGCAGTGGGAGGCGTACTGGTGAGGATGGAGGCATGCTAGTGAGGGTTACTGTACAAAGAGAATTGAACCCACCCTCCAATGCTGACCCTCACCTTTTCATCAAAATGAAAGAGCGACTGGTCGAAGTAGGGAGATGGGGAGTAGGTCTGTGCACTGTAGGGAAGAGCAGCCAGCATTCGCTTGATTGCCTGCAGAGCCAGAAAGGACACATGGATGATAAGCACGGGACCAGATGACCCAAATGAGTGTCGATTCATTGCACTGTAGGGAAGAGCACCCAGCATTCGCTTGATTGCCTGCAGAGCCAGAGAGAACACACAGAGGGTAGCGTGGGACCATGTAAAAGTGATTTCCATATCGACTCAGGTAGCGAGCATGGGTTCCACGCTACCCTCCATGTCTTCTTTCTGGCTCTGCAGGCTACCTGTGAGCATTTCCGACACATGGAGGGTAGTGTGGGAGGGACCTTATAAATGTGATTTCCGTATCGACTCAGGTAGAGAGCATGGGTTGGACCTGTGCTTGCTTGCTCCCTTGCTCGCTCACCTGCGTCTGAGTGAGTGACAAGCGACTGCGCTCTGCTTCTTGTGTGATGAGTCGATTTTTGAGTCGACCCAAAAATCGTCGGAGTGACAAGCACAGCCTTCTGCTTCTTGAACGCCTCGCGGGCAAACACGTTGTTGGCGCAGCTGCTGATGAATGATAGCTGATACTAGCATGCTTATACCAACAATCAATCTGCTGATTGCTCCCTTGCTTGCCCCCTTGTGTGCTCACCTGCGTCTGTGACCCTCCCTTGCATGTCACAAGTGCTGCCTTCTGCTTCTTGAACGCCTCTCGGGAAAACACGTTGTTGGCGCAGCTGCTGATGAATGAAAACCCCGCCGGGGACCGCGGCGGCGCTCGAAAGTGGTCACAGAAGTGCTCAAACGCAGAGAGAAAGTCCTCTGACGAGTTCTGCAGAGCAAAAAAACACGGAGGAAGATGAGCATTCAGGGGAGGGGAGGATGTTGAAAGGTGGCGGCGCTCGGAAGTGGTCGCAGAAATGCTCAAACGCGGACAGGAAATCCTCGGAGGAGTTCTGCAGTGCGAAATAAACACAGATGGAGGAAAAACATAAGGACTTTTGAGGCGTCTCAAACGCTGTGGTGGTTCTCTCAGAAGTGGTCGCAGAAGTGCTCAAACGCAGAGAGAAAGTCCTCCGAGGAGTTCTGCAGCGCAAAGGCACAAGAGAGCAGCAGATTAACCGTTACAAAACACACACACACAAGACAAAACCAGAACGGAACGAATCCTCGCATTGGCGGGGTGAAGGGGCTTTGGTGGGAGCTGTCAGATACTCTTGAATCGATCTGAAGGCAACTAAGTACCTGATAGAAGCAGAGCACCCGCGTTGTGACGAAGTTGTAAACGGTGAAGGAGTTCTGGTGGGAGCTGTCAGATGCCCGCAGCACCACACCCTGATACAAGCAAAGCACTCACCTAATAGGCGCCTCTACTCACCTGATAGAAGCAGAGCACCCTGGTGGTCACGAAGTTGTAGACAGTAAAGAAAGAGTTCTGGTGGGAGCTGTCAGATGCTCTTGGCTTGATTGAATGGGTTGACTCACTCACTGCTGTTCTGTCCACTGACCTGGTAGAAGCAGAGCACTCGTGTTGTCACAAATTTGTAGACAGTGAAGAACGAGTTCTGGTGGGAGCTGTCGGACGATCGCAGCACCACCCCCCGCCCCCACCCATCCCCCCCACCCCCTGTTATGCCGTCAATTCAGCTGATAGGCGCCTCAAATGTACCTGGTAGAAGCAGAGCACCCTGGTGGTCACGAATTTGTAAACGGTGAACAAGGATTTCTGGTGGGAGCTGTCGGATGCTCGCAGCATTGCTTATCAAGGTGTAAGGCCGTGCGTTTACTCTACACACCTGATAGAAGCAGAGCACTCGTGTTGTCACGAAGTTGTAGACAGTGAAGAAGGAGTTCTGGTGGGAGCTGTCAGACGCTCGCAGCACCACACCCTCACTGCTATAGCGTCTACTCACCTTCTACTGGCGGAGCACTCACCTGATAGAAGCAGAGCACTCTCGTTGTGACAAAGTTGTAAACGGTAAAGAAGGAGTTCTGGTGGGAGCTGTCGGATGCTCGCAGCACCACCCCTTCCGTGCTGCCCAGGCGGATGAGCAGATGGCAGCGGTCCAACAGCTGCGCCTGGCATGGGGTGAAACACAGAATAGGAGGATGAAAGAAAGCGCAACGACTTGATGGGAGCTGTCAGATGCTCGCAGCACCACACCCTCGTTGCTTCCCATCCCATCCCAGGCGGATGAGCAGATGACAGCGGTCCAACAGCTGAGCCTGTCACGGAATAAGAGGGCGGTTTACACAGAGAAAGAGAGAAAGAGCACAGTGGGGCGAATTGGATAAGCACTACTGTTGTGCGGTGCCTCAATGCACGCACATACCTTCCAGATGATCAAATCCGCGTAGTGCTGAAAATGATACAAGAATCTCTTCACACGCTGGTTACCACCTCCCCCTCCCTCCCACAAATCGCAACAAGTGCCTAGCGTTGTGCGGCGCCTCTATGCACGCACATACCTTCCAGATGATCAGATCTGCGTAGTGTTGCAAGTGATACAGGAATCTCTTCACACACTGGTTACCACCTCCTCCCACTCCCACACAGTGGCACAGGCAGGCACTAGCGTTGTGAGGCGACACTAAATGACGTTTACCTTCCAGATGATCAGATCCGCGTAGTGCTGAAAGTGATACAGGAATCTCTTCACACGCTGGTTACCACCTCCTCCCACTCCGCCTCCCCCTCCTCCTCTGTCTCCCCTGCTGCTATCCCCATACCCCACCGCACCAGACCCCACCGCACTCGACCCCACTGCATCCCCCAGGTGGCACTCATACACATGCACCAGCAGCCGCTGCATCAGCACACTCAGCAAACCACCCCCTGTTAACAGCCCCCCAGCATTCACCATCCCCCCTCCCAACATTCCCAAATCGCCCATGCCCCTCATGCCCGCCTCCTCCCCTTCACCCCCCAACATCCACCTCCCGTCACCCCACCCACTGGCCTCCCTTCCCCCTCCTTCCCTCTCTAGCCCGGCTAGAGCTCCCCCGAACCCACCTCCCCCTGCCGCCCCTGCTCTCCCCCCTCCTCCCGCTCCTCCCCCTCTTCCCCCTCCTCCTCTTCCTCCCGCTCCTCCCACTCCTCCCGTTCCTCCCGCTCCTCCTGCTCCTTCTCCTGGCACACCTCCTAATCTCCCAGCACCACTGGCAGCAGCATCCCCAGGCATGGGAGCAGATACACCCCCCCCCCCACCAGCAGCACCATCTGTTCGTCCACCTTCTAGGCCATCCCCATCCCCATCCCTATGCCCATGCCCATGCCCATGCCCATGCCCATGCCCATGCCCATGCGCACCCCCATCTCCTCCTTCCCCTGCCAGTTCCGCTGCTCCCACTCCTCCCCCCACCCCTCTCCCTGCTCCTGCTGCCGCTGCTCCTCCTACTCTCCCTGCCTCTCCTTCTCCCCCTGCCCCTCCTCCTGCGGCTGCTCCTCCCCCTGCTGCTCCCCCCACGCCCTCTCTCCCCCTTCCCCCCGCTCCTCCCCCCAGTTGCTGCCTCGTAATCGCCTCCAAATTCCCCCTGTCACTAACAACATACCTCGCCGCCCCACCGCCGCCCGTTCCTGACCCGCCGCCGCCCTCCCCCGTCTGTCTGCTACGTCGTCTCCTACTGCCCCTCTCCCTGCCCCCTCTCTCCCTCTCAGATCCCCCTCCCCCTATCCCTCTCTCCCTCCCCTCTCCCTGACTCCTAGACCCAAGCGTCCTACCACTCACCCCCCTCTCTCCCCCCTCCCCAGTGCCTCCCCTCCCGCCCCTCCCCCCTGCTGCTGCACCCATTGCTCCAAAGAAGAACGGAAGGCCCCCTCTTGCTGCTCCTGCTGAACTTGTCCCTCCATGCCCCATCCCCCCGCTCGCACGATCGTGCGAGTGGGAGTGAGCGTGGGAATGTCCGCGCGAGTGGGCATGCGAGTGTGAGTGAGAGTGGGTGTGCGAGAGAGTGTGGGAGTGAGAGTGAGTGTGCGAGGCGGTCTGCGACTGCGACCGAAACGATGCCTGTCCGTCAGGCCCATACGAGAGGCTAAAGAGGCTAGAGCCAAAGGTAGACATGGTAAGGCTGTGAGCAGCAGCCCCCCCTTGCATCCACACATCCCCACCCCTCCCTCCCCCTGCTCCTCCCGCTCCTGCTCCTCCTGCTCCTGCTCCTGCTCCTGCTCCTGCTCCTGCTCCTGCTCCTCCCTCTCTTCTCCCCTCTCTTCCCCCACCAGGGGGACCCATGGCTGTGCACGGCTCTAACAACCGCCCATCCTCCCCCCCATACCTCCTCTCATACATCGCTACCCCTCCCATTCCCCCCGCTCCTCCTCTTGCTCCTCCTCTTTCTCCTCCGCTTTCTCCTCCTCCCGTTTCCTTCCCTCTGTCACTTCTGTGACCCATTGCCTCGCCCCCTTCCCCACCTCCTCCTCCTCCGCTTTCTCCTCTCACTCCAATAGCTCCCTCGTTACCTTCAGTGGCCCCTGTACCTCTTTCACATCTCTTTACTTCTTCCCCTTCTCCTCCTTCCCCACCTCCTCCTCCTTCCCCTTTTCCCTCTCTTACCAATCCAATCTTTGCCTCTCCTCCCTCTCCTCTCTCTCCTCTCACTCCCCCGCTTCCTCCCCCTCCTCCTTCCCCCGCTTCCTCTCTTCTTCTATGGCCTTCCACCCCATCCTCTCCCCCATGCCCCTCCACCCCCTCCTCCCTCACGCTTTCCAGTCTCAATCTCGGCCTCTTTACACCCTGCTCGTCCTGCCTCCCATCCATATACCCTCCTCCCAGCCCTTGCGTCTCTTTCCGCTTCCTCTCCTGTCCCGTACCCCTCTCGACCCCCTCACCCCTGCTCCCCTCACCCCTGCTCCCCTCACCCCTGCTTCCCTCCCCCCTACTCCCGTCCCCCCTACTTCCCTCCCCCCTACTCCCCTCCCCCCTAATTCCCTCCCCCCTACTCCCCTCCCCCCTACTTCCCTCCCCCCTACTCCCCTCCCCCCTACTTCCCTCCCCCCTACTCCCCTCACCCTGACTCCTCTCATCCGCCTCCCTCCCCTCCTCTTCCCTCGTTCTACCTTCATCAGCCCTTCCCTCTAAAACCTTAGTGCTGCCTTTCCTCTCTGCATCACCCACCCTCTCTCCCTCCCCTCTTTCACCTCCTCCCCTCGCTCCTCCCAATCCCCCTCCCCTTTCCTCTCCATCTCCCCCCTCCCGCCCTCCCCTTCCATCTCCCTCCCCCCTGCCGTCCCCTTCCTCCCCCTCCTCCTCCCCCTCCTCATCCTCTTCCGAATACCCCGCCACAACCCCCTCACTAATCACCTCCTCACCTCCCACACCTCCACTCCCCTCCTCACCTCCCACACCTCCACTCCCCTCACCACCCCCTCCCCTCCTTCCCATGGCCTGCCTCCTCCTCAGCTCAGCCAAATGCCGCTGAAAGCGCCACTCCTCGTGGAAATGCGACTGCAGCAGCAGTTCATCATCGTCACATCCAAATGGCCCAATAACTTGCACGTCTACAAACCGCTCTGCTGCCTCCACTATCTGTGGTAAGGGAGGGGGAAGAGGGGCGGGGAAAAGGGAAGCACCACTCCTCAGCTCAGCCAAATGCCGCTGGAAGCGCCACTCCTCATGAAAATGCGACTGCAGCAGCAGCTCATCATCGTCACACACCCAAACGGCCCCACCACCTGCACATCCACAAACCGCTCTGCTGCCTCCACTATCTGCGGTGCAGGGGGGTGGGGAGTGGTGGAGAGGTAGGATGAGAGCAGCAGCTCATCATCGTCACACACCCAAACGGCCCCACCACCTGCACATCCACAAACCGACCAATCCACCACCCTCGCCTGGAGAGAAGTAACTCCTTATCACTCAACTCACCTGGAACAAGTGGATTCTCTGGAAGCGGATGCTGAGCACGGACAGCAAGTCGTCATATAGAAACGGATGAAGGGGTACATTGCATCGTAATGTAACTTCTTCTCAGTCAACTGACCTGGAACAGGTGAATTCTCTGGAAGCGGATGCTGAGCACGGACAGCAGGTCGTCGTACAGAAACGAATCCGTTTACATTGTAACAATGTGACTTATGTGGCAATAACACACAAGGTTATACGGTACCTGGAACAAGTGTATTCTTTGAAAGCGAATGCTGAGCACAGACAGCGGGTGTGGACTGGTTACAATGCAATGAGGTCAGTCGATCATACAAAAGACTCTCACCTGAAAGAGGTGGATTCGTTGGAAGCGGATGCTGAGCACGGAGAGCAAATCGTCACACAGAAAGAAAGAGTCCTGAACCGTTGCGATTGTGTGTGACTTTCACTCCCCTCACCTGGAACAAGTGTATTCTCTGGAAGCGGATGCTGAGCACGGACAGCAGGTCGTCGTACAGAAACGCCCCTCCGTTGTGGGTGAGGTTGATGTAGTCATCTCGGAACACACGCCTGTCCACCACCTTGCCATCACACAGCCTGGCAGGAGGCAAAGGGAAGGAGGGGGGAGGGGGGGTGTGGGCAGGGAGGTTGATGTAGTCGCCACGGAACACCATCCTGTCCACCACCTTGCCACCACACAACCTGGGAGGCAGAGGAAGGTGGGTAGGGGAGGGGGGTTGTGGTAATGATGTGTGAAGGAGGGCAGTGAGGAGGTGGTGTAGTCGTCTCTCGAAAACACCCTCCTGTCCACCGACTTGTCATCACACAACCCTTCACAGCCCCCACCATAAACTTTTGAGTCGACTCAAAAGTCAACTCAAAAGTCAACACCCTCCTGTCCACCCACTTGTCATCACACAACCCTTCACAGCCCTTCACAGCCCCCACCATAAACGGCAACTCCAGTAGGAATGCCCACTGTTACCCTCCATTCACTCCCTTTTCTCCCTGAGGGAACCCACATCACGAGGTGCAGCGTGATGCTCTCCATAGCCGGATCGCCCTACACAGCGCCCACTTTGTGCTGTACTGCCAGATTCTGATACCCCAATTTCCTTCCCCCCCCCCCTCCCTCTCACCTCACGAGGTGCAGCGTGATGCTCTCCATAGCCGGATCGCCTTTCACAGCGCCCAACCTAGGTGGCGAAGCCAGATCAGCAGGAGTAGCCGATGCAAACACACCCAGGGCGCTGCCCTGGCAGCAGAGGAAGAGGTCCTTGCACAGCACAGCAAAGCACCTCAACCTTTATCCCACTCAACTCACCCTCTGTTGCTTCACACAGTGCCCACACCACAGCCCAAGGCACTTCCACCCGCTCACCTCACAAGATGCAGAGTGATGCTTTCCATAGCAGGCACCCCTTTAACTGGCCCCAACTCTAGGGGGTGACGCCAGGTCAGCAGGAGTAGCCGATGCAAAAACGCCCAGAGTGCTCCCCTGGCAGCAGAGAAAGAGGTCCTTGCACAGCACCTCAACGGTCAACCCGATTCCTCAGTCAACTCAAGAATAACCTTTGGACCTCACCTGACGAGGTGTAGAGTGATGCTTTCCATAGCAGGCACCCCTTTGACTGCCCCGACTCTAGGAGGAGAGGCTAAATCCGCAGGAGTAGCAGACGCAAACACGCCCAAGGCAGATCCCTGGCAGCAGAGGAAGAGGTCCTTGCACAGCACCTCGCTGCCCCGCCCCAGTGGCGCGCAGTACAGCTGCTCAAAGTAGCTCGGAAACTTCCTAGAAGCTGCTGGCAGGTGGTCGTCTTCCTCTGCTTCTGCGACTCCCGCTGCCCCCTGCGCCCCGTACCTGGATGGGGGGGAAAGGGGGAAGCGGGAAGGGGGAAGGGGAAAAAGAGGGGAGCAGTAGGGGGGAGAGCGGAGGAGCAGGGTCGAGGTGGAAAGAGGTGGTCGTGCTTCCCTGCCTGTGTTTGGATTGAGACTCGCTCGGTCACTTGAACCAGAGGAAGCGGTACACGATGAGGTCAGGGCCGTTGCGGGAGAGGAGAAGCAGATGAGGTAATATGGCCTAGCCTGGGTAAATGATTGCACTCTATACTCAGCTCATTCATCCAGGGACCTCATTCATCCAGGGACCTCATTCATCCAGGGACCTCATTCATCCAGGGACCTCATTCATCCAGGGACCTCATTCATCCAGGGACCTCATTCATCCAGGGACCTCATTCATCCAGGGACCTCATTCATCCAGGGACCTCATTCATCCAGCGACCTCATTCATCCAGGGACCTCATTCATCCAGCGACCACAAGTGTTCTGAGACTCGCTTGAACCAGAGGAAGCGGTAAACAATGAGCTCAAGGCCGTTGCGGGAGAAGAGAGGAGAGGAGAAGAGAAGAGAAGAGAGGAGAAGAGAAGAGAAGAAGCGAGGTGCTACTGACTATGCTGGCTGATCAGTTGCACACTGTACCAGGCTGCCTCAACCAAGAACCACAATTGTTTTGAGACAATTGCTTTGAGACTCACTTGAACCAGAGGAAGCGGCACCCGATGAGGTGAAGGCCGTTGCGGGAGAAGAGAAGGGTAGTGCACATTGTGGGTGGAGTGAACGGTTGCACTCCGCACTCAGCTCACCCAGGGAAGGACCACAATCGCGTGGAGACTCTCTGCAACCAGAGCGACTCACTTGAACCAGTGGAAGCGGCACACGATGAGGTCAAGGCCGTTGCGGGAGAGGAGAAGAAGATGAGGTACTGTACTGCCCTTCGTGGCTGAAGCGACACGCTACATGCGATGCGTACCCGGGGCGAGGATAGAAATGAAAGAGACTCACTTGAACCGGTGAAAGCGGTAGACAATGAGCTCAAAGCCGTTGCGGGAGAAGCAGATGAGGAACTGCTGCTGCCTATCCTAGTTAAACGTTGCAACTCCCGTACCCAGCTCATCAATCCAGAGAGTCAGAGACCACAAGTGCTCTGAGACTCACTTGAACCAGTGAAAGCGGTAGACAATGAGCTCAAAGCCGTTGCAGGAGAAGCAAATGAGGTACTGCCCATCGTGGCTGAACCGGCGAATCACGTGCTCCGGTGACTCCACGTCGTACACCGTATGGGACGGCACGATGTTCTCGTATAAGCGGCGCACCGAGTGTAGCTGCGGGAGGGTTTAACAAGTTCCACGGTTGCACACGGGTAAAAATAGCATTTTGAGGTGCACGAAAATGCACAGGTGGGCTTGGTGTTGTACACCATATGGGACGGCACGATGTTCTCGTATAAGCGGCGCACTGAGTGTAGCTGTGGGAGGGATATACAATGTGACGATGAGTAAGGAGAAGGGAGAAGGGAGTAGTGGGGAAATGGAGACAGGTGAAGGGGTGTTTTGCGGGGTGGTACGACAAGGGTTAGGCATGACTGAATAAGAGAGAGAGGGAGGGAGAAGGGTGACAGCAATAGAGGGAAAGGGAGGATCATGAGACTTTCCAAGCTCAAACAGGGATGGTTGTGGAACATGCAATATAGGGAAACAGACTCAAGGGTGAGAAACCAGATTGACAGAAAAGAGAGAAAAAGAGTGGGTGAGACTGGTTGAGAGGGGTGATTCAGTGAAATTGGGAAGGGAAAGGGAGGGAGGGAGTGTTTGGGAGGGGTGGGTGAGGGAGGGAGTGTTTGGGAGGGGTGGGTGAGGGAGGGGAGAGAGGGGGGGTAAGGGAGAGGAGAGAGGGGGGGTGCGGGAGGGGGGAGGTTGGAAGGGATATGAGAGGAGAGAGAGCAGCAGAGGTTGGGAGAGGGAGAGAAAGCACAGGTGAAAGAGAGGTTGAGAAATACGAGAGTGACGAAGAGAATGAAAGAGTCCCCCCTGCGAGTAACGAAGAGAGGCGGAGCATCTCTTGATGCTCGCAATCGCGTGTAACCCGGCTACACTCATGCGAAACTCGTGAAGCTGGAAAACTGCCTAAACTACCAAACTGCTAACTGCGAAGCTGCGAAACTGCGAATTAAAGAAGGTGCGAAGCTGCAGAACAAGCGGCTGATCGCGAAACGAAACTCGCCTGCGCGCACGGCGGTGAGCGGAACGTCTCGCGGTGCTGCAAGCGCTGCAAGAAGTTGTCGCTGCACTCCCTCCGCCGCGTGCCGGGCATCGTGTACCAGCGCGGCTTCTTATTTAGACGACTCAATAATCGCTGGTTCCGGTCGACTCAACGAAGAAGCTGCTCGGTATCTATCTTCCGACACTCCTCAACCGTGCCAGCTTCTCTCTTAGACGACTCTAAAATCGCTGTATTAACAGCTTCTAAGTCGACTCAACAAAGAAGCCGCTGGGTATCTTCCGACATTCCTAATGCGTGTCGGTGTAAGACGCTTTTGCAGGGCTACTGAAGGCTACTTGGCGAATCTCAAGCTACGAGGAGCCTTCTACCCGTTGCCCATCACATTGCTAGCCACGCGTGCAGGACATGGAACACAATACTACGCTAAGTTCTTTGTAGCTTTCAGAACACGCATAGCAGTCTAAGACGCTTTGTAGGTTTCATAAGCGATTACAAGCAGTCTGACAAAAACCAGGCACTTCCTGAGTGTTGCGTGGCTCTGTGCTGTCCACGCTACCCCAGAAACAGAATCCTTCCCGCCAAACCTTGTGAATGCTGACCACGTGTATGAACGGCCAGGATCTCGTATCGCCACATAAAACGAAATCGTTGCCGATCGATTTGAACCCAACACTGACCTCAACCTCAACTGTCTTCCACGTGATCGCGATTTGACACGAGCATATTGCAGATCGGTAAAGAACGTTGTGTATAGCTTTTGAATCGTTACGTCAGACCAACTTCTTGCTTGCACCATGAGGGGCGACGTGGCGGACCACTGTCGCTGCAAGACATTGTGGGGGGCAAAACCTCTTGAAACAGAGCACTTGCGGTTACAGAATGTCTGCAATCCTTACAACTTTGCTGGTCACCTAACAAGCTTCAGAATCAAACTTTTAGGCAACTAACAAACTGGGCCCAAAAGGAAGCTATACTATATGCGCAATTAAGCACCTCCCTTCTCAACCACAACTCCTATTCAAATCTATACAGTGACAGCTACAGCTTGGCCAGGTACAATCTGCAGCACCTCCACATTAATTCCATCCTCTGAGCGAAGAATCTCCTGCAAAGCATAAACACTTTGGGGTTAATGAGAGGTGGTGTGGTGATTCTTTGGATCCCTTGAAAAGGTTCAGAGACTAAGTGGGGCGCACCTTGAATGAACTGAGTGTGCCGTTAGGAGTTACAAGAGCACTCAATATCCCTGACGCATCCACGTCAGCATTAGCCATAGGGGCCACATATCTGCAGAAGATTACGGTACCATAACAAGGATCCAAACAGAATAGGTTAGGACAGTTCCATGAGTGCACAAACCGTTTGCGAAATCATATTAAATGTCAAAACAGTGTGCATCAATTCACATAGCCCAGCGTGTTGCTTACCTGGCGCCCACTACCTTAGCCAGCCTCACAGCATCCTCCTGCCCTGACACGAGGGTGTAACCAGGTAACTCCTGTTTCACCACCGGTGTCACCAGCACATCCACTCGCTCACCGCCCTCCTTAAGGGCTGCCTCGTTAAACACACAGTGTGGCTCAATATAAATAGAGGCGCCTGATGCCTCCCCCCGAACGATGTACCTGATTGGCATAATCAAGGCCCAGGGCCCCGGGGGAAGGGATTTGAGTGGAGCATTTTGGCTCATTAGAAAGTAGAGAGTACGCTGACTGAGAATCATTCAGCAGTTTCAAAGGTAGGAGAGCGGGAGGGATACACAGGCGTGCATTGTCCTTCACTCTCTGAGACAAGTGTGAGAACCTGTTGCATGCACACCCTCTGCCCCTCACCCGTTTTCTGGTCGCTGCCAGGGTGGACCCAGCACAGGCCCAGGCACAGCCTTGACTGACAGTCGGGCTCCTTTGGAGGAAGTGAAGGAGGTGGAGGAACCGGGCTCTATGTATGTCACCTGAGGGGATGGGGCAGCGTGTGTGCAGAGAAAGGGGTGTGTGAAATGGCAGAAATTCCCAGACTACAAACATGTGATCGTCTCATGCTGTAGTATTTCCATTACATTCATGTAAGAGAGCAGAAGTTGAAGAACGCCTGTCCATTCAGCCTGACCGAATTCCATGCTCTCACTCACACACTCACATTGGAGAAGAGGGAATCAAGAAACGCCTGTCCGTTCGGAGTGGCTATAACAGGGACATCCGGCCGTCTGGCTGCCAGCGCCTTGAGCGTCCTCACGTGCATGTGATCACCGTGCAACCGTTCACGATACAACCTTCCACCATCCAATCCACACACCATTCACCTCATCCACTCACATTGGAGAACAGGGAGTCCAGAAACGCTTTTCCATTGGGAGTGGCGATCACAGGGACGTCCGGCCGTCTGGCTGCCAGCGCCTTGAGCGTCCGCACGTGCATGTGATCGTCCAACGATTGGGTTATAAGCACCACGTCAGCATCGATGACGTCATCCAGCTGAGGGTCGGAGGAGGATGTTTTGGTGTGGAGAGGGGAGAGAGGGGGATGGGGAGCGTGAGGGAGGGGAGTGGTGTGGGGGAGTTCAATATTCTGGACGTTATTGATGAAATACGGTATTTCATACGTAGGAAATACCATGGGAGCTCCGGTACCCGTTGTAGAGCCATGGGTTACCAAGAATGAATTGAAATAGAAAAACGGCATTCCTTACCGAGAGCGACTTGAGCACTTTTTTGTACCCCGTATAGAGCCACGGGATACCGAAATCTAGAGGACCCTCGATGATTGGATCGACGAGCACTTTCACTCCGTCCACTGACCACAGCCAGCTGTTGCCCTGCCAGGTTGATAAGAGAATAAAGGAAACATTAACCCCAATTCAAGGTTACTCGTTACTGGCATTCGTACTCTAGATGATTTACGCCGTCCACCGACCACAGCCAGGTGTTGCCCTGCCAGGTTGATGAGGCGGGAGAAGCTCCCAAGAGAACTTACTTCGAGGTACGTGAGAGTAATAGGTGCAGAAACATCAGCGGCGGACACGGAGGTCGAGGAAGAAGAGGAGGACGCTGCAGCACGTGTAATCACGCGATTAGACCGACAGCGAGACACGTCAGCAACACGGTATTCGGCAGAACGAGACGAAGGAGCTCTAGACGTTAACGCATTCGACTTGCTTGAGTTTCTGCCTGTGCAGGCTAGTCCTGATAGTTCTTGCCAAGAAAATGCACGAGGGGAACTAGCATGACGTGGCGAGGCGCGCAGCGTCGCGGCCGACGGTCGACAAACGGCGAGAGAGCTCATGACCGATTCCGAACGATCGACGCGCCGCTCAGCTTTGGGTTCAAACGGACTCTAGTCTGCTGTGCTTGCTGACACTGTTACGCTCCTTCACTTCAGGGAAATAGTTTTGAGATTCCGCAAGCTGATGATCGGTGCTTAATCCTTGCTATTAAGGGCGGGTCCAGCGCGTACGTTTACAGGTACTATACAGTTCATTTGTCGAGGTTTGAAAAGATAACAGGCGGTGCACAGTGGTTTTGAAATTGCACCGTTTTGAACCGTGACGAAATACAGATTACCGCACTAGATGAACTGTAATGTACGGAAAATGTACGCGCTGGACCCGCCCTAAGGTCGTAGTTCGATTGTCGCTTCAATGCCCTTGCAGCGAGTGGTGGGGGTTGTGGCTAAGTGGCCTTACCTCGATGAAACACGTGGATTGGTTTCACTGTTACGCACATACATCAGCAGATTCATTCGCGCCCCTCCGAGGCGTGTGTGAAATTGTTTTAGGTTCGTAATTGAGGTCGAACTTTAGCTGGTTACCTTATTCGCCAATTTCGTCGAAACGGTTGGCGAAATGCACTTTAAATCGGAAACACACAAATCCGACCAACAAAAAGTGAACAAGTCTCGAATCTATGTACGAACGTGAGAGTGCACGATGAACCGAACATGTGTTATTTTGGGCACGCAAGAGAAGTTGACGAATTGCGCAATTTGTTCGTGCACCAATGAACGCACCACTGAAACCATGGTAACAGTTCGTCTCGCAGATCTAGACGAGATCAGGTAACCTAAATAACCCTAAACGTGCAAAATCGAACTTGGGTGTGTGGTTGTGCTTCAACCGTTTGCGAGACGCGCGGATCGAACTTTGCCATCAACGAAAGTCGAATTTTGTTCACCTCATGTTCAAATGCTAGATTCGATTTCAAAACGCAAAGTTATACCAAAAAAAATCACACACGCCCTAACTCCAGTGAATTCTCTGGCACTTTTTGCCACCTCTCCATGTAGTCACCTCAAATGCTCCGATTTTATCACTAAATATCCCTGGTTTGAAGATTCACGAGAGTTATGGCTCCCGCAGTGGATCAACGGCGACTCACTGGCGGGCGGGGGATCCTGGGCCTTGGGACCGTCGGATTAGCTTACGTGGCGATGGAATACGTGAGAGGCCGAACCAACTGGCTTCCGCAAAGTCTCGCGTCGCAGCTACAACCCGGTCTGTGGGGCGTCTTGGCGATCCTCGCGCTTTTCGAGGCTCCGCGTTTCCGGCATTTCGCGGAAGAATTTCGCGCGGCTCCCAAGTTTTTCGCGAGCGTGCTTTTCATGGTGGCGATGTTCGCCATAGAAGTCGTTCTGGTGCAGTTCGTTACAGTAGTCGTCGGCATTGACTGGCACAAGTACGTATCCTCGCTATTAGGTGAATCCGTTACAATACAATGTAGGGTCCCGCACATTAGAGAACGAATTATCTTGCTGCCGTGTTGGCCATTTTTCCCCCCTCCCCCGATCCTCCCCCGAACTTCCTGCATTCCTCCTCCGAACGTCTCCCAGTGTCCTCCTTTCCGACTTCTCATGTTCTTCATACTTCTCAATGCTCAGCGCACCTTCCTTCTCCCCTCCCCCCCCTTTTCCCCCGCACTTTCGCCAGTAGCTCTCCCCCCTCTAACTGACACCTATCAGTGGATTCTCCTCTTCCTCACCCGATCACCTTCCTACTCCCTTGCGCCTCCCCCCATTCCTTCCCCCCTCCCCCCATTCCTTCCCTCCTCCCCCCATTCCTTCCCCCCTTCCACCATTCATTCCCCCCATTCCTTCCTTATTCCCCCATCCCTTCCCCCATTCTCCCATTCCTTCCCTCCTCCCCCCATTCCTCCCCCCCTTCCACCATTCATTCCCCCCATTCCTTCCTTATTCCCCCATCCCTTCCCCCATTCCCCCATTCCTTCCCTCCTCCCAGATTCAGTGGCACCCCTCCTCTCTCCGACACGGGCCAGTGGCTCCTCCTCGCTCTCAACAACCACCTTCCGACTCACGGTGCCCCGTCCCTTTCCCGCCATTGTTTACCCTCTCCCACCAATCCCCCCCCACCCTTCCCCCAGTGGCACGGTGGCACCCCTCCTCTCCCCGACACGGACCAGTGGCTCCTTCTCGCCCTCAACAACCACCTCCCCGCGCCACGCGCCCCTCCCTTCCTCCCTTCCCCCCTTCCCCCCTTCCCCCCTTCCCCCCTTCCCCCCTTCCCCCCTTCCCCCCTTCCCCCCTTCCCCCCTTCCCCCCTTCCCCCATTCCCCCCGCCCCCCCCCCTCTCCCTCCCCATGCAGTGGCACCCCTCCTCTCCCCGACACCGGTCAGTGGCTCCTCCTCGCCCTCAACGACCACCTCCCCGCGCCCCTCACCACCCATTCCTTCCCCCTTCCCCCCTTTCCCCCTACCCCCCCCCCCCCCTTCCCCTTTCACCCCTCTTCCCCCAGTGGCACCCCCCCTCAACAACCACCTCCCCGCCCTCTCGTGCGCCACTCACTACCTGTTCTCTTTCTGCTTCTCTCCCCGGTTCCCCTTCCCCTTCCCCCAGTGGCACCCCTCCTCTGCCCGACACAGGCCAGTGGCTCCTCCTCGCTCTCAACAACCACCTCCCCGCACCCCTCACCGCGCTCCTCCCTTCCCGCCTTCCCGCCTTCCCCCCTTCCCCCCTTCCCCCATTCATCCCTCCCCCCCCATCCAGTGGCACCCCCCCCCTCCCTGACACAGGCCAGTGGCTCCTCCTTGCTCTCAACAACCACCTCCCCGCACCCCTCACCTGCTCGGCTCACTATCTGTGCTCTTTCTGCTGCTATCTCGGTTCCCCTTCCCCTTCCCCATGCAGTGGCACCCCCCCTCTCCCCGACACCGGTCAGTGGCTCCTCCTCGCTCTCAACAACCACCTCCCCGCGCCCCTCACCGCCCTCCTCCGCGCCCGCCTAGTCGAGATGCACGATTTCCTCATGCTCTTCATGCTCCTCGCCTTCTCCGTCCTCTTCAACTGCATTCCCCCTTCGGGAATCGGGCTCGGCGCGCGCTACTGCTTCACCATCGGGCTCAGCCGCTTGCTCCGGTTCCTAACCTTCGCTTCGACGATCCTCCCGGCGGTTCGGCCGTGGTGTGCCGCGGCTAGGTTCGGGAGCACGAGCCCCAGGCACCCGCACCCCTGGGCTCAGAAGTATTTTGTGCCGTATGCCACGAATCACGACATGCTTCACCAAGTGATTTCCACTGACGTGGCCTTTGGTACGTCTCTAGTTTTGGGCATTATTACAGAAGCATTAGAGAGTCACCCGCACCCTTGGGCTCAGAAGTACTAAGTGCCATATGCCAGGAATCACCATCTGCTTCACCAAGCTATCTCCACTGACATCGCCTTTGGTGAGTCCCTTAGCATTTGGTATTATCAGAGAAGCATTAGAGAAGCACCCGCACGCACCCCTGGGCTCAGAAGTACTTTGTGCCGTATGCTACGAACCACGATCTGCTTCACCAATTGACTCCCTCTGATGTGGCCTTTGGTGAGTGGATGTGTAGGGCGCTTCTACATTTACCCGCACCAGATTTACCCACACACCATCACTGGGCTGATAGGTACCCTTCAGTAGCACCCGCACCCCTGGGCTTAGAAGTACTTTGTGCCGTATGCCAGGAACCACGATATGCTTCACCAGGTCATTTCCACGACGGGGCCTTTGGTAAGTGGATGTGTTATTAAGGCGCCTTCAGAACTACCCGCGCACCACCACTGCGCTAAAAATACCATTCAGTAGCACCCGCACGCACCCCTGGGCTCAGAAGTATTTTGTGCCATAGGAACCACGAGTTGCTGCATCGGGTTATTTCCTCTGGCGTGGCCTTCGGTAAGCCCTTGCCTCGTCACTTCCAATGCGTGGTTACTGCAACAACCTACGATACTCCATGCATCAATCATCCATTTCCTTGTGCTGTGGGCAACGTTTGAGATTTTCAAGCTACAGCTAAACCATGCACCAGTCATCCACACACCGACCTCCATCTTTTTTTCCAATGGTCTTCCCTTCTCATGCCATGCCCCAGCCCCCCAGGTGCACTACCCACTTCAGTGTCAACGTGCCTGGGGCGTGCTGCAGTTCCTGGTGGCCTTCATGGGCCCCATGGACTCAGCTGTCTCCCATGCCCTTCTTCTCTCTTTTTTGTTTCTCCTTCTCTCGTTTTCTTTCATTCCCCAGCCCCCCAGGTGCACTACCTACCTGAGTATCAACCTAACTGGGGCGCCTTTCAGTTCCTGGTGGACTTCCTTCGTCCAATGGACGCCCGCGCTCACCACGGCGCCGCCGCCACCACTGGAGCCTTCAGCAGCTTCGTCATCCGCCCCTACGGCGGCTGCAACGACCTTGCCTTCAGCGGGCACATCATTGTCGCAGCCCTCACTGCCTGCGCCTGGCAGGTGGGTTTTGTCTTTTGAAACGCTTCAAAAGTCATCCGCCCCTATGGTGGCTGCAACGATCTCGCCTATGGTCATCTCACATTATTGTTGCATCCCTCACTGCTTGCGCCTGGCAGGAGGCCTTTCCCGGCTGGGCTTCCGCCATGGTCTGGGGCCTTGTGTTTCATTCCGCGCAGAGGGAGGTTCGGGAGCGGCAGCATTATACAGTAGATGTGGTTATCGCGCTGTATCTCGCGCCGTTGCTGTGGCGTACCACCAAGTTTCTCTGGTCTCGCCCGCTGCCTCCGCCCACGAGGAGGGAGGCTTTTGGGGCGGCGCTTGGCGAGCGGGAAGCGGCGCTTATGAAAGCGCTGAAGGATGGGGATTTGGGTGCGGTGAGGGAGGCTGTGGGAGATGCTGTGGAGGAAGCGGAAGGAGTTGTTTCCAGGAGTGTCAAGGGGAAGATTGCTGGGAATAAAGCTGCGAGGGACGCGCAGACGAACAGTTTTTTGTTGCCGTTTGGCGTTGGGATGATTCTATTGATGTTCGTGGTGGTTTTGACGGCCTTCAATATGGCAGACGAAGGCGGTGGCTTTTTGAGGTGGCGCAAATGAGGGGTATAGTGTTAATAGTTGTGATGTGATTGGGCGTTCAAATTTTTGTTTGATAGAGGCGGTGCTTGCAAGGGAATAGCTTACTAGATGCACTTGTACTAATATTCTTGCTGTAGCAGGCATGCCTTGATAAAGGCCACGCCCCATCTTGAGAGGTTAACATGTCTAATACCATAGATTGTGTTAATAGAGTACAATTCCCATTGGCCAGAGCAGCAACAGGATCACATCCTCCCATTTCCGCCACACAATCACAAATGATTTTTTATGTTCATTTTCTGACACCGTTTCCGACGTTTCTGCTTGACATCGAGTCGATCTGACGGTAGAAATAGCGCGGAAAATCACACCTCCGAGATCGTCACCCCGATATCTCCGCCAGTCATTGGACAGAATTGACGAGGGGCAAGGGGCACCAGATGAAGTTCTCGAGGGGGCACCCAACCCAAGGGATGTCTGAACTGATCGTCCTTCATGCCCTCTGTCACATGATCATAGCTCATGCCCTCTGTTACAGCGGAATTGCACGCACTTCAGTATGGTTCAGATAAATGAAGCAGGGTGCATTGCGGTAACGAGTGATTCTGCGTTATCTGGCCTCGAGATGTGTCAAAACTTCACCACACCTCAAACGCTTTTGTGGCTGTGCTTCGGTTTCAGCAGCTGATCTGAGATTAGGTGACTGGTGAGGCGAGACAAGCATTGACATCATTACCTGCTGCCTCCCGCTGCTCACTTGAAACTTCTCCTTGTCCAGTTCAGTCGCTTGGGGATGGTCTCAGGGGCTACTCTGCGTGCTCTGCTAGACCGCAATAGGCCGAACACCTTTTTTATAGTTATAGCCGTTGACGGAAATGATACTGCGGGTTTGTAAGGTTCGGAGGCGTCTGTCCTGATTGCAACGCTGCGTGACTTCATCGTGCATCTTGAAGTAGCACGTCTTTTGATCGAGTTTCGAGGGGCCTCAGAACAGAAACAGGACGTTTGCTGATCGAGCTGACAGACAGCTAACTCCTGCTGCTCGAACGATCTTCTCCAACCTGGCGTCTTCACTGCCTGTCACCTCGAAGCTATCCGCTTCCGCCTGCAACACGATGACCTCTTCCTCCGCTACTCAAGGGTCTTCGCTGCTGCGCGTCGCGCGGAAGGTTCTAAACCTAGGAACCATCGGTGTAGCCTACGTTCTGATAGAGTTCGTCTGCACGCGAACGGACTGGCTCCCCCCGCACGTCGCGGCGAAATTCCCGCTGGCTCTATGGGCGTTCCTCGGGATTCTTGGCGTCGTCCAGAGCCAGCGGTACCGCCATTTCGCGGACGAGTTTCGAAACGTGCCCAAGTTCCTGGCGTGCGTTGGGTTCATGCTGCTTGCTTTCGTCGTGGAGGTTATTGCGGTGCAGTTTGTCACCGTCGTTCTCGGCCTCGATTGGCACAAGTAAGTTTCAGCGCGGGTGAGTGTAAAATCGGCATAATCTATAATTAAATTGAGGTGAGATTGAGTTGTTTTAGAAGTCACCATGGAGGTTATTGCGGTGCAGTTCGTCACAGTCGTTCTCGGCCTCGACCGGCAGAAGTGAGTCTCGATTGGCTCGAGTCTGAGTTGCCGCAAGCACAATTCAGTGGATATCCTCCGCGCCCTCATCAACCGCCTTCCGCGCTCATCGTCCTTCCCCTCCCCCCTCCCCCTTCCCCTCCCCCTCCCCCTCCCCCCCTTCCCGCCCAGAACCGTCACGCCTCTCCCTGACACGGGTCAGTGGATTCTCCTCGGTCTGAACGACCGCCTCCCCGCGCCCCTCACGGCGCTTCTCCGCGCGCCCATCGTGGAAATGCACGATTTCATTATGCTCTTTATGCTCCTCGCCTTCTCCGTTCTCGTCGGCGCGATTCCCGGCCCGGGTATGGCGCTGGGCTCACGCTACGTCTTCAGCATTGGGCTGAGCCGAATCCTGCGGGTTGCAACGTTCGTGTCCACGATTCTGCCCGCGCCGCGGCCGTGGTGTGCGGAGTCGCGGTTTGGTGACACGTGTCCCAGGCACCCGCATCCCTGGGCGGCGAAGTATCTGACGCCGTATAACGACAATCCGGACCTGCTTCACCAGCTGATTTCCACGGATACTGCTTTTGGTGAGTCTCACTCCCCCCCCTCTCTCCCCCACTCCTCCCCCCCCCACACACTCACTCACTCACTCACACTCACACCCGCAGACGTGCACGCGGGCGCACACACACACACACACTCAGGCAGCTAATGTCAAACACGATTGTCAAAACCACTTCACCAAATAATACCTCCTTTAATAATTAAAAACAAAAACAAAAAATGAACAGAATTGGCATGGGAGCACTAGTCTTCTCCCAGAGGTTCCTCCCGGACTTTGGGGTGCTGGAGGGGCTGGTGGCCGGGGCCCTCCTCCTACCTCCCATGGACTCAGCTATCCCGTTTGCTCTTCCTCCCTTCATTCCTTCTCTGTATATCCCCAGCGGCCTCCCCAATCGTTCTGCCGAAGTTCGGCTCAACTTCTGCCCGGACTTGGGCGTGCTGGAGGGGCTGGTGCCCTTCCTACCCCCCATGGACTCAGCTAACCTAACCCTGTTGCCCCTTTCTCTCCCCTGTTTTCCCCTGTTTATACTTTCCCCAGCGCCTGCCCTCTTCCTTCCACCCGAATTCTGCTTCGAATTTGGCGCATTGCAGTTTCTGGTGCCCTTCAATCGCCCCATGGACTCACCAATCCCGTTTTGACCCTTTTCCCCTTCATTCTTCCCCTGCCCCCCAGGTGCACTACCCACCTGAATATCAACCCTACCTGAATTCCACCCTGACTGGGGCGTATTGCAGTTCCTGGTGGCCTTGCTTTCCGCCCCCCATGGACTCAGTCACTTCTCCCCGTTTTGCCCCCTTTCGCCTTCATTCTTCCGCCCTCCCCAGCCCCCCAGATGAGCTATCCGCCCGAGTTCCGCCCTGACTGGGGCTCGCTGCAATTTCTGGTGGACTTCTTGCGTCCCATGGACGCCCGTGTTCATGACGGAGCTGCCGCCTCCTCCGGAGCTTTCAGCAGCTTTGTCGTCCGCCCCTACGGCGGCTGCAACGATCTTGCTTTCAGCGGGCACATTGTCGTTGCTGCGCTCACGGCTTGCGCCTGGCAGGTGGGTTATTCTTATCCAGCGCTCAAGGCCGAAAGGTAAGCATTTGCTAATTCTTATTGTCTCTGTAAACGCCCCTTTCTTCCTCACACAATGCCCATTTCACCGAAGCCCTATTCCCCTCTTCCTAATACGTGGTAATGTCAACTACAGGAGGCGTATCCAGGGTGGGGATCTGCAATGGTGTGGGTGCTGGTGATGCACGCTGCCCAAAGGGACATACGAGAGAGATCGCACTATTCAGTTGATGTTGTTATCGCTCTCTACCTCGCTCCACTCCTCTGGCAAATCACCCAGTTCCTTTGGTCCCGGCCCGCTCCTCCTCCGTCCCGAAAAAAGCTTATGGGATCGGCTCTTGCTGATAGAGAGGCTGAGCTGGTTAAGGCTGTCAAGGAGGGGGATCTTGATAGGGTGAAATGGACGGTTGAGATGGCACGGCGTGAGGCAGATGCGAAGGAAAAGGCAGGAGCGGTGGAGGGGTGTGTGGAAGCGGGGAATTCGGAGCGGGGTATGCAGCGGTATTTGGTTCACCTCGGAACTTTGCTGATTTTGACCATGTTGGGGGTGGTGCTGGTGGCGATTCTGGTGTCAGATGAAGGGCATAAGGCTGTTCTTGAAAAGAAGTAAGTTAACAATCCAGTACATGTGCTGGTTTTGTTAGAGTAGGTTAACATTGGGCAATGCTTGGACTGCATGCGTTGCTGCCTTTTGTAGACATGTAGCCTATCCAATCCAATACTGTTTGAGAATGTGGTTGGCTGTCTTATTAACAGCAAGGTCTTGGATGTCTTGGTATTCAACACTATAGTACCTATCACGTATTGTCCTAGGCAAACTGGCTTAGTTAGGTCAACTTTATTGGACACCATCCCACCCCCTAGCTGCGAGCACTAAATCTGCTTTGGCCTGAAATATATGAAAAACTGCACTGCTCTTCCTGTGGATGGATCTCAACTCAAGTCAAGTCCAGATTTCTGGTTGCCCTGCAACTCCATCCCTTCAACCAATCGCTTCAGCTCGTCAAGGTCCACAAGCGGAACCATGGTTGGCCTTCCATGTGCACACTGCATCACACATGGCAAGGCACCCATACATCAGCACATCACATCATCTTCAGCACCCAAACATCGGCAAATAATCTCCAAAAACAGCAGCATCTAACAATGTACGTGTTCACCTGGAAGGGCAGCTGTGTGTGCTTCAAACACTCAATGAGCTGGGAACTCTCAGATGGCTTCAGCATGTCTCCAAACATGATGGCACCTGCACAACAAAGCAGATACTTGTAAAACTGCCACAAAAACTGGATCTAGAGGAATCACTCATGGACACGACTCACCCCTACAAGCTTTTGATGCCAACAATTGCACAACTGCCCGTGGTGGTGTAGATGCAAGGCCGCCAGTTTCTTGAAGCTGGAAGTTCACACGAGCCATGGACAGACATAGTGCATGAAAGAGTGGAGGAAAGCCTATCAACGGAAGAGTCCAGATTAACTGTGAGTACGACCAGTTACCTGCAGCAAGTAGTCAAGAATGTCTTCTGCACGTAGAGAGGTGCCTAGCAAGTGTGGAACCTGCAGTTCCAAGAAAGGTAGCGAAACTTTGGCACAAAACAATTCCAAAGAAATCAAGGAAAAGCCAGAGGAAATATGCATGCTACATCCATACCGCGAGTAAAATAAGTCGAGATGGAATGCACCGAGATTTTCCTGGATGCCTGGGGAGGGGGGGCATACAAAGTGGTTGCAGGGGCACGTGCGCAAGTTAATTCCTTACAGGAAGCTGACAAGCAATATTATCAGGAACCTAAGACTCACCTAGATTGGCTAAGCACAGCCAAAGCACCAGTTCCCATTTGAGTCGAGCAGCGTGTGCTGATGCTTTTGTCTGTTTCGCCAGTTGAAGATAGCTTAAAACGCCATCCCCATCGTTCTATTTGCCCTCGATACGACCTCAGGCACCCTTCTTGCCCTGCTGTGATTGGCTGGAAAACAAAAACACAAACTGATCAAACTCGATGAATGGCAGGGACGGATGTTCAAAGAATACTTTGCTGACATATGGTGTCTCACCAAGTCCGAGGGTGTATCAAGGAGTAGTGGCACCACAGCTGACTGATTCTCCAAAACCTGCAACACCATCAAAGAGACTCAGAATTTGCACAATATGAAACCTTACAAATCTAACCAAAAAAACAACCTCACTCACCTCCTTGCGGAGCTCTTCGAGACAAACCCTTTCATCTGCCGCATGCTGCACACATATATGTCGGTGGTCAGAAGAACTACACTGCTGAAAGAACGCACTCACCAGAATCTTTAGACATCTTACCTGATCAACGGCCACCACGGTTGAGCCAGAAGTGGCAATCAGAAACTTCCCATCCACCTGCTTCAGGCACTTTGCTTGAAGCAGTGTCTCTTTGGAAACAGAAGTTGGAATCAGGGGGCGACGTTGCCTTCTGTGACTATCAAACTGCATGGACCTGGAAGCCATTGTCTGTAAATCAAGAATTTCTGGCTCCACCTCTTCCTTCTCGCCAAGGCTGGTCTTGCACCAATGCTGCATAAAAGATAACACAGATTTAACACCAAGCAAAGGCTTCGAATAGAAAGTGAATGATTTACATCTTCATACGAGTTTTGAAGACCTTACCTGGTACATTTCCTTCACAGACTTTGTCAACCCCGGATCGTTCTTATCAGTGCATGCAGGCGCATGCCCATCTCTCCACTTGGATGAGCAGCAACAGCCTGCTACTTTATCAGCGTGATGGGCTTCTACAACAGCCAGATGCGCTGGTGCTGGAATGAATTCTTCTGTGTGATCCATTGGTCCAGTAGTTTGCACAGCCTTAGGCAGTGCACATGAATGCTTCTGCTTGCTGCCTGTTTCCTCTGAAATCACCAAAGGCGATGCCAGAGCTCCAGGGCCGAAGCCATGCTCTTGAAAGTTTTCCCTTGCTGACTTTGCTGTTTCAGACGCACCTGAAACGTTGGCACAGAATTGTGATCAGCCATATATTGTAGATCCTGACCCAGTGAACACAATGTTTCTTCAATATGCTCACCTCCACAGGCAACCAGACCCCACGTCTTCTGCTTGTCCAATCCTGATGCACACTGCTGCGATTTGCTTGCTGGGCCCGTTTGGGTTTCAATAAGCGGATCAATGAGCTCGACCGCTTTTTGGAACTCGAGCGAGACAACAGCAGGAAAATCAGGCGCAATCTTCAGCGAGGCTGAATTGCTGGTCCTGTGCCCATTCATCGATCTTTGTGGCTGAATGTCCTGGATGTGCTCCATGCCAGCCAGCAACAATTCATCTGATACCATTTCTGGATCAAGCATGCACGACCAATGTGAAGGTCCATCGCCTTCAGAATGACGTCTTTCTTCCAATGATACTTTCTTTCTTCGCTTAGGCATGGGCTCTGGAGATTGTTGATCATCCTGGCCTGTTCTTCCAAAGAGGCACCGTGAAGTCTCTAGGTCCATCCCATCTGGGTGCAGCTGCCAAAAAAAAAAAAAAAAAAAAAAACGTCAGCTACGAATTATCGCACATCATACACTCCAACAGTACGTTGCCAGCATGTTACCTACCTGTAGATCCAGGGACAAGTCAAGTGGATTGGACGCAGGCAAGTCTGTGTCATGATCTTCCATGGGCCTCCCTTTCGTTCCTGTAGGAGTAGGTAACGAGTCTCTTGCTGATGCAAATGAGGAGAGTTCAGGATAAGAATCGTGCTGAGATAAGGGCCAAAGCGTGCACTCGATAGAGTTATCGAGATATTTATGCAATGGCTTTGAAGTGGACGCCCTAGCTTGGCCGATATTCTCTTCACATCTGCTCTCTCCCTTTGTGATGTTGGCTTGAAAAGCCCTGGAACGCAGATTTACTGTGGAATCCAGCCGATCGACTTCATACGCTGAGCTGGGACATTCTTCAAATGAGGTTTCGCCTGATCCTTCAACGGGAAGCAGGTGCCTGGTACCACGTGTGTGCTTGCTTGGTTTGCTGGATAGAGTTATGGGATGGCTTGGCTGGTAACTGGGATCAATTTTTTGCCATGATTTACTTCTCTTCTTCCTGGGTTGCATCATCGGGCCTGGAAACATAAGGGTCACAAGAACAAGAGTATGCCAGTCAGAAAGCCAGTCAAATTAGTTGTTAATATGCATTTCACCAACCTGTTTCAGCCAAAGGCGATTTTCTGAACGGCCATACGTCACGCAAGACCTCTTGAAGAAACTCCATAACAGCCTTCCAGTTCTGCAATCGAGGCATCCAGGAAATGAAACGCGATCCAACAAACCTAGCAAAATGGAATAACGGAATAACAAACTGTACCTTAAACTCCACATATGTCTTTGTAGGCTCGAACGTGATGTCATAAGAGGACCGTGGGCATGATAGGTTAACAACAAACATCAAGTCCTGAAAACCAGTTAACCCGGTGCCTGTTTCAGCTTCTGAGTGCAAGCTGAGCGATGTGGTGAAGCTGGAATTCATCAACTTGTGAAATCGAGTGTTCTTCACCAGCCGCTTGTTAATGTCTGCCAAAATTAACCACCAATCGTACGTTAACAAAGGCAGTGTATATCTATTGTGTTTGAAAAGGGGAAGAAGATTACATAGGTATTGTATATCTCTTGAGGACTCGTGTTGCACAAGCCGTGAGATGAAGCCAGACAGTCTCAAGTCACCCTTCTGATAGCCAATCTCTTTCATTGACTCGAAAATGGCAGCTCCAAACACATCCTTTATGCTGGAGCCCACGGACCTTCCACCAGACAATGATAGCAGAGCCTTGCTCCTGTGCACATTCAATTTAAGATTGATAACGTCTGTTAACTAATCCACCTACCAAGAATACATTCAATTTCAAGCTCTCACCTAGCAGCATCCGACACCATAAATGAAACTTGTGGATACATGAACGCCAAATGACCAACTCTGTCCCTGATGCTCTGAATCTCCTTGGATAAGCTAGAGACAAAACGAATCGAACGTGGGGTTAAGTAAACAACAAGCATGAGACATGTGCATAACAGGGAAGTGTCCTGCTTTTATAAACAGCGAAGGTGATGGACAAAAGAAACACAGTCGGAGAAGCGTACTAACTTCTTCTCCACTAGCTGTCGCCTGACTGGTTGGTTGAAGAATATGTCTTGAACAATAACTGCAACCAGTTACACATTGGAGACCAGACTTAATTCAATGTGATGCGACAATACTCACAGCAGCAAAAACCAGACAGTGCGCGCACCTGTCGTGCCAGTTGATCTCAGCTTCTTTGTCATGCCAACAGAGAGTGTTCTTCCACCCTGCATCAGGCGGCCGTAAGCCCAAAATTTATTCCATACACTAACCATGTAGAGAATAATGACTCACCTTACAAATCTTGCAGTACGTGCTGGCAGACCCCCTCGGACGAGTCACAATCTCGACCAGGGAGAGGCCCATGATTGAGAAGAGTGCTTCTCCTCGAAATCCCAGTGTTGTGGGACCAGCTTCAAGCTCCGTTATCGATTGGAGCTTCGACGTTGCTGTTTGTAGGAAGCTCAGGTTAGGGGGAGGTCCTTTGAAGATACATGAACGACAAAAACCTGGTCATAGTTCAACGATCTTCTTGACTCACCTTGAAGTTCACCAAGAAGCACCAGATCATCACGCGAGATACCACAGCCTGTAAACGGAGGATAGCCGTGATGTAAGTTCGAGTGTATACACCTAGTCGGTCAACGAACAGCACACTCATTACCATCGTCGTCCACTCTAATCGTCGCTGCTGATGAATCGACCGTCACAGACACCTGATTACAGAACGTAACGTGTATTATCATTTTGCCTTTAGAGCTAGAAAAAAGTAGGCAGTTATATAACGGGCCATGTCGCCGTTCACCTCTGTGGCTCCTGCGTCGAGGCTATTGCAAACTAGCTCTTCCGTAAGCTGCGATAGTGAAGGGACGACAACCGAAGACCTAACCTTCCTTGACACATGCCCTGGAAGCTCACGGATGAATGGCAAAGCCATGGCTTCTGCTAGAATGCCAAGCCGAAGCGGCAACCTTGAAGTTATCTGAGAACAGGCACTCTTGATTTCCGTTAGCATCCGATCCGTTCCAAACTACAAATTGGGGTCTTCGGATTTACTGGAAGTTACAGGGTCTGAAATTGGGACAGAGTTACAGGGCTGAAGTATTCACAATTTTGTAAAAAAACGTCTCTTACCGTACATATCTTCATGAGCCAACACGGCTCTTGAGAAACACAACATGTGGGATGGGAATATATGTATCAGGGGTGTAAGCCGTCCACTGGATTTCATAACATTGTCAAATTGATAAACATATTTCTGAAACAGAGCGGGAACCGTACTTTCAGCTGGCTGGGTGCTGCTACAAAAAACAGAGAGCATGGATGGACCTGGGTGCTACAAATTTACACCCAATATATGTCCTGGGTGCTGCATGAGCATGGATGTCACGATGAACCACATGCTAAGGGGATGACAAGGTGAGGGGGAGACAAGCTACGTCAGGGACCAAACACACACATCAAGTCATCTAGATCCAACAAATCTATAGCTACGTTCCTGAGTTCTGCAGGAGCATGGACGCCACAATGAGGAACACCCCAAGGGATGAGGAGGCCAGGGAGAGCCAGGCTGTGCTGGGCACGGCATCCATTGCCACCCCGATGGAGGACCTGTCTCTGCCCTCCGCCCACGCCCGCAGCCTCTGCGCCTCCGTTGCATACACGGCCTGACCCTGGAGTGAAAGGAGACACAGACAAAGGGAGGATTGACACGAGGGAGAGCCAGGCTGTGCTGGGCACGGCATCCACCACTGCCCCAATGGGGGACCTGTCTTTGCCCTCCGCCCATGCCCTCAGCCTCTGCGCCTCCGTTGCATACACGGCCTGGCCCTGCAGGAAGAGAAAGGTGGAGAAAGGGAAGATTTGTTGACTCACTTGAAAGCTACTATGGCTGCATACACGGCTTGCCCCTGCACTGAGGAGAGGTATGGACAAAAGACCATCACTCGAGCCAATAACACCCCAATCACTACAACCTATACAAAGGGCAGCTATTGCTAACCTAATCTGAACTTTGAATCCAACCTCCCATTTCTCCTCACCTCTTGGTCGAACCAGCAGCCTCGGCGCATCCAGGCAGACAGGATGTCCGGGAATATGCGAAGGGGGTGTGAGGTAGTGAGGTGACATTTGAATTAAACCCAAAATTAACCCGGTCACTCCCCTTTTTTCCTCACCTGTTGGTCAAACCAGCGGCCTCTGCGCATCCAGGCAGACAGGATGGCAAGGACTATGCGGGGCGGTGTGAGGTAGCTCACTGTGGACCCCGTACCCCTTACAGTGCGCATCTGATACAGGCAGAAGAACACGGATGTGCAGGAAAATAAAAAAAGCAAAACATCATGTATGAAGCTCTAGAAAGATCCATCAGAGCAACTTGTCAGCACCTGAGGCAACAGTACCTGAAGCAGTACCTGAAGCAACACCTGACGTGGCACCTGAGTAAAGCAGGCATATGCACTGGACGAAGCGTCTGCACGACCTGAGCTATCCATCAGTCAACACATCACCTTGTGGAACACTAACGACAACACCTGAGCGACCTGAAGAACCACCTGACTCAGCACCTGGGGAACGAGCACGCACGCGACGGTCTCGGGGTGTTCTCCCACGATGTTGAATGCTTGCTTGTTGGACACCGTCGCTCCACTCAGCAGCAGATCCGTCAGCACCAACCCTTTTAGACCCACCCGTCAGTCAGCACAGCACAGCACAGCACAGCACCGCACATCACCTGGAGTACGAGCATGCGGGCGACGGTCTCAGGGTGTTCCCCCACGATGTTGAATGCTTGCTTGTTGGCCACCGTCGCTCCACTCAGCAGCAAATACGTCAGCACCAACCCTGGTGACGCTCCCAAGTAGATAGATAAGGAACACAGCCATCCATCAGACAGCACAGCACAGCACCTGGGGCACCTTACCTGGGGTACGAGTACTCATGCAACGGTCTCGGGGTGTTCCCCCACGATGTTGAATGCTTGCTTGTTGGCCACGGTCGCCCCACTCAGCAGCAGATCCGTCAGCACTAGCCCTGGGGACACCCAGTGCACACCAAGCACCCACCCACCAAGGGCCAAACCACCCATCAGTCAGCACCGCACTTCTACGTTGCTAAATACGAGTACCGAGTATAATACGTTAGCGTATTATACGCTTGGTATATACGCGGTACGCCAAGGCTGGCGTACTGCTGATACGCAAAAATACGCTGGCGGGCAGCTAAAACTTTTTTTCCCGGGCAGGTATACAAAAACCTGTTTCAGGGGGGGGGTTCAGGCCGACAACAACACATGTCAATATTTTATTTCATAAATATCCAGAAATACATAGTTCATCCATATAATCCCCACCCTCTAGCGAGCTTCCCCACAGCCTATTTCCTTGCGGGGCTTTTCCACCACCACCCCTTCCCCATACTCATCCGCCAGCACTGCATCATCTCCTTCCCCCCCCAGCAGGTCATCTTCCTCCTCCTCGTCCATGTTGTAGCCGCGGGGGATAGGGGCATCCGGGATGTTCCCGGGCACAACCGTGCTGGCCCCATCCTTGTTGTACCAATTGCGCACAACGTTCCAGTAGTGCGCAATGTAAACCAGGTCCGCACACTTGGCGGACCCGAGGCGGTTGCGGCGGGCGGTGTGGACGCCTTCCCACTGCGCCCAGCCACGTTCGCATGAAGAAGCCGAGACGGGCTGAGTGAGAATCCGGCATGCGAGGGTGGCAAGCTCAGGGTACTCGGTGCTGTGCCACGACCACCACTGCACCATGCTCATCTCCCCTTTCTTCACTGCCTCCCTTGCAGCTATGGCGCTCAGCTTGCCAAAACTGCCCTCCAAGTTGATGTAGGCCAGCAATGCCTCCTGCGCGGCGAGGGGCACCATCCTTGCCGCGCCTGAAGGTGACGTGGTCATAGTGGCGCTCGATGTAGTCCTTGAACACCCTCGTGCACTCCACATCGTTCCTGAAAATTCCCTCCTCCTGGTTGGCCGGATTCAGGATCCGGCCAACCACATGCATGGGGCAGGCAAGGGAGTCAAGAAGTCGCCTGAAGCGTCGAGCTTGTCATTGATGTCCTCGGTAAGCTGTAGCATAATGTCATACAGCTTACCCATCATGCCTTTCGCGGAAGAGTCCGTGGCCCGCATGGCCTTGAATGGCACCGCCATGAGAGAGGAAAAGAACTCCGCCACCCCCCACCACTCCTCATCCATCACAGCAGCCCTGAATTTCTCGGCTGCAGTCTTCCTATCCTTGTCCCCCGCTGCCCACACCTTCCACTCGTCGCTGAGCACCATCGCCGCCAGCCCACTCCTCACCTCACATAGCCGGGCCATGGCTATGTATTGTGTCCCGAACCTGGTTCCCGCAGGCTTGAGCACCTGCTTCCCCCCCACTTTCTTCATATAGGCACGGGTGAAGTGGTGGTTGCGCACGAAGGTAATCATCTCCCCTCCTTTCTCCACAAGCCCCTTCGCCCATCCCATTTTGCCCACATCTTCCATTAACAGGTCCAGGACATGCGTGGCACATGGCACATGCTCAATGTGCGGCCATGTGCCCGCAATCTTCCGCACTGCCGATGCATAGTTGCTGCCGCCAATCGGTGCAGACCGCCACCACATTCTCCGGCCCCACCTTATCAATGACGGGGCGGAGAAGGCTGGCGATGTACCCCCCCGTCTTCGACTCCATGTTGCAGTCCACGGCCTGCTCGAAAACTGCGCCGGAGTCGTTGACAAGGAGTATGTTGGCCTGCGGGCGGCCGCAACGGTCGGTCATCATGTCCGACGACACGGTGACACCGTCCCGCTTCCAGCTCGCGGCAACAGGGGCGAGCGCTGCCTCCATTTTCTGCCGCACTTTCTTCAAGCCCACCCCTCCAACGTAGCCCCTCTTGGGGGGAACATACCCCGGTCCCGCGCGCGCAAAGCACTGGATCGCGTAGCGGAAGACCGGATCATCCACGATACGCTCTGGAAGCTTCAGCCAAGATCATTAGGCAAAGCGTGTTATCCGCGTCCTCCTTGGCGCACGTTGCCTCGTCGCCGAAGAATTCTGTTATCTTCCCCTTCTTCTCCGCACAAGCAGTGACCGCGCCCAGCACGGAGTCGAGTGCTGCAGCAGCCGCCCCTCGTTTCATGCTCTTCTTTTCCTCCTTGTTTTCGTACATGGCACGCACTTCGTCACGGACTTTCGGGGACACGTCCTTGCAAAGCCTGACAGGGCGTCCATCTTGCCCTTTCCATTTGGCGAGGTGAACTGCGCAGCGAGTGGTTCCGCCCTCAAACTTGAAGCCACAAAACTTACAAAGCTTGGGATTGCCTTTGGTGTGGGGGGGAATAAGAAAATGTTTCAGAATGGGGTTCGAAAAGCCAGCCTCAACAGGCTGCGTGTTAATCCCACTACTAGACGCGTGACCAGAAGCTACATTGCTCGTCGCGCTAGGAGGGGTGGAGTTCGACGCCATGGGGCGCGACTAAGGAACGGTAAACTGCTTGAGGAAAACGGGAGATCAGAGCTCGGGAATGAAATTGAGGAGGAGAGAAACGAATGAAGGATAGGAAGGCGTCAACGAGTAAATGCTCACATGACGTGCTGGACATTTGAGAGGGGTGGTTGGATATGAGCGGTTTGGTGGGGTGGTGTGTGGTTGGGGTGGTGGGAGGTTTGGATTCTGAAATTTGAATTTCAGACGTGGGTTGGGCGATGTGCTTGGTCGCGTAGCCAGTCGCGAAGCCCTAATAACCGTCGCATTTTTTTTTCAATTTCGATTTTTTTTTTCGCCGGGCTGCCCGCGCGTTTTTTCACGAATTCGAAGCGTATTAGCGTACCACGTACGTACGCAATCGTATATACGTGCTACGCCACCCTACCCAGAGCGTATTTGGCAACGTAGCCGCACTTCACCTGGGGCACAAGGACGCGTGCAACAGTCTCAGGGTGTTCCCCCACGATGTTGAATGCTTGCTTGTTGGCCACCGTTGCTCCACTCAGGAGAAGGTCTGTCAGCACCAGCCCCGGGGACGCCGCGTGGACACCCACTCTTCCCCTCCTCCCCCTTCCCTCCTCAGGCTCTCCCTCCTCCCTCCCAACATCGCTCACGACCTCACTCCCTCGTTCACCCCCCACCTCCCTCCCCTCTTCCACCAGAGACGCCCCCGGCTGCCTGAGTGCACACTTGGTTGCACCATACGCTGCATACTGGGGGGTAGCGCCTCCCCACGACCCCGCCCCCTCTAAGTTGAACACATGGCCGGATGTTTGGTCTGGTAGGGAGGGTTGCTGCTGCTGCATGAGGCGCATTGCTGCCCGCGTGCACAGCAGCGATCCCAACAGGTTGGTTGAGACAACCTGGGGCATTGGGACGAGAGGAAACAAGCAGACAGGGCTGAACAAGTGGCTGGCTGTTTGGTCTGGGAGGCATGGTTGTTGCTGCATGAGGCGCATTGTTTGGGAATCGAGGTGCAGAGCAGCAATCCCAACAGGTGGGTGGAGACCACCTGGCGGGATGGGGAGAGAGGAAGCGCGAGGGGGGGATCGAACCAGCCTTCACCTGCTCCCCCTCTCACCCGCTCCACCCCTCACCTGCTCTCACCTGCTCTCATCTGCTCCACCTCTTACCTGCTCCAGCTTTCACCTGCTCTCACCTCAATTCAACTCAAGTCAATGTCAGTGAATGCAAGTCAGCACAGCTCACCTGCTCCAGCTTGTGGTCTTCAAAGTCAACAAAGGGACTTCTGACCCGACTCAAGAGATGACTCAAAAGCCCTCACCAGCTCAACCTCTCACCTGCTCCACTCTATAACCTGCTCCCCCTCTCACCTGTTCCCACTCACCTGCTCTCACTGCATCTCACCTGCTCCAGCTCGTGGACTTCAAATTCAACAAAGGGCTTCGCCATGTGGTTTTGAGAATTCTAAAAAGTCCCTTCACCCCCACCCACCCAACCACCTCACCGCGGGTATCCACGTGGCACACGTGGGAGAACAAGTGCCAAGAGAAGATGAAGCAAAGGAAGGTCATATCCATGTCTTGTCTCCCCTTCCCCCCAGCTACTACATTGATGGTACTTTTGAAAGTTCTCAAAAGTACCATCAACGTATGCTCCAGCTCGTGGTCTTCAAAGTCAACAAAGGGCTTCGCCATGGGTTTGATGCCCGTGTTGTTCACCTGGCGTGGTCAACACAAGTCAACACTCACCTGCTCTCACTGCATCTCACCTGCTCCAGCTCGTGGTCTTCAAAGTCAACAAACGGCTTCGCCATGGGGTTGGTGCCTGCGTTGTTCACCTGGCATGGTCAACACAAGTCAACACCAGTAAAAACAAGAAAACATCAATACGCACATTCAACAAAACCAACACCCGAATCAGCACAAGTCAGCACAAGCCAATGCGAGTCAACAAAAGTCAACAATGGCCCCACGTGCCGAGGCATGTTAGGCACTGCTAACATGCATGCTAGGGACAGATGGGGCTGATTTGATTGGCATGGCTGGCATGGTTGCAAAGGCCGCTGAGCAACACCGGGTTCCCATGGTAATGCCAGCTCACTCACCCAGATGTCGACTCGCCCCAGCTCCTGCCGTGCCACGTCAGCAAGCATCTGGACATCTTTTGCCAACCGCACGTCGCACACAATCCCAACCACTCTCTGCCGCCCAGACAGCAGTGGATGATCATCTTGCTGCTGATTGCGCCGTTTCTCCTGCTGCTCATCACCACCATGCGCCTGGGGAAGCTCCCATACCTCCCTGCATGAAAACGGGGTGTATTTGAGTTGAGAATTTTCAAAGGCACGTCACACACAATCCCAACAACTCTCTGCCGCCCAGACAGCAGTGGATGATCATCTTGCTGCTGATTGCGCCGTTTCTCCTGCTGCTCATCACCACCATGCGCCTGGGGAAGCTCCCATACCTCCCTGCATGAAAACGGGGTGTATTTGAGTTGAGAATTTTCAAAGGCACGTCGCACGCAATCCCAACAACTCTCTGCCGCCCAGACAGCTGAGGATAATCATCCTGCGGCTCATGGTGCCGTTTCTCCTGCTGCTCCTCCCCATGCGCCTGTGGTAGCTCCCACACCTCCCTGCATGGAAAAAGGGTGTGTCTAAAAGCATGTCTCAAAAGCACGTCGCAGGCAATCCCAACAACTCTCTGCCGCCCAGACAACTGTGGATGATCATCCTTCTGCTCATGGTGCCGTTTCTCCTGCTGCTCCTCCCTATGCGCCTGTGGCAGCTCCCACACCTCCCTGGTTGAGAAAGATGCATGAGAGAGACGTCCCTGGTTGAAAAAGGTGATTTTTGAGGTGTCGTAAAATCGGGAAGATAACTCATCACAGGATAAGCGGATTGTGAGGGGGCCAGCAGAGCACATAGTGGTGGGCCCACCCAGCATCATAGGCGACTCAGTTCTGACCTTGTTGACTTGCGTTGACTCCATTGACCTGGGCTGTTTGGATTCTGCCTTGACCAGCACAGCCAGTGGACCGCGCCCTGAGATGTGCCACGTGGTGAGTTGAGGTGACTTGTGAACCGACTCAGGACTGACCTGGTTGACTGCATTGACTGCGCTGACTGGGTTGACTCTGCTTGACTAGATCCGGTCTTCACCAGCACAGCCATGGGGGCGCGCCCTGTGATATGCCACGTGTCCTGCTGCAGCGCTCTCAATGCCTCCTCCACCCCCTTCTCACTGGAAAATGGAAGACAATGGCACAGGATATTGGAGGGATACAGGGGAGAAAGGAGGTCTTATGAGCGCCAAAAAGGTGTCCTCATCAGCGGAGAAATTGCACATGCAAAGGGACGCGGGGTTGTGTGCGGGTAGGGGGAGAGGATTTTTTAGGCGCCTAAAAACTCGTCTCAGTTTTGAGATTTCTGAGGCGCCTCAATACGCGCCAAAAAGGTCTCCTCATCAGCGGAGAAATGGCGCATACAAAGGGACGTGGGGTTGTGTGCAGGTTGAATCAAACTTGAAACGGGGTGGGGGGAGGAAGGGGTAGTGAAGTATGAAGATAGAAAAGGAAGAGCGAGAAAAGGCACTGGAAGGAAGGGAGCTATTTGAGGAGCATGCCAGAAGGCAAACACGAGAGCGTGACAAATTAGAGCCCACTTTGTGGCAAACCCATGTCAGCGCCACGTCAATGCTTACCTCCTTGATGCCAGCAACACGTCATCGCCAGCCAATAGGAACTCTCGAGCCATAGCCTTGCCCAGGCCCCTGGAGCCCCCAGTCAGGACAACTCTTCTGGGCGGCAGGCAGGCGGCAGCGCGCCGCCTCTGGTGCTTCTGCATGACCTCGCCCACCCCGACCATGCACCCCAGGACAAGCCCTGCCGCCCAGCAGAACCAGACGACGTCCCACCCTTGCACCCTCGAGCCTGAGAGCTCACGAAGGGTTTCCAAGGCGACCCCAGGGATGGTGGTGAGGATGAGCGCTCGCCCCAGGTGTTGCGTGAACTGATGATGGAAGGGAGAGGGGGAGAGGAGGAAGGTGGTGTTATCTAATGAGACGTGTTGTAACTAAAGGGTGCGAAAGGGTTGCAGTGGTGAGTGAGTGTGGTGAGATGGTGAGGATGAGCGCCCTCCCCAGGTGCTGTGTGAACTGATGGAGGGAGGGATGCGCAAGGAAGGGGGTTGTGTGCCGAGTATTCAGATGCTTCGGTATTTAAGGGCGGGAAAGGGGGTGAAGAGAAAGTGGGAGTGTGTGCACAAAAGAAAGAGGGACGAACGAGGATATGTGTCTACTCGGAAAAAAGAAAAAAAAAAACGAGCAGAGTTTTGTAGCACCCAAAAAAGGCTCTCACCTGCAGGAAATCCTCCTCTGCTTTTTCCAGGTATCCCCTCGCCTCCTCTGCGACTGTCTTAGTCGGCCCGCGCATGGTCTGGGGAGCAGGGGCAGGCTGCTGTACACTCCCATCCTCAGGCGTACCATTCGCATCAGCACCAGCAGCGGTTTCAGACGCCTCATCTTCATGAGCAGCGTGAGGCAAGCTCCGTGATTCTCGAGGCACGTTGCTAACAGCTCTTCTCCCTGTCAGCAGTCTAGGCACGCTGGAAACGGCTCTTCTTTCCGTTGGCACTCCAGAGCAGCGCCTAGCAGCGGGTTGGATCGGACGGTCGTGGACGTGTGTGACTTTGGCGGATGTGAGTTGAGCAGCACGGGGTTGTGACTTTGTAACGCGGGTGCACGTGGAAGGGGGAGCTGGTGACGCCATGGCCGCCAAACACGGCGAGGCGGCGCTCAAGGAAGCCATGAGGAGCAGATGAGAAAGCGGTCAGATGCTCGAGCTGGGACGGAGAGTCAACCTTAACGATAACCTGGCACCCCAACGGCTATCGTTTGTTCAGCCGGACATGTGCCTGAGTGCCTTAGGGAACAGATCTTCCCAGCCGCCTTCAGGTGAATGGGCCCCTCCTTTCAGTGCAGAAATTTCAGAAATCAGCAAGTCGACCCAACCTCCTTTTGCTGGGTTGACCCAACAGCAAGCAATTTCCGTTCCGTGCAGCTACACGAGCGCATCGGTGAGAATCGAATCGCGAAATCCGCGACGCGATCAGCTAGTCGAGCCCGGGACTGCGAACCACGGGACTGAGAGGAACAGGTGGAGCCGACCTGGACCCCGTCCGGCCGAGCACAACCGAGTCAAACCGGAATGAACGAAACGAAACGGGAGCCCGAAGGATGATAATTCTCTCCCATACGTGGCAGCACGGCGAGATGGGTTGGCCAACATTGCCGGTGGCAACAGGTGCGAGTGTGCGTGCATCTGGAATTAATCTCCAAGGACGAGAGAAAAAGGTCCTTCTCACTGAGTAATGTCATGGCGGTGGCGCGTGCCTGACACTGGCTCGGCCACTTGGCAAGCATGCTCGATAGAATGAAAATTGCATGGATGCCTGATGACGGCGCGACTTTGTTGTACGCTGGAACCATGCTATTGGAGAACAATGTTCACTGCTAGCCGTCAACTTATGAAATTTGTGTTTACAACGATATCATCCTCTCTTCATCGGACACATAGCTGAGTCTAGGTGGACAGATGGCTGCGTGAATTCAGCGCGAACTATCTGACACATTTGTCCACCCAGAGGATAGTTGACACCCGTCGATTCGATCATGATCGGACGGCGATCTGAGGTTTTCGTGCGGTCGAGGGACAGACCAGGCCACATCTGGAGGGAGACAACAAGAGTATGCGACGCATGAGAAAACCTCGATAATGGTTAGAGTGTAGCTATATCGAATGTAAACCATATAGGCTAACACGCGTGCATTTTGAAATCAAGCTAACGTACAATGAAAGCCCTAAAGACGGAAGGGTAGACTATGCGTGAGTTAAAGCTCAGGCGTGTGTGGCTTCACATTATCTGTAAAGCCACATATTATTTATTCAGGATACAAGATGCTCCAATTCATTTGAAAAACTTGCAGGAGCGTCTTGTCCTCAGAAAAAATCGTGTTCTTGTGCAAGGGATTCGAACTCGCCACAGCTGGTGTATGCTATGGAGCTTGAATGCCCTTCAAGATGCTATCGCGCCCGAATGCCACGTGGAGCCTGGAATGACGTGGAGTTTCAACCAATAGAGGGAGGGAGGGACACGAGGGAGGACGGTTAGAGAGGGGTTGGGGAAAGGGTTGAGAGATCATCATTTGAGATGCTATCGAGTCCAAATGCCGTGTGGAGCCTGGAAGAACGTGAAGTCCAACCAATGGACGGAGAGAGGGACATGAGGGCGAACAGTTAGAGAGGGGTTGGGAATGGGTGTGAGAAGGGAAACATATCAAGATCATCAGCTTGTGCACAGAGAAGCCAGGGATGGAAAAAAACGTAAATGTGTATATATATACATATTACATATGAACATGTATCCATGCTTATTAACATGCTTGCTTGCATGTACAAACCTTTCGGAAGTACTTGGTGCGGAGCTTGATGGCGAGGTGGATACAGGAAACCACATCTAACACCAACTCCACATCGTTGAACATCTGATGGGTTGAGAGGGGCAGAGAGGGGTAACAGATGAGAGCAATGGTATGTGGAGTGGAGGTAGGAGGTTAGAGGCAGAGAAACTGGATGCAGGAAACCACATCTAACACCAACTCCACATCGTTGAACATCTGATGGTTGACGGGATCGGATGGAGGGAGGGAGGCACAGATGAAGGTGAGAGCATTAGTGTGAGAAGTAGAGGGGTCTCATAAGGGGCTAAACATGCGCATCCACTTTGATTGCCTTCTGAGACATCTCAAAGTCGCTAAACACGCACACCTACCCACCTTGATGGCTTCATCTGATCTCTCCACCAGCAGCAGCCTCTTCCTGTTGACCAGCAGAATGGCTGCCACACAGAACAGAAAGTTCTAAGGGCCTATTTTCCCAACGATTGAGCCTCAAAAGGCCAGACCCACCTTGATGGCTTCGTCAGACCCTTCCACCAGCAGCAGTCTCTTTCTGTTGACCCTCAGAATGGCCGCCACACAGAACACCGCCAAGTCCTCATCTCCCACTCTCGCCTCTCCCCACTGCGACATCAAACTCGCTCCTCCCTCCACATCCTGCGCTGTCAACTGCCCGGACCGCCATATCCCCCCTCTCCTCCCCCCCCCCAGCCCCATCACGTCGAACCCCCCTAGAGACGACCCCGAGCCTTGGTTGGAAGCGGTGGAGAACGGTACGGGGGTGGTGGCGGCGTCGTTGGTGGGGGAGTCGAGGGGGGGGAGGGGACCGGTGGACCAGGTGTGCGGCTCGGCGACCAGGTTGAGGCCTTCGGGGGGGTGGTGGAGTAGAACAGAGGCCATTCGCGAGTCGAAATCCGCTGCCCACATCATCTGAGGGAGATAGTGGACAAGGGAGAGGAAACAAAAAGGATGGGGGATGGGACGGGGATCAGTGGGGAGTCGAGTGGGGGAAGGGGACCGATGGACCAGGTGTGGTTCTCGGCTACGAGGTTGAGGCCTTCCGGGGGGTGGTGGAGGAGCACGGAGGCCATACGTGAGTCGAAATCCGCCGCCCACATCATCTGGGGTATGGTTGAAAGGGTGTGAAGGATGGGATGGGGAACAGGGAACATGCTCAAGGACGAAGGTTGAGACCCTCAGGTGGGTGGTGGAGGAGGACGGATGCCATTCGCGAGTCAAAATCCGCCGCCCACATCATGCGGAAGGCGAACATGAAGGTGACTACATACATGCATTCTCCACAACCCACCTTCTACCCAAACCCCTGTACGCACCAGCAACATGAAGTTATCCGCGCCCAGATCCTCCAGGTGCGAGGCCAGCTCGGGGTCCACCAGCGCCACCACCCAACCCACCTTCTCCCACTATAGCCCAACTCCCTAGGTAACCCTACTTCTACCCCAACGCACCTCCCACATCACAATCACGTCCACGAGGGGGAGTTTTCTTCTGAAGAGAACCAGCAGCATGCGGAAGGCGAGCATGAAGTTATCCGCTCCCAGCTCCTCCAGGTGCGAGGCGAGCTCGGGGTCCAGCAACGCCACCACGTCCCTCAGCACTGAACCCACCTTCTAGCCAACGCACCTCTTCCCTTCCCTTTTACCCACCTCCCACATGACGATCACATCCACCAGTGGCAGCTCTCTTCTGAAGAGAACCAGCAGCATGCGGAAAGCGAACATGAAGTTATCCGCGCCAAGCTCTTCCAGATGCCCCGCCAGCTCGGGGTCCACCAGCGCCACCACGTCCCTCAGCACCGCTAGCTGCCGCAGAATGCCCACCGGCCCCTCCAGCACAAAGTTGTGGCGCTGGGGGGGAGAGGTGGGGGAAGAGCATGGGATGGTTGACAGGGCTCACAACATGGGATGGTTGACAGGGCTCACAACATGGGAGAAAAGGCATTCGGAGCACCAACTATGAAACATTGTGAGAAGAGGCCAGCCAGGCATGGGATGGGTGGCAGGGCTTCCATTGTGTGGCATGGGATTGGTGGCAGGGCTTCCATTGTGTGGCATGGGATTGGTGGCAGGGCTTCCATTGTGTGGCATGGGATTGGTGGCAGGGCTTCCATTGTGTGGCATGGGATTGGTGGCAGGGCTTCCATTGTGTGGCATGGGATTGGTGGCAGGGCTTCCATTGTGTGGCATGGGATGGGTGGCAGCCACAGGGCTTACAATGCGGGAGAAGAGGCACTCGAAGCACCAGAAGGTGGCTTTTGAGGCGCCTCGAAAGCCGTCGAAAGTCCTCAAAAGGACGAGTGAAACATGGGATGGGTGGCAGTGGCAGGGCTTACAATGTGGGAGAAGAGGCTCTCGAAGCACCAGCTTTGAGACGTTGTGAGACAGGGGCAGTCAAGCGTGGGACGGGTGGCAGGGCTTACATTGTGTGGCATGGGATGGGTGGCAGTCACAGGGCTTACAATGCGGGAGAAGAGGCACTCGAAGCACCAGAAGGCATCAGCAGGATGGCCGTAGAGCATGATGAAGGGCGAGAGGATGTCGCACATGCCTGGTTGGGGAGGGGAAGACGAGGGGAAATGGAGATGATAGAGGAGGCCTTTAGATGTCTTAGAGCTAATGGGCAGGATGGCCGTAGAGCATGATGAAAGGGGAGAGGGTGTCGCACATGGCTGGTGAGGGGAGGGAGCAAAGGGAGATGATGCAGGGCATTTAAACGTCATAGAGCTTGATTATTGACAGGATGGCCGTAGAGCATGATGAAGGGGGATAGGATGTCGCACATGCCTGGTGGTTGATTGGTTGGGAGGGAGGAGAGAGTGGGAGGGGTGGGTGGGGGGAGTTGGGGGGTGATGCAGGGTATAGGCATGGATTCGGCATAGGGCTAATGGGCAGGATGGCCGTAGGCATGACGAAGGGCGAGAGGATGTCACACACCCTGTGCAACTGCACCTTGCAGCTTCTCGTCCCTCACACATACTGGTATGGCTATCACAAGCACAGCGCACCTTGGCAGAAGCCAGTAGCCGGGTCGATCCAGGCATGCACGGCCAAGATGTCACACATGGTGGCGCGGTTCCTCTCCGCCTGGTAGAACGCCATGTGCCTGTCCGTGCGCTCCACATCCACCGCTGGTGAGGGCGAGGAGGGGACAGGGCAGCGGAGGGCGTAGGATGGGGAGGGAGGTACCAAATCAGTTCCTCTCCGCCTGGTAGAACGCCATGTGCGTGTCCGTGCGCTCCACGTCCACAGCTGTGGGAGAGGAAGGCACGAGATGCGAGAGGGAGGAGGGCAAAGGGTGAGGAGGGAAGGCATCGGTGCCTCTTCGCCTGATAGAACGCCATGTCCCGGACGGGCAAGGAGTGACGTAGTGTTGTAAAACAGGGATTTAGGTTTCGGGGTTTAGTTAAGGCAACAGGTGACCGCAACGGTCGCGATTCGACTCACATATCTTATGCAGCGTCCACAGCCAGTCAGCAACACGCTCCACCGTGACACCCAGCCTGAGGTGATATTTGAGTCGACCCTCTCTGCTGCTCTCGCACATCCTGCTCTGCTACGCTCACACATCCCCCTGCCCCACTACTCACATATCTTATGCAGAGTCCACAGCCAGTCCGCGACACGCTCCACCGTGACACCCAGCCGAGCCGCCACCACCGGATCAACCGTAAGCTGCGCCTTCTGCCCTCCCTCCTCCTCTCCCCCTTGAACCCCCTCACCCCCCTTGCCCTCCTCCTCCTTCCCACTCTCCTCCACCCCATCTCCTCCCTCTCCTCTCCCAGCCCCCGCTCCTCCACCCTCCCCACCATCCTTCTCCACCCCTCCACTGCTCCCTCTACTCCCCCTGCTCCCTCTACTCCCCTTCTCACTCCCACCACCTGCTCCTCCCCTCACCTCCCCTCCTCCCTCTCCTCTCCCCTCCACCCCCCCTTCCCCCTCCTCATCATCATCATGCCCTAGGATCCAAGCCCACACCTGCTCAGCTGTGGGGTTCTTTCCATTGAAGCTTTTCCTCTGCATGTACGCCTGCAGAATGCTCTGCCTCTGCTCTGCTGCTTGGCTGCCCCCTCCCGTGCTTGCACTCGTGTGAATGCCCTCTAGAGCACTCTCCTCCACGGGTATCCCTGCCCCTCCTTCTCCTCCTCCCCCTCCTGCTCCTGCTGCTCCTGCTCCTTGCTCTATGCTGCCCTGTCCCTCCCCATCGCCCTTCTCACCACTCACCCCTCCCGATTCTTCCCCTCTGCTCGCCCCTCTTTGCACAATTACTATGCTCTTCCCTGCTCGCGCTGTTGCCCTGCCCTCCCCCATTCCTTTAGGCGTGCTCGGCCCCTCAATCTCCTCTTGTGACTGCTCCTGCTCTGTCAGTCCCACTGCGCCTGCACCAACTAAACCCTCTCGCTCTGCTGCTCCTGCAGCTGCAGCAGCAGCGGAGGCTGAAGGTAATGGTGACGGCCCTGCTACACCCCCTGCTCCTCTTTCCTCCCCCGCCCTTCCTTCTCCATCCCTTTCCACTCTACCTGCCCCGTCTGCTGTCCGTTCCGCCCCCCTTCCCTCTCCCCTGCCCTCCACCCTGCCCTCCCCCCTGCCCTCCCCCCTCCCCTCCCCTCCACTGTACCACACACGCAGTGACGCCTCCCCTGGTGCCCCCCTCCCCCCCACACTGCGGCCAATGGCGCACCCTGCAGCCACAGGGGCAGGATCAGCATCCTCAGCGCCCTCACGCTCACCAGCAGTGCCAGCAGTAACATCGTCATTACCACTAACACCAACACTACTAGCACCAGCACCAGCAACAGCGGTGCCATCACCATCAGCAGCACCACTGAGAGAAGTGCCACCACCCGGAGCATTGCGTGCCTGTAGTGCGTCCCACACATCACGCTCATCCCTTCCTTCCCTCTCCCTCTCGCCCTCCCTCTCCCCCTTCCTCTCCCTCTCCTCCACAATATCCCCTCCTCCCCCAAAGCTCATCCGTTCTCTGCTCCCCAACGCACTCTCCCGCCCATGCTGCCCCAACCCCTGGCTACCACTCCGCACCATCCCCCACACCTCTCCCCCCTCCATAGACCCCGCTACAGGCCCCGCTACAGCCCCTGCCACCGGCCCCGCTACAGCCCCCGCTACAGGCTCAGGCGAAGGCGCAGTGATTCCCGCAAAGTCAACCAGAGTCATGCCAGCACTGCGCGAGCGGCGCGAGGAGGAGGAGGAGCCGGCGCTGTCAGGGCGATGGGAGAGGATAGAGGAGGAGGAGGGCGGGAGGAGCGCGGAGGAGGGGGACGGGGAGGCTGCAGCAGAGGAGGTGGATCGGGGAGGGGTGGAGGAGTGGGAGTGAGTGGAAAGATGACCAGGGATAGAAGCGCAAGAGCCAGAGCCAGATGCACCAGGAGCGTTTCCAGAAGCGTTGCCAGCAGCAGTGGACGAAGAAACAGCAGTGGACGGACGGCTTGGTTGGCTGGAAGACGACGAAAGGTTGGTGCTCGCGCTAGGAGCCAAGCCCTTGCCGCCCAGCAGCTCGTCCAATGACGTGCTCCCCCAATCCGCACTGAGCACCTTCCGGAGCCGTCTCCTTGCGCCTGCCCTCCCTCCCCCTCCTCCCCCCCCTCCGCCCACTCCCCCTCCTCCCGCTACTCCACCCAATGCTCCCCCCTCATGCCCCTCTCCTCCTAGCTTCCCTGCAACCTTTCCCCCGCCCAACACCCCCCCTCCTCCCCCGTCTCCCTGTCCCCCTCCCCCTCCTGCCCCCACTCCTCCCCCTCCACCACCCCCTTCCCTCCCCCCGAGGCTATCTGACGCACCAAGGTACCCAATCAGTTTCTTATGGGCCTTCTTCATTCCCCTCACCCACGCTGCGCCCGCTCCTCCTTCCCCCCCTCCCCTGTGCGCCCCCTGCGCCGCCCCCACTCCCCCCAACTCCCCCGCTGGTGGCGGCCGCCCCTCCTTCCCCAGCCTCCTTCCCCCCGCTCCCCCATCCGTTCCGCCTCCCGCCCCGCCCTCCCACCCGGCCTCCCCTGCCCCCTCCTCCACCCCCTCATCCTCCCCCGGCTCCCCCCCTTCCCCTCCCTGCCCCATCCCCCCGCCTCCTCCACCTCCTCCGCCACTCACATTGTGCCACCTGTCAGCACCAGCTGCCGCGTGCATAGGCGATCCCACATCCGCCTCCCCACCTACAGCCGGTAAGCTGCTACTAAAGCTCTTTGCTAGAGGCACATCTGAGTACTGTTGCTTCTGGGAGTCAGACGACCTGTAGTGGTCCTGAGCCGGTGCCCTGTGGTGCAGAGCGGTACCCACGGACGGGTGGGAGGACGACGTGGAAAACCCAGAAGCACTGAAAGCACCACCGGATGAACCCGAGGAAGCAGAAGGGCCGGAGGGACTGTCCAAGATTGAAATCGAGGTGGGCAGTTTGCTTTCCTTCTTCTTAACATCCTTCACCACTCCCTGCAGTAGCCTAGTCCATCTTACTTTCTGTTGCTTCCGCTTCTCCCCCCCCTCGTGCTCCCCCCCTTCCTCCACCCCACTGCCCTCACCCCCTTCTTCCCCACCTTCGCTCTCTCTACTCCCCTCCATCATCCCATCCCCGAACCAGCCCCTGCCTGACTGACCGCTCTCCTCTCCCTCCACCTCCCGTCTCTCTCTCCGCCCTATCCTCTCAGGCTGGGCGCTCATAGATCGAGAGAAGCTCCGATTCTCCGCCCTCCTCCTGTTCCGCGCGCCCTCCCCACTCGGATCCTCCCCCCTCTCCCCCCCTTCCCCCGGCCTCCTCCCCGTTTCCTGCCCTCCTGCCCCTGAACGCGCGCCTTGTGCCCCTGTAGGCGCATCCTCTTCCCCATGCGCCCCTGCCCTTGCTCCCCCCCCTGCCCCTGCTCCTTTCCCCCCCTCTGCTGCTGCTGCTGCGGCTGCTACAGCCGCTGCTGCTAGTCCCCCTGCTGCCCCATCCGCATCCTCTCCCCCAAGCCCCTCAACTCCGCTAGCACCAATGCCTGACGCGCCAGCCTCAGCTTTCCCCCTTGCGCGCGTCCCAGGTCCCCCACCAGCGACCCCACTGTTCGCTCCGCCTGCACCCCCCGTGCCTCCCCCTCCTGCGCCTCCCCCTGCGCCCCCTCCCCCTGGCATGGAGTCCTGTGCGCGGAGCTTATCCAGATTATCCACCCGCCGCTGCCGCTCCCGAGCCCACTTTGCCCTCATCTCCTCCATCCCCTCCCCCGGCCCCACTTGCCCGCCCCCCTGCCCGGCCCCCTGCGCCCCCCCTTGCCCACCCCCCTGCCCCCCTCCCCCTCCGCCTTTCCCCCCTCTACTCGACTCAGCAGCACTCCCCCCCGGCCTCCTGTCTACGTCTTCACTTCTCCGCCTCAGTTCCGCCTTCTTCCTCTCTCTCGCCTCCCTCCCGCCTGCCCCTTCCCCTTTTCCAGTCCCCTGCTCCTCTTTCCCCGCCCTCTTTCCGTTGGGACTATCCTTAAAACCACCTCTGCCCCCCTTCTCCCCCTCCACACCCTCCCCTTTCCCCCCTCTCTCTCCCTTCCCTTCCCCAACCCCTCCTCCGCCGCCCTGCCTCCCTTTCTCCCCCTCTCTCCCCGCCTCCCCTCCCCCATCCAACCCCTCCTCCTCCTCTTCCTCCTCATCCGTATCCCTCATCCCCTCCTGCCCCTCACCCTCCCACTCCTCCAAATCCTCCTCGTCCTCCTCCTCCCCTCCCGGCCGCACAAACAGCCCCCTCGGGTCATCCAAATCGAACACATCAACATCGCAACTGAAAGAGAATGAGGAGAAGGAGCTCAGTCTAGGCCCACCCTCCTCTATAAGCTGATCCAGTCTAAGCTGAGTGGAACTCCCAGCAGACCCCCTCTCAGAGTATTGTCTCGAAGGGGGGAATCGCAGGTCACTGCTTCCGCCACTGGCGGAACTTCTAGCCCCTGCCCCCCCTAGCACGCTTCGATCGGGGGGAGTGTTGCTCCTGCTGCTGCTCCCGCCCCCCGCTCTTCCTCCCCCCCCGCTCCCCCTTGCTTCTCCGCTAGGGGATGTAGTGGCTGGGGACGGGATGCTGGCGGTGCTGCTTCCGGGGGTAGTTCCTGAGTTTCCCGGGGTGTTTCCGGGGTGGATAATGCGCACGTCCATAATGCGCGTTCCCACGGCGAAGGCCAGGTGACCCGACCCCACGTTGCTGTGCATCTGCTGGCACTGCAGCAATAGCTGCTGATAGCGCTCCCTGCATGGGGGCACGAGAGGGGAGTTGGGGGTGCAAGGGGTGGTGGGAGAGGATGTGAGGGGAGAAATGGAGGACAGATAGACAGCGTCCAGTGACGAGAGTCAAGCACTTGTGTGGTGCCACTGACCCTCCCCCTTACTTCCTCCTAGACGTTCATGTTCATCCTATCTGTGGTGTCAGTACGAACCTCCTGGCCTAACGCACGTAGTTCCTCTCCTCCAAAGTGGACTCGAGGGAGAGGAGCAGAACTTCTCCTCTCTGCTGCCACCAAACCGACCTTCCAGCTAACGTTCCCCCAGACCTTTTCTTAGAGTCTGTAGAACGTACCTCCTGGCCTCGCGCACGTAGTTCCTCTCCTCCGCAGTGGACTCAAGGGAGAAGCACTTTTCGATCGCCACTGACCTCCCCCTACCCTTCACTACCAGACATTCCTCTTAAAGCCAAGCACATCTCTGGCGCTACTAACCTCCTGGCCTCGCGCACGTAGTTCCTTTCCTCTGCAGTGGACTCGAGGGAAAAGCAGCCAAGCAGGAACTCCCACACCTCGCCCCGTATCGACTTGTCCACTCCCTGCGAACGGGACAAGAGCGCGAAGGGGACACGAAGTGAAGGAGAGGAGAGGACGGGAGAGAAGAGGAGATGGCAGGGTAGAGGAGGTTAGAGTCACACGACCCAAGAGAACAGTAGGTGGGCCGAGGCCTGAGGAACAGCATAAGTGGAGTGTGGGGCGTCAGGAGCGCGAAGGGGAGAAGGATATTGTCAATGGGCAGTGTATCCGCGTTACAAGGCTGGAGGCCGTCTTACCCCATAAGAATCGCCTCGGCTGGTGATTCGAAGAGTATTATTGAAGCAAAAAATGCTGGACTCGACTCTGTAGTACCTTTTAAATTTTTGTTCTAAGCACTTGCGGCATGCGCACCAGACGCCCTTGGTGATTGTTGAGTATAGTAGAAACGCACCCCTTGAAGATTTGCCTTGAGCACTTGTGGCGAAAGAAGCTTGAGTTGACCTTAAACTCACCCCTTCGAGAATTGCTTTAAGCACTTGTGGCATGCGCACCAGACGCCCCTCCGCGTCGAACGCGCTCTTCCACATGCGCGGCTTCAGCCGCTTCGCGCGCCCCATCTGGCGCAGGGGGGAGAAGGGGAAAAAGGGGGTAAGGGGAGGGGGAAGGCGGGATCGAGGCGAGGGGACGGGGAGCTTGGGTGCGGGAGCTGGCAGAAATGCGAGGGCAGTTGAGAAAGAGCCTGGCTCTTCCACATGAAAACGCAAGGCAGTTGCTTCAGGCGCTTTGGTCGCCCCATCTGACAGAGGAAATCGCAAGGGATTGGAAGACGAACCGCCATGTGCTAAGCGCCATTGAACGAGTGGAGCTTGTCAGATGTCGTTAGGACGGCACATTGACCAAAGAAACGGCTCGCTATTGCTGTCTCTACATCGATTTGTTTTTTACAAACATTTTGAGGCTGCAAAACCTTCGTCGCATCGAGCTCACGAGGGATGGCTAAATAGACGGAATGTACGCAGCTTAGCCGCATTGAGTTCACAGTGGAACGGCTAGACAGAATGTGCGAAGCCGTGAGAAGAATTTCGTTAAGTCGCAAAAGCACGGCACGGGACGACTCAAAGGCGGAACATGGGCGGCCATGAGACCCGAAAAAGGTAAGTAGCAAGAAAAATCATACAGCAATGTGGTCTAGCGTTGATTCGTCTCAAAAAGAGAAAACTGCAACGTAATATGGTCGAATGTTTATACGCATCAGTACAGTAAGCGGTCGAACCAGGTTTCTACAACGTTAAGGCTATGGACGCTCTTATAAGGGCCGTCAATGCGAAGACCGACGGACCTGCGATGCCCAGCCAGTCGGTCGGTTCCGAGCGTCAGCAGATATCCAGCTGCCGTCCTTTATTCGCGGCGGGCCGTCCGGTCGACCCGGACCCCCCCGTGACTCGCCGGCTCCGCCTTGCCGGAACGCCATTGGGAACTAACCGGCTGGAATAACCGGTCGATTTAGCAGGCTAAAAGTAACCAGTCGAAGCAGCCGGCTGAAAGTAGCCGGCCGAACGACCATAAACTATGGGGAGCGGCGCAAGTGGGTGCTTGCACATGGGAAACTTATTACGAGCTCTTGAGGGACGCTCTTATCGCATTCGGACCCCCAATGGGAAGAAATGCCGATAGAGAAGCTTCCAGAAAGCCTACCCTAGAAAGGGTAAACCTAGCACATTTAGTGCAGTGCAGGAGAAAGGAAAACCAGAAAGAATCTTGGTGATGCGTTTCTGTTGAATAAAATCGAGACGAGAAAGGAGCAGTGAGAAAAGAGTAGAGAAAGAAGAGGGAAGAGAAGAGAGAAAGAAAAGGACAGCAATGGAGGAGGTTTGTTTGTTGGTGAGAAGTAACGGCAATCTCGAGAGTCGAGAAACGTGGATGCGGCGACGAGGGGAGGGGAGGGGAGGGGAGGCAAGGCAAATGAAAAGGGAGTGCGGGACTTAGGACGGGGGAAGGAGGGGAAAAGGAGGAAGGAAGGGAGGGATGCCTCGATAATACCGAACCGAACCGACCAGTCAGCACGCAGCACCAGCAGACCACTGGTCGCCAGAGGGGTGGTGCCTGTCGGGCACGGGGATTGCCAACAGGCGGACACAGCTTTTCGCGAAAACAGCACTTCGCGAAGACATGGATGTAACTGTCTAGTATGAGCATCAAGTATGGTATTGCTATAGGGTAAATCTAGGAACAGTTGTGGGTCTTGTTGGCTTGCTCCCTCACCCAACACACGAGGAGAACATGCAGGATACCTTCTCGGACTGTATTTTTTGGTCAGGTGTGGATGGAAAAATTCGCAATGGGAGTTACAACATGTACAATCAATAAAACTATTCAATCATCACACGTTGGTACACACAATCGTTGCAAAAACGGCAGAATTTCATCCAGCAATGTGTTCAAATCACTCCCTCCAATCCCAGCCTTTGGTCCCGGTAACACCTCTGCCATCCCAGACCCCATGATTGCTCGTTTCTCCGACCTTTCCTCTCCTTCACCAGTGCCACTGTCTGGCCCCACAAAATCACTAGTACATTGCTGTCTCTGCTCATTACAATCCACTACCAGCAGCGGCACGCCATCGAGTGCACTGTGAGTCAAAGCTCCGTCCACAGTTGCACTGAAGGAAGCGGCTGCAGGGAGCAAGCGGTGAGAATGAACAGAGTGTGCGAAAATCTGGATCAATCTGGGAGATGCGCACGCAGCACCATGCCAACAATCCTACTCACCTGCCGCATGTTCCCGATCTGTCCTGTGAGAACCTTCCAGGAACCAGCGGTCATACAACTCGTGCAGGCACTGCAGGTACGGCAAGTCAACGGAGGTCTCTTCTGAGCGGGATCTGCATGGGCGGGGGAGGTGCGGGGTTAGAGGGATAAGAAAGGACTTTTGAGGCGCCTCAAAAGGAATACAGCTCGTGCAGGCGCTGCAGGTGTGGCAAGTCAACGGAGGTCTCCTCGGAGAGGGATCTGCGTGGGCGGGGAGAGGAATGAGAACAAGTTGTGAGATGTCTCGAAAATGCAGGTATGACAAGTCAACCGAGGTAACTTCGGAGTGAGACCTGTGGGGAGAGGTGCGGGGTTAGAGGGATAAAGTAGGACTTTTGAGGCGCCTCAAAAGCAATACAGCCCGTACAGGTGCTGTAGGTATGGCAAGTCAACGGAGGCCTCTTCTGAGCGAGAGCTGCGTGGGGAGAGGTGGGCAGGGAGAGGGATGAGACGGGTAGTGCTTTGAGTCGACTCAAAAGGAATACAGCTCGTGCAGGTGCTGCAGGTGTGGCAAGTCAACAGCAGTCTCTTAGGAGCGAGAGCTGTGGGGCGAGAAGTGACGTGGCCAGGGAGAGGGATGAGAACGGTGTGTTTTGAGTTGACTCGAGACACGGCTCGTGCAAACGCTGCAGGTACGGCAAGCCAACCGAGGTCTTTTCAGAGCGAGAGCTGCGGGGCAAGAAGTGACGTGGGCGGTCAGAGGGATAAGAACGGTTGAAAGGAGGAAAGTGTGATGCCCGAATGCGTGTGGGTGAGTGGGTGGGTGGTCATTCATGGAGAGGGAAAGTTTGAGCAACAGAGTGACAGAGACAGAGGCCGACAGGCAGACGCAGTGACTGTGAGGGAAGGAGTTTGCTTTTGAGTCGACTCCACAGCAGACTTTGAGCAACAGAGTGACCGAGACAGAGACAGAGACAGAGACAGACAGACAGGCACAGAGACTGTGAGGGAAGGAGGGAGAGTCTTAGCAGGGAGGCATTGCAGAGGTGGGGGTAAGAGAGCACACCGTTTCTGCAGGCGCTGCAGGCACACAGAGGGGTCGGCTCTCAGGTAGATGAACGCATCGGGTAACTGATGGGAGGGAGGGGATAGGAAAAATGGACGGAGACGGGTGGGGGGAGAGAATCACATGGAATCAATGTGAGACTGGCGCTGCAGGCACACAGAGGGTTCAGCTCTCAGGTAGATGAAGGCATCGGGTAGCTGATGGGAGGGGTGGGGAAGTGGGGAGATCACACCGTTGCTGCAGGAGTTACAGGCACACAGAGGGGTCGGCTCTCAGGTAGATGAAGGCATCGGGTAGCTGATGGGAGGGGACGGGTGTGGGGTGGGGGACGGCAACACAAATAGCGGCAGAGCACTCTGCTGCTTTAGGCGCTGCAGGCAGACAGAGGGGTCGGCTCTCAGGTAGATGAATGCATCGGGTAGCTGATGGGAAGATAGGAGAGTCAGTGGCAGCACAGCTTGAAAATTACTGCCTTGCCATCTCCTCACAACTGACATTCGCGACAGGTACTCAGGACAGGGACGCACACTGCAAGGTATCTAGCCGGGTGCTCACTACAAGGGCAGCATGGGCAGCACGGCATCGAACCACAAGTCATATAACGCCCCTTCTAGCGGCGTGAACAGCCTAGCCCAGCAAGGTCATCATCTATTCAGATCAGAACAGTGGCCTAGACCCCGGCAACTCACCACTCCAGGCAGCATGGGCAACACAGCATCGACCCACGAGTCGTATAGAGCTTCCTCTAGCGGCGTGAACAGCCCTCCTGCTACTGCTGCCGGCGCGAACACGAGGCGGTCACAGAAGAGGGATCGTTCGCAGAGGCGGAGAGCGGAGGGGTGGTGGTGGGGTTGCAAGGGGACTCACCACTCCAGGCAGCATGGGCAGCACGGCATCGACCCACGAGTCGTAGAGTGCTTCCTCTAGCGGCGTGAACAGCCCTCCTGCCACTGCTGCCGGTGCAAACACGAGGCGATCGCAGAAGAGGGAGCGCTCGCAGAGGCGTAGAGCAGAGGGGTGTTGCTGCAGGCCGTGATGATACTGGGAGGCACGGGAGATGAAGACCAGACTCTGAAAGGTGTAGGCGAACCTGGGAGGGAGGGGAGGAAGACAACGGGAGAGGAGGAGAGGCAAGAAGCGGAGACACGAGGCGGTCACAGAAGAGAAATTGCTCGCAGAGGCGTAGAGCAGAGGGGTGTTGCTGCAGGCCGTGATGATACTGGGAGGCACGGGAGATGAAGACCAGACTCTGAAAGGTGTAGGCGAACCTGGGAGGGAGGGGAGGAAGACAACGGGAGAGGAGGAGAGGCAAGAAGGGGAGACACGAGGCGGTCACAGAAGAGAAATCGCTCGCAGAGGCGGAGAGCAGAGGGGTGGTGGCGGTGGGCTTGGAGGTACTGTGAGGCGCGGGAGATGAAGACCAGGCTCTGAAAGGTGTAGGCGGACCTGAAGAGGAAAGGGGAGGGAGAAGGCAGAGGGGTGATGGTGGGCTTGGGACAGTATTGCGAGTTGCAGGACATGAAGACAAGCCTCTGAAAGCTGTAGACGAACCTGTAGGCGGACCTGAAAGATAAGGTACTCTTTCCCTCCTCCCTTCTCCCTGCCCCCACCCACCTCTTGGGGTCTTTGTAAAACGCGACCAGAGCGTTCGCCCCACTCCCCTCTCTCTACCTCTTCCCACCTCTTACCCTCGTTGCGGCCATCTCTTTCGCTCCCCCACCACCCCCCACCGCCCCCCACCACCCCCCACCTCTTGGGGTCCTTATAAAACGCGTCCAGCGCGTTCTCCCCGCTGCCCTTCACGTTGCGCCACTCACGCAGCGGCTCGGGCTGCAGCGCCACGTCAGCACTGCCAGTGACAGCTCTCCGCAATGCCACGTCACTGCTGCGTGAAGAGCGGGGGGGAGGGGGAAGTGGAGGAGGGGGAGGGGAGGGGAGGGGGGGGAAGTGGGGAGGGCGGCGGGGGGAGTTGGGAGGGGGGAAAGGGAGGTGCGGTTGGGAAAGTGAGGGGGTGGGGATGAGAGGGGAGAAAATCGGGAGAGACAAAAAAAAACGAGGTTCGGAGCCTGAATGGGGAGAGGGAAGGGGCGGGGTGGAGGAGGCGTGGTGTGGGTAAGCAGTAAGAGGGCGACGCGTCCCACCTGTTCAATCGCTCGCCCAGAGCACTCAGAATCGTTGATTTCCCCACACCGATGTTTCCCTCCATCGCCACCGTCCATCCGCGCGCCCTCTCCGCCCCGCTACCCGTCCATCCGCGTGCCCGTTCCGCCGCCCTGCGCCGACCGTGAGATGTGGGCTCTCGAGACGCCTCGATAGAAGACGGTTCGATGTAGGACGCCCCGCGCGCAGCCCCGATCGCCGCTGCAGCGCCATCGGTCGCACATTCAGTGGATCTTGCGCTACCACCCGCTCTTTCCGATTCGCGATTCGCGTCGGGTGCCACCTGGCATGCTGTGGCAGCGCCACGTGTCCCCGAATCCGCTCCAACTGCACTGACCAATAGGCGTGGCGCCTCGAGTGGGGACGGGCGCGCGGCAGTTCCAGGCGATGAGAGGACACGCAATAGAGACGCGAGTGGGCGGTGCGGGCGCATGGGGAGAGACGCGTCGCGGAGGGAAGGAGATTAACTGACCAGATTAGAGACTGAAAGTAGACAAATCAGTTTCTGTGTTGAAGAGGGGCGCGATTTAGGGCGTGTCCAGCGCGTACATTTTGGGAATATTAGTACCTTCACACGTTTCCCGGCTCAAAAAATCTCACTGTACCAAAAAACGAATATAAGGTGAGTCGAGTCCGAAGGATTGGGCCTTCCAGCGCGCGGACACAAGCCTCTGCACACAAATTTCTACAGTTCGTGGAAAACGAGGTAACTGGTTGCCTCGTCTATCATCGCACAGAAATTCACGCACAAGCGAAAATTCCACGCTTGAACGAAAATTACTGTAGCGGGCAGGACGCAATGCTGTACCCTTGTTCGCGCGCACACTGATTCCAGTAACGTGTGTTAGACGATTCGTCGTACGCGCAGCGGGCGTGCCGTCTTGTGAACGGAAGCTGATCGTGTCCAACCTTTTAGTAAAATGCAGTGTTACAATAGGAAATGTGGTAACTGAATGGGTTTATGAACTGTAAATGTACGCGCTGGACACGCCCTTACGAATGACACGAAAACTACGTTCGAGTAACGCGAGTGCGACATTTGAGACTTCTGCGCGTGTATACGCGCTAAGGTTGCCAACTTCACTTATGACTAAATCAGCAATGTTCGGAAAAGTTTGCTCACCTATGTACTTCAACATGGTAATTTGCCATTCTGAAGTATCACATGCCATTCTAATAACTATCACCACTTCCAGCACTCCACGCAAAACAAATCGACCATACCATTCTATGTTAAAAACATGCTCCCATCTCAGCAGCTTGCTTGCGTGTCCAACAGTGCCGACTCCGTCATAGTGAGTAACAAATGTGAAGGTGGTAACGAGCGGTTCAGTGTTCCAGAACTACTCCCGTTGATGCTGCTGTTACTGCCATACTCGTTCCCCCTCTCCCTCACTCCCCCTCGCTCTCTGACACCGCATCTGGTCGGCTGAGTCTCAGCCTGAGCGGTTCAGTGTGCGGAGAAAGCTGTGTGGCAGCGTCCCCTCCCCCCCCTATGCCCAGTGCCTGCCTCCTCAGCTCTGCCTGCGCTTCGCTCCTCTCCCTCTTCCTCCTCTGCCTCCTCCTCTCCACCTGTCCAAGAGACACATGACAGATGGCACATGGCACGTGGCACGTGTGGGAATGCAGCATGGCGACAAGGGAGAAAACGCGGTGATTTGAAACCATAGTTAGCAGAGAGAATAGAGGGAGCAGAGGGAGTGGCCATTGCGTACGCTCTTAAACTCGCCCATATGAACTCGCCCATACCAACTTGCCTGTGCTACCACCCAGCCCCTCCACATCAGCCATCAACCCTCACCTGCTTCTCCTTCTCCTCCCACCGTTCGTACTGCTCTTGAGCCATCGCCACACCTTCAAACTCCCTCACACCGCCCCCTTTTCCTCCCGCTCCCCCGTTCAGCCCCACGAGACCATCGGAGCCAGAGCTATAATCAGAGTCCTCCTCCTCTTCCTCGGTGCGCCACGTGACTGCCTCCTCCCTCCACGCTGCCCCACGCACCAAGCTGCTGCCGTTGCTGCTGCCAGGCGAATCACACTCTACTCCCGTGCTTCCTGTAGTGATCATGCTGCTGCTGCTGCTCATCATGCTGCTGCTGCTGCTCGTGCTGTAGCTGGTCGTCGTACCAGCACCTGCTTCCCCTCGCTCTGTGCCTGGCCCATCAGCCCCAGCTGATGCTGCCTGCTGCTGCTCCTGGTGAAGCACGCCCCTGAGCTCTCCAACCCTCCTTTCGTCTGCTCCTTCTAACTCCTCTCCATACAAATCTTGATCCTCCTCCTCCTCTCCTCCAACCCCACCACTCTCAACACCATCAAACTCACCACCCTCTCCTCTTCTCACACTTTCCCCCTCAATCTCTGTCCCACTCCCCATATCGCTCCCACTCTCCCCAACACCGTCCCTCTCCCCCATGTCAGAGTCTGTATACACAACCTCAGAATACCCCCCCTCCTCCCCGTCTCCACTTGTCAACCACTCTCCACCCATCAGCACCTCCCCCTCCTCCCCCTCACTCTCACTATCCAGTAACACCCCCCTCCCCCCCGCTTTCCCCCTCCCCAGCTTCATCTGCTCACACGTCTCACACTTACTCTCCCCCTCGCCCGTCCCTTCCCCCTCCCCTCTCCCCACTTCACCCAACCCCCTCGACCTCACTTTCTGGCTAATCCTCTCCTTCCTCCTCCCCTCCCTCCTCTTCTCACTCTCCCACTCCTCTACCAGCGCTCGCTCCCTATCCTTCTCTCTCTTCCTCTCCGTCTCCTTCTCTATATCCTCCTCTTCCTTCCCCGCCCCAAGCTTTCCCTTCACGCCGCCCCCACTGGCCCCTTCCGCCTCTTTCAGCTCTTCGAATCGAACTGCCACCACCTTCCTCGCATTACCAGACAAAATCTGCCACCCGGGCGAGAGGCAGAGGGGAAGCAGGGCGGGAAGAGTGAAGGTACCTTTTGATAGAGATATCAATGTTATAAGGTGATTCAGAACAATGCAGAAAGAGAAACGCGACCATGAATGTGCCAACAGAAAACGGCTACTAAGACTCCCAAGTTACCTCAAGTTGAAACCGGAGCAGCTGCTTTCGCGCCCCCTTGTCCCCGCCGTCCCTCTGCCCCTTCCCTCCCTTTCCGCCCGCTCCTCCCTCCTCTGCCCCCTCGCCCTCCTCCTCCTCCTCGCTCTCCTTCCGCTGCAGCCTGATTATCTTGGTGTCGCCCGTGCGGGGAATGTACCCAAACGCCTCGCACACGAACCCCGAAACCGTTTCGTAGAAGGAGGCCCTCTGGCAGCAAGAGAGAAGAAGGGGAGGTTGTCAGGGGAAGAGGGGGAGACATGAGGCAGAGACACATCTGGTGGTGTCGCCCGTGCGGGGAATGTACCCAAACACCTTACACACAGGCTGTCCTTCCTGCCTTACACCTCTCTGGAAAGGAGGAAGGGAGAGAGGTGTAAGGCAGGAAGGACAGCCTGTTGATCTTGGTGTCGCCCGTGCGGGGGATGTATCCGAACGCCTCGCACACGAAACCAGATACTGCTGTCTCGTAGAAAGAAGCTCTCTGGAAGGAACGACGGGGATGGGAGAAGGAGGAGCAGAAGGGGAGATGGAAAGGGAGAAAGAGTGCAAGAGACATCTGTTGGTGTTGGCTGTGAGGAGGAACAAGCACGACTCACGGCCGGCAGCACAGGCACGACTCACGGGCGGCAACACAAGCACAACTCACGGGCGGCAGAACAAACACGATTCTCAGGCAGAAGCACAAGGGTGATGCACATGCAGCAGCACGACTTGGAGGATGTCAGCCAGGTCATCACCGGTGGTGTTGGCGCGTGAGTGACTGACGGGCAGCATCATGACTCACTGGTAGGCAACAGCACACTTACAGGCGGCAGCACGACTTGCAGGATATCAGCAAGGTCATCAACGGTGGTGTTGGCATCCACATCATACACGCCCTCCGCCCTCTGAATGATGTACCCCGTCTTGCGTCGAATCTCCTCCTGATGGTTGGTGCACGCACACAGGCAACAGACATGAGGGATTGGTGGTGTTGGCATCCACATCATACACGCCCTCCGCCCTCTTAATTACGGACCCCGTCTTGCGCCGAATCTCCTCCTGATGGTTGGCAAACAAGCGGACACACGAACAGAGGCAGAAAAGAAAGCAGGCGCAGAGGCAGAGGCAGGAGCAGAGTGACATCACTTCGTTCGTTACATCCAGTGCCAGCCCAGCAGCTCGGTCCTGCCACGCAAGCAGGGCATCAATGTGGCCGGGAAAGAGGTGCCCAAAGGCGAGTCGAAAGCAAGTTGAAGAGGAATGGGCGAGTGTGGGAGAGGGCGGATAGCACCCGAGCAGACCCCATAGCACAACACCACTAGACTGACTTCCACTTTGCAGAGTGACTCGGCTCATCTACCCATCTCAAATGAGCTTCGCATCCCCATCGCTGCGACGATAGCCCCCATGACGCTGCACGTCACTCCCCATCAATTCCACGGTACCTTGGAGTCGTTCTCGTCGAAAATCTCCCCAACGATCTCCTCCACCGCATCCTCTAGCGTCACCAGCTGATGGGAAGAGGGGGCATAGGTGCACAGAGCACACGACGCAAGGCATGAGGCGCATGGCACACTCAAGTGCGCGAGTCATTCTATCTCCCCCACGATCTCCTCCACCGCATCCTCTAGCGTCACCAACTGATGGAAGCAAGGAAAGACGCATGAAACATGGGGCACAGAGCACAAGAAGCAAGGCACGAAGCACATGGCACACGGCACACAGCACTCTCCCCCACGATTTCCTCCACTGCATCCTCTAGCGTCACCAGCTGATGCGAGAAGGATGGGGCGTGCAACGTTGGAGGGCATGGTAGAAATGTAGGGCATCATCATGGCACCATACGCACGGGCATGTGCGAGTTGATTGAGGTGGAGACGAGAAAATCGTGAAGGAGTGAGCACGGAGGGGAGAGATACGGAGCATATGAGATGGAGAGCGGCAACTCACCCGGCCAGCGAGGGAGGAACTTGAGAGTGAGGGCGAACAGCGAGAGAGCGTGAGGCAGGCAGTGCCGCAGTGATAGCTACTCACCCCCACGGTGCCGCCGTATTCGTTCAGCACGATGGCCATGTGCACTTTGCGGATCCGGAACTCTCTCAGAAGGTTCCACACCGACATCGAGTCTGCACACAAAATCGGTATGCAAACAGATGGGTCAGGGCGGGGGAGGGGGAGGCGAGGGGTGAGGAATGGAATGGGGGTTGGGGGGGAGGGTAGGTGGGTGGATGGAAGGGGGATGGGGAAAAGGAGAGGGGAAGGAGTGAGACTGGCTATTCAGCTGCTCCTGCAGCTGCTTTCTCAGGCAAACTCATGTCTAGAGATAGGGACGAGGAGGCGTAGTGGCATGGTTTCTCACCAGGGACGAAGTATGCTGGCCGGTGCGCAATCCTGCCTACACTCAAGCGATGCAGCAACTCCGGCTGGCCGAGACAGCGAGAGGGAGGGGGCGGTGGGAAAGGGGCAGTGGGAAGGAAGCGGTAGGAAGGGGGGGGTGGGAGTGGGCAGTGAGAGGGAGTTAGATTGGGTGGACAAGTTTGGAAGTCAGGGGAAGGGAAGGGAGGGAGGGGAGGGGAGGTGGGAAGGGGAGGAGGTAGAGTGTGAATCAGGTGGGGACGCCCTACCTCAACATACACAGATAGCACCTGCCCCACGCACAGCACCTGCCCCACGCATAGCACCTGCCCCACGCACAGATACCACCTGCCCTGTCCCACGTACGCCCCACCTGCTCCGCTTAGTCGAGCATGTCCATGGCATACGCGATCCCCACAGCGCTCACACAGACAGATCCCATCTGCCCTGCACTGCCCCACAAGCAGATACCACCTTCCCCAAATATAACCCACCTGCTCCACATAGTCGAGCATGTCCATGGCATACGCGATCCCCACAATGTTGTCCACCCTCCTCTCGTACACAGGCACGCGTGAGTACTGGTGGCGCACCCACAGCGCACGCAGCTCCATGAGCGACGCAGACGAGCCCACCGCCACCACGTCTACGAGGGGGGTCATGACCTCCCGCACGTATGTGTCTTTAATTTCGAGCACATTCTCTATCATATCCTGTCGGGGGGGGGGGGGGGGGGGGGGGAGAATGAAGGTGATCGCAGGGAGTGGAGGGGAAAGCGTGGGTACTGGTGGCGCACCCACAGCGCACGCAGCTCCATGAGGGACGCAGACGAGCCCACCGCCACCACGTCCACCAGGGGGGTCATCACCTGGCGCACGTATGTGTCCTTGATTTCGAGCACGTATGTGTTCTTGATTTCGAGCACGTATGTGTCCTTGATTTCGAGCAAGTATGTGTCCTTGATTTCGAGCACGTATGTGTCCTTGATTTCGAGCACGTATGTGTCCTTGATTTCGAGCACGTATGTGTCCTTGATTTCGAGCACGTATGTGTCCTTGATTTCGAGCACGTATGTGTCCTTGATTTCGAGCACGTATGTGTCCTTGATTTCGAGCACGTATGTGTCCTTGATTTCGAGCACGTATGTGTCCTTGATTTCGAGCACGTATGTGTCCTTGATTTCGAGCACGTATGTGTCCTTGATTTCGAGCACGTATGTGTCCTTGATTTCGAGCACGTATGTGTCCTTGATTTCGAGCACGTATGTGTCCTTGATTTCGAGCACGTATGTGTCCTTGATTTCGAGCACGTATGTGTCCTTGATTTCGAGCACGTATGTGTCCTTGATTTCGAGCACGTATGTGTCCTTGATTTCGAGCACGTATGTGTCCTTGATTTCGAGCACGTATGTGTCCTTGATTTCGAGCACGTGTGTGTCCTTGATTTCGAGCACGTATGTGTCCTTGATTTCGAGCACGTATGTGTCCTTGATTTCGAGCACGTATGTGTCCTTGATTTCGAGCACGTATGTGTCCTTGATTTCGAGCACGTATGTGTCCTTGATTTCGAGCACGTATGTGTCCTTGATTTCGAGCACGTTCTCTATCATGTCCTGCCAGGGGGAGGAGTAATGGGAGGTCGGGGAGCGGGAGTAGGGAGAACAGGAGGAGGGGGAATGGGAGGTGGGGGGATTGGAGGTGGGGGAATGGGAGGTGGGGGAATGGGAGGTGGGGGAATGGGAGGTGGGCGGGTGGAAAATGGGGGTTGGGAGGTGTGGGAGTGAATACTGGTGGCGCACCCACAGTGCACGCAGCTCCATGAGAGACGCAGACGAGCCCACCGCCACCACATTAACGAGAGGGGTCATGACCTCTGCGACATACGTGTCCTTGATTTCCAACACATTCTCTATCCTGTCCTGCCAGGTAGAGGAGGGGAAATGGTGCGAGGGATGGGGGCTTGGAGCTGAGGGCAAAAGTGCAGCTCCATGAGCGAAGCGGACGAGCCCACCGCTACCACATCGACGAGAAGAGTCATGACCTCGCGCACGTACGTGTCCTTGCTGGGGGAACTGGAGGTGGGGAACTGGAGGTGGGGAACTGGAGGTGGGGAACTGGAGGTGGGGAACTGGAGGTGGGGAACTGGAGGTGGGGAACTGGAGGTGGGGAACTGGAGGTGGGGAACTGGAGGGGGGGAACTGGAGGGGGTGAACTGGAGGCGGGGAACTGGAGGGGGGGAACTGGAGGTGTGGAACTGGAGGTGGGGAACTGGAGGTGGGGGAATGGGAGGTGGGGGAATGGGAGGTGGGGGAACGGGAGGTGGGGAATGGGAGGTGGGGGAATGGGAGGTGGGGGAATGGGAGGTGGGGGAATGGGAGGTGGGGGAATGGGAGGTGGGGGAATGGGAGGTGGGGAATGGGAGGTGCATGGGAGGTGGGGAATGGGAGATGGGGAATAGGAGGTGGGGAATGGGAGGTGGGGGAATGGGAGGCGGGGGAATGGGAGGTGGGGGGATGGGAGGTGGGGGAACGGGAGGTGGGGAATGGGAGGTGGGGGAATGGGAGGTGGGGGAATGGGAGGTGGGGGAATGGGAGGTGGGGGAATGGGAGGTGGGGGAATGGGAGGTGGGGAATGGGAGGTGCATGGGAGGTGGGGGAATGGGAGGTGGGGGAATGGGAGGTGGGGGAATGGGAGGTGGGGGAATGAGAGGTGGGGAATGGGAGGTGCATGGGAGGTGGGGAATAGGAGGTGGGGAATGGGAGGTGGGGGAATGGGAGGTGGGGGAATGGGAGGTGGGGGAATGGGAAATGGGGGCTGGGCTGGCTGGCTGTGTATCGTACCGTACCCTCCTTGTCCACACTGCCCAGCCTTGCACCCCTCACTTGCCATTTCAAATCCGCCACCCTTCTTCCGCCGTGCCTATTGCAACACACCCCCTTCCCCCCCTCCTCACCTGCTCCTCCTCCTCAATAGCGCCGCTCATCTCCGCCCCCCTCAGCATGAGCTTCAGCTCCTCCTCTGTCACGAACGGTTCCCTGGCAAATACAAAGCAAACAGGGGGACATGGACACACACAGACACAGAGGCAAGCAGCGCGCTGTGAGTGAGGCGTCTAACAAGCTGCTTCCCCCTCAGCATCAGCTTCAGCTCCTCCTCTGTCACGAACGGTTCCCTCGCAGGCAGGCAGGCAGGCAGGCACAGGGGGGAAGGCAGGCAAGCATAGCGATACAACACGCACTGGCACGCACAGGCACGCACAGGCACGCACAGGCACGCACAGAGGGGTGAGTAAAACCGTGAGTGAGATGGCTCAAACGCACACCCTCAGCATGAGCTTCAGCTCTTCCTATGTCACAAACGGCTCTCTGACAGGCAGGATTGAATAGGCAATACAAAGCACACAGGAGAGCAGGGACACGCGCAGGCGCACAGGCAAGCAGCAGCGAGCAGTGAGTGGGGCGATGACTCACAAGCTGGTCCGTTCACAACAGCTTCGGCTTTCCTGAGACAAGAAAAAATATCTGAGGTGCTGCAAAAATCGTTGGGACGAGGACTGACCCGCTGGTTTTGAGGCCGAGGAGGCGGAAGAGGCCAGTGGAGGCATAGGTGCAGAGCCGACCCACGGGGTAGAGCACAACTGACAGCCACGCCACTGGGCGCAGCTGGTGAGATGGAGAGTGGGAGGCGACATTCGGGAGTGGAATAAGTGCATTTCAGAGGTATATAGGTGCAGAGACGACCCACTGGGTAGAGCACGACTGACAGCCACGCCACTGGTCGCAGCTGGTGGCAGGGAGGGAGCGAACGAGGGAGGGAGGGAGGGAGGGAGGGAGGGAGGGAGGGAGGGAGGGAGGGAGGGAGGGAGGGGGATGAAGGTCTGATTAGAGCACTTGCTGACCCGCTGGTCTTGAGACCGAGGGGACAGAAGAGGGCCGTGGAGGCATAGGTGCAGAGCCGACCCACGGGGTAGAGCACAACTGACAGCCACGCCACTGGGCGCAGCTGGTGAGATGGAGGGAGGGCAGACGGGTCAAGAGAGATTGGCAGCATGCATGAAGTACGCGCAAAGACCATGTTGCCAGCAGCAAGGAAAACTCCCGCAAAGGGATGGAAGTGAAAAGAGATGAGGCAACGGACGCACTTTTGAGACTTCTCAAGGGATGAGGCAAGGTAGGCGAGGGGGAGAAAGATCGACGGGCAGGAAGGAGAAAGGGCGAGGGAAGGGAGCAGACAAAGGGGGAAGGAGGGAGAGGGGTGGGGGATGGGGGTTGGGGGAGGGTGGGGGTTGGGAACGGGTAGGGGGGAAACAAAGAAGCGGAGCTGGGAGAGTGTGCATACCACGACACGGACGACTTGTGTGGCGTTGTGCACGGCGATGGACTTGGGGGCGATCTCTGTAAAGACCAGCAGCAGGATCTGACGGGCAGTAAGGGTGCAGGGGCATGGGCAAAAGGGGGAGGAGGGGTCGGGGGAGGTGAGAATGCGAAGAGACATGAATCAGAGAGTGCGGACGTGAACGGGTCAAGAGGGAAGCGAGAAGGTGGGATGAACATGTGGGTCGGCAAGGTTCGAAGCATCACGTCGGTGGTAGCACCACAGCACGTACCGTCATCACGCCTGTAGCGGCGCTGACCCCTGCCTCCCCAAAGAGGGCTGTAGCGGCGTCCGTGACCAAAGCCGTCGCCCAAATGTTCACCAGGCTGGTGGGGGGGGGGAGAGAACGAAGAGTGGGGAGGGAGGAATAGGCAGAGACGACAGAGGGGAAAGAGATTGTGATGGGGAGGAAAAGGGAGAAGCGATAGTGAAACACAAGTTTATGAAGATTCTCAAGATACATCAACAACCCCTAAGGTGAAAACGGAGAAGGGGAATTGGGAAAGGTCTGGGACCAGACTCGTGGCCCGGATTGTGAGCTGAGTGGCGTGTAAGGGGCCAAGAGTGGTGAGGAAGGAAAAAGAGGGGTGTGCGTGGGCAATGTGAGGGCATTACGTGGTGCCGATGAGGATGGTGGTGAGGAAGCGAGTCACGTCCCGCCGCAGCAGCTGGAACACGCTTCCCTCCTTCTCCTTCTCCGCCAGCTCGCGCACCTGATGAGGGGACGGGCAAAGGCAAATTAAAGGAAGAAAGTGGGAGCACAGAAATCAAGTCAGGGAGAGCATGGCACCACGCAGCAGCTGGAACACACTGCCCTCCTTCTCCTTCTCCGCCAACTCGCGCACCTGGCGACGGGTGTGAGAGAAAGGGGCGCATGCGGATCAGGCACAGGGCAGCATGATTTGAGGCGTCTCAGCTGGAACACACTGCCCTCCTTCTCCTTCCCCGCAGCTCGCGCACCTGACCAGGGACGCGCGCGGAGGGAGAGCATGTGGATCAGGCAAAAACGCGAAAGCGGATCAGGCACGGAGCTGCATGATCTGAGTTTGCCACCAGCGAGAGATACAGCATAAGGCCACATTCCACTAGATCCTGAATTCCATCCATCCCTCTTTACTCATAACCGTAATCCACCCTTCATAATCGTAATCCACCTCTCATAACCATAATCCACCCCTCATAACCGTAATCCACCCCTCCCAACTCTCACCTTCCACGGCCAGAGCGTGGTGATGGAGGTTTCCGCCATGGAGAAGAAGGCGGAGAGGCCCAGCAGCACCGTCACCTCTCGATAATCTGATCAACACCCTTATAACCGTACCCCACCCTTCCCATCCCAGCTCCCACCTTCCACGGCCAGAGAGTAGTGATAGACGTTTCCGCCATGGAAAAGAAGGCGGAGAGGCCCAGCAGCACCGTCAGCAGCACGCCTTGCTCGCGGAGCACCTTCAGCAGCTGAATCATTGACGGTTTCGCCCCCACGCTCCATACCCGAGCCCGCTGCGTCAGGTCCGACACCAGAGCTCCGGCTGAGGCTGGGAGGATCGGCGATGCGGATGCCGAGGCTGATTCCGCTGCTAGAACTGGCCGGCAGGCTAGAACGGCTGTCAGGCACACTGCGGCGGAAACGACAAGGACGGCCACCCGCCTTGCAATGATACCCCATGCAACGGTCCCGTCTGGTGCTGCTACAGGCGTCTTCCCTTCGTTCAGACTATTCCTAAAGGTAGCGCCATCGCTGCTGAAAGTGCTGCTGCCGCTGCTGCTGCCGCTGTTGCTATCTCTTACGGCTGTCCCATCATCATCGTCACCTAACCTCGTACCTCCTACGGCTGAGTTTACGCATGACGTTACATGGGACCCGATCCTTGCATACGAACTCGAAAATTGGGTCGAAAACTGTCGGCGATTTTCAAGATTCGTTACAGCGGGTCGCAACACGCCTCTATCTTTCTGTTGATGACGTAACCCTTCCCCGATGACACGTGTCAGCGGGGACAAATCCCCGCCACTGCATTGTCGACTGCTACCAATCGGATTGTCAGATTTGGCGGATCGGGGGTACTGGATGCAAGAATTAGCTGTTTGAGTAGCGATAGAGCTCGATGCTAGGCCAACTGGGACGCGATTGTAATCAGTGCTTATCGGTTTAGAATATCCTCTGGTCAACGTAGGGGACCCAGACGGAACTACTAGGTAAGGTCCTTTGCAGCTCGGCCGTAGAAGCATTGTGGCGACGCGCAAAACCACTAACGGTTATAGTACAATAGTACTATATCGCGGATGCTGTTATCATCAAACGTGCTTGCTTATTTTCGTCATTTCAGGGAATCGCCGAATGTCGCGGTGAGAGGAAGGGGTCAATGACTAGAACACACGATGCTTCTATGCCTGGTAGTTACGCCAATTACGCATATCCTAGTCTTACAGGCACGCCTGGTCATCCGGAAATGGATCTACCAACACTGCGTTTGCGACATCCACGCGAGAATACTAGAGGCACATTAGCTTCACCGCAGACAGACGATCGGAATCTCCAAGATCGAGGCGGATGCTAAAGGAGCTATGGCCTGACGTCAGCAACTATCAGACCAAGGTTGCCTATGGAATGCAGACGAGAAAGCACAAAAAATAACCCAAGGGCATTGGGAATGGCGGGAAACGAGAGCACAAAAGGAGCACAGCGAAGAGAGAGAAAGGTGCCAATAACGAAGGAAGGTGGGCCAAGTAGGCGGCGGCAAGGAAAGGTGGTGCTGTGTTGTGCCCAGAGGTAAGGACACGAAGCGCTTGTTGATTGGCTGTACGGTGATGGTGGAGGAGACCGCTTGCTGATGTGTCTTCGTAGATCCTAAGACAAAGGCCTTTGCGCTTTTCGGTGTCAGCGTTCACGAAATGGAGGGAATCTTTGTACACGTGTTCGACCTCGATGTAGTCCATTCCTCAGTTCGGAAGGATTAGCCAGTACACGAACCAGCTTTGGAAAACAAACGCCTCATAATTTATGGATTATTCAATAAACATAGGATTACCAACTCTCACCATCATAAAGCTTGTCCAAACTACCAAAAACACTAGATGATGGGCTAATAGAATGCAAATAGACTTCCAATTTTTTGCATGAGTGCTGTCCTGAGCTTCCAAACGAATCTGTAGATCCACAAGTCGCCAAAAAAACATGCTGGGCGTGTTCGCCAACATCCACAGGCGCCTTGCAAAACTCTTGGAAGCCCGTCAAAGCTTCACAAATGGGACGCGCAGCAACTTGAATTGCTCCACACTCATCTTCACAAATCACAAGCTGCTGCTGGCTTGTAGTCGTAAGCTGTTCGTCCACTACCGCACCAGCCTGTACAGAGTCGTATGAATCCTGGCATGGGAACAGAGAAGGCGCTTCAATCCGCGCTGCAGTATTCATGCAATGTTCCAAGGCGAGCAGTTGACTGGCATCAGACCATGAATCGCTGGGCCACGTGAGTGAATCCCCAAGCAGATCGGCTCCAGCATCACCCGACTCCTCCCAGTTCACCAGGTGAGATTCAGCAGCAGCAGCAAGAGCATCAGCAGCAGTATCGTCACCACCTGGGCTCATCTCCTGAAAGAATTCTGCGTCGCTGGTGTTTTCCGACGTCCCAAAACTCTGCTGAGGGCAGTTTGTAGGATCCGAGAGTGCTGGTGTCAGGGGAGCGGATGACAAGGGGCAGTCTGTGTCTTCCAAGCCTGGTAGCTCCTCCTGCTGCTCATGCTGCTGCTGCTGCTCATGCTGCTGCTCATGCTGCTGCTGCTGCTGCTGCTGCTCATGCTGCTGCTGCTGCTGCTGCCATGGCATGCCTTCAGCCGTCGGAACAGCTTCTTCTGCCGCCGCGAGCCCTCCTTCCGCCAGTGCTGACTGCACCAGCAGCACCAACGCTGCAAAAAGGTCGGCCGGCAATGGCTGCAACTGAGCCTGCAGGGGGGCAGCAGCAGCGGCCGCACGACTCCCAGAAGAAGGCACCGTACTCAGCCGCGCATGAGCAGGCTCATCAGAGGAAGCAGGAGCAGGCGTGGGAGCGGAAGCTGGAAGAGTTGATCCATTAAGCAGTGCTTCCAGTGCCGCCCGCCAGTCTGCCACAGCCGAGGTGGGAGCGTGCGGGGACGAGGAGCATGCATTGGAAGAAGGGCGGGAGGGTGCGGGAACGGACGTATCCTTCCACGTGGCACCGCTGATTGGGGTGGAAGCAAGAGCTGGCAGGCACGACGGCGGGCACTGCAACGTTCTGCCAGCACCCCCGTTTGTCTCCGTTGCTTCCTCCTTGACAGCCACCCACTTGCTCAACGGACTGCGATCGACTGCAGCAGCACCAGCGGCACCAGCGGCACCAGCAGCAGCAGCAGCAGCAGTAGCAGCACCAGTCACAGGAGCAGAACCCCTCGCTCGGACTGAGCGGTCTTTGACTGATCGATCTTTCGGCAGAGGCGCAGGAGAGGTATTAGTAGCAGTAGCACCAGCACCGGCAGCAGGGTAGTGAGGCGTGTGGCTGTGCGTGGAGTGGTAGTTGAGACAAAGAGGCACGGAGGGGTCCCAGCAACTCAAGTCCACTGTGCGGCGTGCAGGGCAGGCGTGTGACGTGCGCAGGCCGCACTGGAAGTAGAGCCTGGAAAAACAGGAGGGAGAGAGCGGAGCAGGAAATCGACGCACGAGTAAAAGAGAGTTAGAAAAACAGAGGCGAAGCGTTGCGAAACTTCCTAAAATGGACTATTGACCTGAGAGGGGACGGGCGGCACAGTCTGGTTCAAAAGACAGGCACGACATTGACCGAAAGGGCCCACATTGCCCCTATCCATCCCCATAGCTTCATCCCAAAACGGGTTGACTTTTGAGTCGACTCAAAAGTCAACTCGGTTCAAAAGACAAACATGACATTGACCGAAAGGGCCCACATTGCCTCTATCCATCCCCATAGCTTCATCCCAAATCGGATCAGATCCGCACCTGATCATGTTGTCGCCCGTCGTAAGTTTCTTCTGCCCGTACTTGACCCAGCTGAACCCGTCGCGAGGCAGCAGCGGCTTATACGGGAACTGCACCACGCGGACTTTCTTGCCGTCAACGTGACAGTCGAGGTGCTTCCCTCCGCCGCCGCCGCTGCCAGGTCGATTCGCAGGTGTCTCAGGCCGACTCCCAGGTGTCTCAGGCCGACCCCCAGGTGTCTCGGGTCGGTTTTCCTGAAATCCTGAGCCGCCTCTTCTTTGGTGAAGTTGAGAGCCGGTCCATGCGAAATCCATGCTCTGGTGCGGCTGTTCTTGGTCTCCGCTTGCGTGCAGGCGCCTAGAAGCATCATGCTGATCTTGATCTTGATCTTGCGTGTCAGTATGGCTCTTGAAGCTCGGATTTCGCAGAATTTGCGGCTGGAGGCAAGATGAGCTGCACGGGATGAGGGGTCAATCGAGGTGGGAGGGACACGGAATGGCGTGGAAATTAGAGGTTTCACAAGAGCTGTGTTGAGATTCTGGCACGAGTTGTGTCACAAGAATTGCCGCACGAGCCCTGTTCTACACGCGACGAAACCCTGCTGCGAACCCACTTCTAGGGTACATACCTGGTAACCCTACGACTAATGTCTGCTCCTTTCTCCTCCCTTACCCCCTTCACACTTCCCCCGTTCTCGATCTTCCGTTACTCAGGTGAGCATGCTGTAGAGCCTACCTTTCTGCAAACGCCATCTTGGCGTGCTCTGCGCCGCAAATCATTCCGCAACTCATTCCCATACACACAGAGCACCGATTCCGCCGAGTTCGCTGCAGTAGCTCACAGTCACCCGTAGTCACTAATGACCGCCACCGAACTCGTGCGTCGGTGCCGAGTAGACTCAGTCGTTAGGCGCCGACCTGCCAAGTCAAAGGTCATCGAGGGCCCTTGCTGTCGTAGGGCCCTCTAACACACAAACGCCATCTAGAGCGTGTTAGAGGGCCCTACGACAGCAAGGGCCCTCGATGACCTTTGACTTGGCAGGTCGGCGCCTAACGACTGAGTCTACTCGGCACCGACGCACGAGTTCGGTGGCGGTCATTAGTGACTACGGGTGACTGTGAGCTACTGCAGCGAACTCGGCGGAATCGGTGCTAGGAATGACGAGTCTTGGGGGTCGTAGGTGCCTTGCTTGTGAGGCACGCTGCTCACTTGCTGTGTTGGCAGGAGTAGCGTGCACGGTGAGACATTCCGGTGCCGAGTTGGGTTGGAAATGTGCGGGGCGCGTTCACCCACCTGCACAGCACTTTCGTGTGGGTTGGGTTACTCGCAGCGCCACGCAACAATTGTGCAACTCTTGCTTGCCTATATATGTTTGTGTTTGCTTGTGTGTTTGATAATTGATATTGCAATTCTACTTGGCCCAAATGCTACTTCAATTCTCACAAAGTCCTTAGAGGCAAACGCTACCAAAACTCTACCAAGTTGCTGGTGCAACATCATTCCCATAGCAGAGACTCTCTCGCTATCGCTACGCTCTCTAATATATTCCTTCATGGTGCGGTGAGCGTGGAACGAACACGCATAGATTTCCGTCGTCGTTGATATTCGCGTTCGTATACTCGCCTTGGCGTGCGGCGTTAGTGAAGGGCGCTTATTAATCTAAGTTGAACCTCTCTTGATTTCCCTCCAGTTACGTTCTCGGACCCAAGGATAGGGCGTTTGGTAATTTATTACCACTCGTCTGAGGACCCTTGTGAGGTGACCCCGAGACGAGGGATTTAAGGGGCACTTTATTTTAATTTGTGGTACCTTATAGAGACGTCGTAGAGGATGAGTACAGAGGAGGCGAACGTGGAGGCCGGTAATTTGCGCGCCCTAGAGGAGGATCTCGTGGCTCGTCATTCTCGTGGTGAGATTAGTGATATCGAATACGAGCTAATGTTGGAGGGATTGCGCTCGCGTCGGCGTCGTGAGCACCCTTCGCCACGTGTAGAGAATGTTGAGCAAGTTGCGGGAGGTACTAGTGCGTGGGATATGGCTGTCGATGGCGGAAATAGCGATGACGAGGAGTTTGATGGGTTGATGTCGCGTGGGGTCCTGCGAGGACCAACTCGGTTTAGTACGGCTAGCGTTGGCGGTGTACAGGAGCGTGTTCATCGTGCAGCAGCGTCACGAGAGCATGCGAATGTAGGACGGCGGAGCGTTGCTGGAGGAGGAATTGCGGAAGAGTTCGATAGTGAGGCTATGCCGGGCGTTACCCCGATTGGATCGATGTCGAGGGACGAGGGAATAGCCCCCAACTATGGCTACTTCAGATTCACTCCAGACAAGATCGTTGTCACTAGGCCGTTAGAAGGACGTCACGACCTGTCGACGTGGTCAGAATCAATCGAGCCGCAGCTTGAGATCGCTCAGCTAAAGCGATTCATAGATGGCACCACCCCCATTCCACCAGCGCGTGCGCTTGCGCATCTCTCTCAGTTCCGCGCGATGCAGTTGCTGACATTCACCACCATTTCCCGATGCTGCTCCCCAACCGTACAGATCCCCCTTAAGGCGTGTCGCATGAAGGTCGATGCCGGCTATCAGGCATGGCAGTTTATTATGCGCACGTACATGGCGAAGGACGATCTGTACATCGGTCAGTTAGAGCAGGCGCTCACTAACCTCGAGATGGGAGAGCACGAGTTCGCTACGTCCTATTGCAACCGTGCGCAGCAGATCCTAGTGAACCTGAGGATGGCCGGCGTAGATTACTCGCAGGCGTCGTACATCACTCACGTTGTGAAGGGGTTGCCGCAGCAGTACAACCTCTTACGCAGGATGCTGAAGTTGCCGCAGGTTCGCAAGGAGTTGGACGAGGACACCCTCGCTAGCTACATCATCGAGGAGGAGTGTACGCTGGCGGCAGAGGGACGAAAGGACCAATTTCTTCCCCAGGCTAACCAGGCCTTTACCAAGAAGGGTAAGCCCCAATTCCAGCAGACTTCATTCCCTTCCCCTCCCACTACGGCACAGCAGCAGCAGCCTAAGAATGGGGGTGGGCTTGGTGGGGGAGGGGAGAAGTGGAAAGGGGGTAAGGATGGCCAGCCGAAGGGGGGGAAAGGGGGCTTCAAGGGGAAGTGCTATGTGTGTGGACAAATAGGGCATGTTGCTAAGTACTGTCAGCAGCGGGCGGATAAGGAGGCAGACACCGGTGGAGAGGGTTCTGGAGGTAGCAGCGGAAAGGGGGGTGATGGCTCTAAGGGGAGCGGGCAGTCATCATGTGCGGAAGCTATGTGACGGCGCGTGTGCTTCTGGCGATTGCAGCTGCACTTGATTTGGACCTGATGCAGCTCGATGTGAAGAACGCGTTCCTCCATGGCGTGCTGGACCGAGACCTTTACATGGAGCAGCCGAGCTACTACGAGGATGGGACTCCTCGTGTCTGTAAGTTGGTGAAGAGTCTGTATGGGCTCAAGCAGAGCCCGATGCTATGGTATGAGGCCTTGGATGGGGTGCTGCTTGGGGCTGGATGGAAGAAGAGCAAGGTGGATGAGGCTCTGTACTTCAAGACTGATGCTGAGGGGGAGATGTGCTGGCTGCTGGTGTATGTGGATGACCTGCTTGCTGCCAGCCGCAGTCAGAGCATGCTAGCGGAGCTGCGTGACCTGCTGCAGAGTGCCTTTCAGCTGCGGGAGATTAGCCCTGTGGAGAAATATCTGGGGTTGCAGCTGATTCGGGACAGGCCCACGAGGAGGCTGTGGCTGCACCAGGGGGCCTATGTGGACAAGGTCCATAGGCGCTTCTTTGACGAGGAGCAGCCGCTGCGAGTGCCTCGCACCCCTCTTTCCTCTGACCCTTTCAGTGTGCAGACCTTCGAGGATGTGGGATGGCAGTCTCACCAGGAGGAGGAGTACAGGCAGAAGGTGGGATCCTTGCAGTTCGCGGCCTGTACCACCCGTCCCGACATCTCGTTCGCCTGCAGCAAGCTGGGGTCGGGCCAGACTGTGCGGAGTGATCAGCACTGGAAGGAGTTGGACACGTACTTGGTGGGGAGCAGGGATGTGGCGCTGGAGTTTGGTGGTGGGCCGGAGTCCTTGGAGCGCTACGCCGATGCTGATGATGCAGGGGACAAGCAGAACAGGACCAGCACAGGTGGCTATGTCTTCGTGCTCGGGGGTGCTGCTGTCTCATGGGCGAGCCAGCGGATTCGTTGCGCCACCCTTTCCTCCACTGAGTCTGAGTACGTTGCTGCTGTGGAGGCTGGGAAGGAGGCGCGCAGGCTGCGCTTCCTGCTGGCAGAGTTTCAACTGCTGAGGAGTGAGGAGCCCACGACTCTCTTTGTGGACAACTCCTCCGCCATTTCAGTGGCAGGTGGCATGGGGCTCAAGGGGAGCCTCAAGCACATGGAGCGTCGTCACATGTGGCTGCAGCACATGGTCAAGCGCAGGAAGCTGCAGCTGCAGTACATCCCTACGAGCGAGCAGCCTGCTGACTACCTCACAAAGGCATTGCATTTCCCCGCCTTCAGTCGTTGCTTCGAGGCTGTGGGGCAGGTGCGGCTCTCGAGTGAGGGGAGTGAAGACCTAGACACTCCATGATGTGGATGGTGCCATGGCCTATCCATGGCTGGTGCGGTGCGTGTTTACACTTTGAGCGTGTTTCGTTTGTGTGTATCCCTTTGTTTTGGTGTGTATGTGTGTATGCATGCCCTGTGATTATAAAGGGCCTTGCTGTAGTATGGCAGGGGAGTGTTAGAGGGCCCTACGACAGCAAGGGCCCTCGATGACCTTTGACTTGGCAGGTCGGCGCCTAACGACTGAGTCTACTCGGCACCGACGCACGAGTTCGGTGGCGGTCATTAGTGACTACGGGTGACTGTGAGCTACTGCAGCGAACTCGGCGGAATTGGTGCTAGGAATGACGAGTCTTGGGGGTCGTAGGTGCCTTGCTTGTGAGGCACGCTGCTCACTTGCTGTGTTGGCAGGAGTAGCGTGCACGGTGAGACATTCCGGTGCCGAGTTGGGTTGGAAATGTGCGGGGCGCGTTCACCCACCTGCACAGCACTTTCGTGTGGGTTGGGTTACTCGCAGCGCCACGCAACAATTGTGCAACTCTTGCTTGCCTATATATGTTTGTGTTTGCTTGTGTGTTTGATAATTGATATTGCAATTCTACTTGGCCCAAATGCTACTTCAATTCTCACAAAGTCCTTAGAGGCAAACGCTACCAAAACTCTACCAAGTTGCTGGCGCAACATCATTCCCATAGCAGAGACTCTCTCGCTATCGCTACGCTCTCTAATATATTCCTTCAGAGCCTACCTTTCTGC